CTTGGATAACTGGTTTCGACTGAATTGTTTACTTCTGTTTTCTCCTCTGTGATCTAGGGCCACAATTTGTTGCCAATCCTGTCCCAAATGAAATAAAGCAACATTTGGATGAATTCTTTCAGGGTTAAATGTTCTGAGTGGTGGTTTGCGGTGCAGTGTCTGCACGTAGGGTCAGGTGGACAGACAGGATAAAAAGCAGATGGGGATGAGCAGACAGGAAGAGAGAAATGAAACAAAAATAGGAGCAGATGGTGTCAGTCCAGTGACATAGCAGAGGGCTCATTCTACGGTGACTGGAGTCCTATACAGCGAGTAGTCTATATGAATGTATTTCTATGGTATTTGTGAGTGTCGCAAGTGTGTGCGTGCGTGCATGTGTGTACACTGCAGCCACAGGCAGACACATGGGAGCCTGAGGAGCAGTGAATATTACAGAGGAGTGGACCACAAAGGGACCAGGCCCATAGCCAACAGACAGGCCCCGCTCATAAATCCTCTCCACACTGACGCCTTTTCCCCTCTGTCTCTCTCGCCGTCACTCTGTCTTTTTCTCCTCTTTTTCCCTTGTGTGCGTCTGTTTTTGTGTCACTCACCCACTTTGCGTGTCTTTTTCTCCTCGGCAGGGAAAAGGGACTTTTCTCTGGTGAAATCAATAACCATGAGTCTATCATGTGAATATTTTAGGTCTTTAGCATTGACTGTTTACTTGTAGAGGGCACTGAAACTCATGTAGACTTCCTGCTGTGGTGGCATCTTACTGATATAATCAGGAGGTTAAAAGATCAGACTTTACAGAAAATACAAGAAACTCAAACGCTGAATACTTGTTTGGATGTAATTTTTAAAATGGAAAAATGTGTTAATATTTCAGAGAGCTTGCATCAATAAACCAAACTTGCAATCCCACCCCCCAGCCCTGAAACATCCTATAACCTGCAAACATCAAACCACACTGACTGGGCTGAACTGACCTGGTTGTGTAAAACTTCATAACATAATTTGTGTCCTTGTGGCTCGTCTGGTACGTGTTTTTTTCTTTTTTTCACAGAGACTTGCCTGTCTGATGCCAGTTGAAGTGAAAAGGATGCCACAGTACATATTCAAGGCTGAGGGGAACACAACAGGGTCCAGAGTCAGACTTAAAGGGATATTTCGACGTAAAATTAATTTAGGGTCAAACATTCATTAGCAGTCATTACGGACTGCTGCGGGGTGACGCAGCTCAAGGAAGAACATTTATGACCATTTCTTCATGGAAATGCAATTAGACCGAGACGCTAAGGTGGAAGAACTACCACGTCTGCGGTGCAAAATGATTAATGTTGTGATTATTACGCCAAGGAAATGATCATAAATGTTCTTCCTTGAGCTGCGTCACCCCGCAGCAGTCCGTAATGGACTGGCCCGAGGTTTGCTACAAACAAGCGGCTGCTGGAAGAGAGTAGGTGAGTTGTGTTTCGTCTCTTTGCTAAAGAAATTCTCAGACCGCTGTGTAATGTTATTGTGCGGTCGTTACTAAAGTTGGTATAACTAGAGAAGCAAGCGGTCGGCAACATTCACCCCTTGAGGTGGTGTCTAACTCGGTGTTACGGTGTGTTTGACCCTAAGTTAATTTTATGTTATGGACATGTTCATATGAGTGGAAATCATAAATTTTACTTAAGCTCAGTTCACCTTTTGCAAGAGTGAATAAGTCTTTAGGTCAAGTGTGAGTAAAAGACACGGAAAACTATTATTTCCTTCTAGAACCTATGTCACAATCAGTTTCAGATTAGCATTTAAGACTTCATTAGGCTACCTCTGTGTGTCAGACATATTGGTAAATTATTGTGATTAATCTAGACATCAGCGCTTACACAGTTAAATCGACTGTACTCAGGAGACACACACATCTGACAAATCAGACAGCAGATCAGTCTATAACTGTCCCGGCTCATCCCAGTGGAACAATACTCTATAATTTGTGGGTATCGGTTCATCTAGCAAACTGTCACTGCAGAAGAGGCTTTGCACTGCTCAAAGAGGGACATTGTGAACGGGACGCATGCAAGGCTGTCATGTGTCAGGGTGTATGAGAGACTTAGACTGAGCCCGGTTCAGAATGTAAGGAAGGACCATTTATACCTCTAGAAAACCAACATACTTCAACGCCCAGCTAACATACACGAATGATAGATTATGACAACTATGACATAACTTTACAGTGCTGAAAAGAGGACTGTCGTTTATAGGTCTGACAAAATTGAACTGCGTTAAAATTGAACTCAAATAACGAATAAGATTGGAAAGCGAAAGAGAGCGAACAGATTTCAAAATCTGACAGCAGTGGGATGATTGGTTGTTGGAAATTATAGTGAAATACAGTTGGTTAAGTGCTTAAAAAGTGAGTGCATATTAATGACTGAGCAGGACCAGAAGGAGGAGGACAGGGAAAGTGTCATGTATGAATCCTAACTGAATAAATGAGTGAATGAATGAATGGGTAAGAAACAGTCCTGATGCTTTAACCCTCACTGAGCTTCACAAAACAAAAAATAAAGGCAAATCTGCTCCACACAGGCCTGGTTGACCTTACAGGCCAAACTCTGCACCAGTAAGAGTCGGCTTCTGCTTAAATATACCAAGTTCAATAAAGAAAAATCTCACATCCAGGTTTAAACATACTTTATTGCAAACCTACCCCAATATTTACCAGCTATTTTACTTTGCCAGCCAGCAGGGCCATGACAGAAAAAAAGGAAAAAGAACAAGAAACACCGTCTCCTACTTGAGCTCAGAGTTTTAAATGACTTGAAATTATATTGTAGAGGGGGCAGTGTGACTTTTACGCAGACAGATGGCCACTATTCGTGCCCATCAGTCCACCTCTCCTAAGCCAAGGTGTCAGAGAGGCAGACATCTTTCCAGCAGACAAAACAGACTGTGAGTGGCAGAAATGAGATTGATTTTAATCAAAGAGCCTATAATTACATTGCTGCCGTTTGTTGTCACTGATGCTGACAACAGCCAGCCCTCCTTTCTGCCTGTCCTTCAGTATGACTATATCTCTTTGTCTCCCTGCCCAGAGCCTGTCTCACCATCAGGCAGCTGTGTCTCGCTCTGCCTCTGTCTGCATTGCTTTAAGTCTCACTGGGTCTCCTGTCTGAAAACATGTTCTTTTGTTTGAATTGCCGTGTAATAAACACAGTAATTACTCGTTTCCTTGCATGTTCTTCTGACACATACATTCAGGAATGCTCTCCGCCTTGAGTGGCGGCTCTAACAAAATGACCTTCGTGTTATTCACAACTTTGTCCGACTCGTCTGCATGTTTGCCGTCACCTGTTTGTGTTCTTGTTATACTCTGTGCACATAGATGTGTTATCTGTTGTAATGACTGACCTTGTGCATTCTAAGACTTCCTTTTTACAACCACCTCAGAGTCTGAATTCAGGGCTAAGCGTAACCGTTCACTGCACGCAAATTGATTCAGGCTCGTTCAGTTAGAGTGTTCATTTACAGTGAGTCAAGTTGCACTTTAAGTATCAAAGGATGTCAACTTTATTGAAAAAGCGGAAGTTTGTGATCTTTGTGTGCCTTTGAATCCAGTCAGAGCCGAAAAGAAAATAAGATGAGATGAGATACACCTTCAATCATCCTAAGAAAAAAAAATCAGACTTTTAATTCTACTTAAAGGGATTTTCCAGCATAAAATTAATTTAGGGTCAAATACAGAGTTAGACACCCCCTCGAGAATGAACGTTGCCGACCGCTTCCTTCTCTGGTTATCACTTCTTCATGGAAATGTGATCAGACCGAGAACACCAAGGCAGAAGAACTACCACATCTGCAGTGCAAAATGATTACTATGGTGATTATTACTTCATGGAAATGATTAAGAAATGATCATAAATGTTCTTCCTTGAGCTGCGTCACCCCGCTGTAGTCCGTATTGGACTGGCCTGAGGTCTCGCTACAAACAAACAGCTGCTGGAAGAGAGTAGGTGAGTTGTGTTTAGTCTCTTTGCTCAAGAAATCAGGCTAAGTTAAAAAGATGTTTGGAGGCTAGTGTTGTGGCTGGGATCCTATATGTATTGTAGATGAAGTTAGGTGCTATTCTGAGCATTATTTGTGGCTGTAGAGTGGTGTTTTGGTTGAGGTTTGTTTATGGCTCCTCAGACTGCTGTGTATTGCTATCCTGCGGTCGTTACTAAAGTTGGTATATCTAGAGAAGCAAGCGGTCGGCAACATTCATCTCTGGAGGGGGTATCTAACTCTGTGTTACGGTGTATTTCACCCTAAATTAAAATCCCTTTAAGGCAAAATTAAATCAACATGTGAGTTCTCTTCATGTTTGTAGTTTTTCCTGTAGTGTATATGCGCCACACTGTGTTGCAACAAGTCTTAAACACCATATTTTGATGACTGTAAGATGAGTTCTGTGAGTAAGTAGACGATGTGTGGTATTAGTCACAACATTGCTACTCGCTGAGCTCATTTACTGTACCAGTAGCTGGCAGGTTTGCAGACCCCCATGACAAAAAACAGGCCCAGAAAAAGATCTGCACCGCTGCATGAAAACTGCATGTTGTGGACTTGTAGAAATCAGCAAACAAAAAAACAGCCGAACACTTTTTCTCCAAAACAGACTGTGTGTTATATACCAGTGTGTGTCTTATATTGTAGATTTCACTGAAGTGGATAATAATCTTATCGCAGAAGAATACAATTATTCTGGCTCACCTTCATGAATACAACTTATGATGATTTCAAGGTTCAAGAGCAGCTAAATCTTGTGTTTATTCCTTCTCTTTTAAATAATCACTTATTGTAGTTCCAGTGATGTACATGCAAATGCGTCGATTCTGTGTCACTGAAACTGTGAGAACCTTTGAATCCGACATAATCCTCTCAAATTAGACCCGCGGGTCTTTATTGTGGCGGGTACAAAAGGTCCTGCGGCCCCTCTTGTTCAAGGGCCGGGTCGCCTGTCTGCATGTTGGTCCACTCTCATGTTTGACATGGCAGGGTGCAGCGTGGTGAACCCTGCTGCCTGGTGGCTCAGACGACTTGTGACACTGTGAGTCCCCCCACACAGCGAGATACAAGCGCCGCTAGTGAGACAGAAAGTCAAAGGTCAACTCCTCTTTTCTCCCTTCATCACCCTCAGCGCCAGCAGACGAAGCAGGCTCCCAATTAAACGACAGCGATTCCCTCACAAACAAGGTCAAAGAGACTGGAATCACAGAGAGTTAGAGAGCATGAGTTTAAACCAGAGGAGGAAAGGGGGAGAGGACAAGCTGGGAGATGTAACTGCGGAAACTCAGAGATACTGGGTGGGTGAGTAAGGGTGGAGGGAGGGAGTGAAAAAAAGAGAAAGACGGGAAAAAGAGAGGGAGATTTGAGAGACAGAAGGAAAAGGCAGTATTAATATTCACAGACTCCCAGCGCTTCCTAAATATTTTATTACTTCCAGCTGTTTGATGTTAAGGAGACTCACCAGAGAGCCCCCTACTCACACACACAAACACACGCACACATGCACACGCGCACACACACAAACTTGCACAATCACAAAGCCACATGCAAGTAAATACCGACTCACACAAACAGAAACTCACATTCGCATGCACTCAAATATGAACCCCAACACACACTGACACGCCAGCAGTCACACACATATGCACAGCAGGGAACACGCAATAAATACATGCATGTTTACAGCACACACAACAAACCACATATAGCATGGACTCAAAGCCATAACACACACACACACACACACACACACACACACACACACACACACACACACACACACACAAAAGTAGAAATGATATAAAAAAAAAAACAAAAAAAACTCCCACAGGCACACAAACGCACACCACTGACTTCACATCGATCATAATCTGTCTTTCAGGAGTTCTGTCACGTTTATTCATTTATTTATTGGCTTATTTATTTATTTGTATATTCATTATTCGTTGGACTGGCTTTCTTTTTATTTGCGAGCTCAGTTCCGAGGGGAGAGCGGGAGAACATTCATCTTCTGATGAGAGCAGTCATTAATTCAGAACAGGCCCATCTCCCGCTCTCTTTCTCTGTCAGTCTGTCTCTTTCTCTCTGTCCATCAGGCAGAGTCTCTCGCTCTCTGTCTCTGCCCATCAGCTCGACTTTCTGGGTTTATTTCTCCCTCTGTATCGGTCTGTCTTTTTTTTTTTTCTGTGTTGTTCAGTCTCAGCAAATGTCTCTCCCTTTCTCTCAGAGCTTTCCAGCAATGTGTTCTCCTTCTTTTGCAACTCTCTACAAGGCTTTGTCCAGACGAACTAGATAAATGAGGAACATAGTCTTTACAATGCCAGAGAAATGTGCAACCAATGACAGATTTCATAAAAACTGACTCAAAAACAAAGAAAAACAACAATAACCCTCTGTAAGTTGGCAAAACACAACAGTGTATAACAGCTAAAATTTGGCACAGTTCTGCTTAATCTTGGGTGATAAACCTTTGCTCTTTCCCCACCTCACCTAAGTCGGACAATGAACCTCCAACTTCTTCTCTTGTAAAAAAAATATGAAGGTAAAATACCTCCTAAGGTGGCAGGAACAGACGCATTGTGCTGGTGACACATTCTTGGAGCCATGCAAGGCAAATGCAAAAGTGATGTGGCTGTTGGAGTTGGTGTTCACCTCACGCACTTTCACTCCAAAGTACACGTAAGAAAAAGGGATGAGAAACCCTGAGTTCGTTACAGTCTACAGCAGATCATAACTGGACGCTCATGGTGACGGCCAGTTCAATGACTTGTGTGAGAGTTTTTCACTGTTCCTCCTCTACTTGGTTAATCTGGTAAAGGATGCTGCAGAGCTGTCAATCAGGGTGTCACATCTCTGCTTTTAAACTTCCAATAACGACTCAAATGACTCAACATTTATGAAAAATTAACATCCGTGCGTAAATCGGCCTGATAAGAACTATCAGAACGAAAAACATGTTCAAGACAATTTTAATGATCTAATTCACCCACGCCACCTCTGTTATTATCACTGGCTGCCATTGGTTCTGTGACATCGACCACTGGTTTCTGGAGAAGGGTTATAAAGGCCAACATTTGTAGTCACCATACCGGTAACAATAACTGAATCTAGACACAGACAAAAACATAGACTTTAGACCTGAACTGTATCAGCCTGTAAACATGTTTAATTAAGCTGTTAAGATAAGAATTTTAGTGGGGGTGTTATTGAAGTTTCATTGGTGTTTGGAGCCAGCCTCCAGTGGACACCCAAGGAACTGCAGTCTCTGTACACTTGAGCATTGAATTTTACTTCATTAGTATTAAGGAGGTGGGCTTTATAACTTGTACTGCAGAGAGTCACCATGTGGAGCTCCTTGGATTTTGGCTTCACTTGCGGGTAGTTGCCATGCTGTCCATGTTTCTGTACACTCTTTGGTTTGAACTGTTCTGTGTCCAAGTGTCGTGTAGAAGCTGTAGAAAGTCATTTTCTAATCCTACCTGCAAAGCAGACCCTGACCGTTGATCTTTAGAGAGTCACTTTCAAATACTCTCTACAACGTGAAGCCAGATTCTCAAAATGTGTCCTTTTAGGCTCTGAGAGCATCTCTTTAATAGAGACAGACAGACAGAGCGCAAAAATTGGACAGCTTACAATCAGATCATTCAAAATGAAAACATCAACAAGTAAAGCAAGACAAAAGACTGCCTGTGTCAGTGATGATGAAATGAAATTCAGGGAGCCTTGGATCTATTACTGATCAGGCTTATCAGAAACAAAAGACTGGACAGCTTTTAATGATGCTGAAATTACTTAATGAGTCTAGAAAGACACAATCGTTTTATCACATCTCATGTTACACTATATCTCACCTACAGAGGACGCACTCAAGATGACTTTCACATACACTGTTAATGGGCATGCTTATGTTGGCAGTAATGTAATCAATGCTGCAATAAATTCTGAATTAATCAGAATAAATCACTTTGGTTGACTTAATTAGGTTTAACAAAACTACAAGTATCAGGAGATTCTTTCAAGAGTCCATATCCGGAGTATTAATGGAGATTTGATTGAAGGACGAATACTGAACAGAATTTCTCTGATATCAAATAGTGTGTCCAGTTATGTCAAATGTTACATATACATTATATAAAATATCCAAATATGCCCCCAGTTTGTATTTTAAAGCATATAGACTTGGCTGAAGTACTGTACTACCAGATTTGAGGCATATTATATCATCACTTTTTTGTCATAAGCATCAAGAATTGCGATGCATGTGGTATTTGAAATACAACCTCAGAAAAATATTTTAACACCATATTCTGATGGAATCAAAGTGGACCCATTGAGGGGATTAGATAAGCTCCATATGACGTTTACAATAATATGGGGTTCTGAGGTATTTTGGGCGGTGTTAAGTCCTCTAATGTCTGTGATGTAACTCGTGTAAATGTATAATCTGATGGTTTAAACTCTGTTTGTTTGACACATCAACCCTACACAGCTCTCTTTCCCTTCACACGTCTCCACCATTATCCTATCCTGCGCTGTCATCATAATAACCACATCAATGAGGGTGGATGCCTTTGTATAGGCTGAGTATAGGCTGCTCCGCATTACCAATAGATAAAAACAGTCTAATAACTCCTCTAAATTGGAGGTTAAGGAGGGCCTCACAGCATTAGGTCTGCGATATTGAAGGCAATAACCTGGTGACAATTCAATCGGATGTTCTGACAACACTAATTGTGTATCTCTTGGTTATAACAAGACCTGATCAATATCGGGGCTGGATCGATCAGATAACTAGCATGTCTTTTGGTTAAAGGAGACACCAGAGTGCGTATGAGGAAAAGTTCAGCAGACATGAGAAGCACATGCTAACTCCAAGTGGGATTCAAACCAGACTTCTTTTCGCTTTGAGGTGACAGTGTAAGCCACCGCACCGATGCGCCACATGCCAATTTGTTTCAGGCCAAGATCTGGTTGGATCGTTGGCTTATCCTCTTGGCAGAGTTCAACCAGACTTCTTGAGCAGATTTCTCATAATTGTATCATCTCAGTGGGGCTGAGGTCAGAACTTTGGGGAGGGCAGATCTTATGATTTTACGACTCTGATGTGTTATCAATCTTTGCTTTCTTTATTTCAAAGAACACGAGGCGAACGCTGAAAAGATGTCTGGACGTGACATTAAAAGAGAAGGTGAGGAAACTTTGATGGATCCCCGGAGAAAAGGACTTGAGTTAATGATTGAACACTTCAGTATGAAGTCACATCGAGTGGAAAGACTTCACATTTTGACCAACGACTGATTCATCTCGCAGAAATTCTCTCAATCTCCACCCTGGTGATGTCACGAAACGAAAAGATGGGGTTTTGTTTTTAGACACATCGCTAACTATGTTGGTCTAAACATAGCCTTACTCTGGACCCAAACTCTTACTCTGTCTCTCCATCTCTGTCTCTCCTCCCCCTTTCTCTCCCTCCTCTGATCCGTCCACCCCCCCCGTGTTCCCGAGCCTGTTAATCAGCAGATTGTTAATGAAGGCCCGAGTTCAAAGACGCAGAGAGGGGGGAGCGGGAGGGAGAGGAGGCACAGAGCAGTACGATGGGGAGGAGTTTTGGACCAACTGTCTGTTTGTCAAAACACGTCCACTCGTCTGTCTCTTAGCCTGTCTTCTCCTCTGATGTGAGTCCCTCAATGAGCTACCCGCTTGGACCACAACACAGCGTTTGCTCTCTGGGTTTCCCTTTCATGTTCAATTAAATGTGAGCGAGAGGGAGACAGAGAGACAGCCAGAGAGGGGTGAGAGCCAGATTAATTACATGTTTCAATAATGGAGATTAATTAGTATTATTTAAACATTGACAGTATCAACTAGACGTCAAGCATTTTGTGAGGCACATACAAAAGTTCTCACTTTAATGGGTAAATTCATGTCTCCGTATGGCAGCCTAAAAGTCGTCTCTTCATGTTTCCCCTCCCTCCACGCCTCCTTCAATACTGTACATCAACTCCGCTGGCATCTAAAATTGTTGTTTTCGTGCATATCATTTCATGTTTAACCCTACCTATGTTAAGCTCTGCCAGCTTGAAATGATCTTCCTGACATTTATCTTTTTGCTGCTTCCCTGTTACATTTGGCTTTTGTGAAAGACAGCGACGCAGAGAAAACTCTCAAAGTGGAAACGGTCAAGTAAGACGCAATAAGCGCTTCTGCTTTTGGATGGCATGACAAAAGTTGAAATGAAAAAAAAAATCAAACACAGTAGCTCTGGAGATGTCACACGGCCCTGGAAAAAATGCCATTGCTCTCCGGCGATGGCCCCAATTTGAGAGGGTGACAGGAAACAGTGAGGGGAGGGGAGGGAGGCGAGCGTGAGCTTTCAAACCACATCCCCGACACCACAGGCCGACTTCACCCTTTTTAACAGCGCCATATTTCCCCAAAATGTATCAGACGGAGCATGTGATAGCCAAATGGTGGTGAAATCTCTGATAAATCCAGGGATGGCTTTTTTCTCTGGAGGGGGAGTGCTGTCTGCTAGAATCATTTAAAAGGGAGTGACGAGAAAGATCTGTTCAAATAACAACCGCGACCAAAAATAGCTGAAATATTGGCACTCATGGCCTTCATACATGTTCAGCCAAACACACATTTGCACATATAAATGGTACATGTGCATGCAAACACATTTGGTCCTTGCAAAATGGGAAAGCATGAGAGAAATCAGCTACAGCCGAGGTTACAAATCTAAGGATTGGGAGCCTGAAATATAAATCTAAGGGGTTACGATATAACCAGTGAGGAATGAAGCAGCACAGATATTTCTGATACGAGGAATCAGAGTAAAAATAAAACAAAAAGCTCTTTTGTGGGCTTACAAAGACAAAGGGATAAGAAACTACAACATGAAAAGCACGTGGATTACAAGATGATTGTCCCTTTAGTACAAGCCATGCTTTCCACGTTCAAGCCATCTTTATTTTATCTGACTGTATTTTTTTTTTTTTTTTACAGGTTTAATAACACAAAGCTGGAAACTTCATATCCAGCACCTCCTCTTTTCTTTCAACTACGCAGCTAGAAAACCCAGTGGCAGCCACTTCAATCAAGAAGCTAAGGAGCCTTAAGACACACAACTTTTCCTACTTAGGACGTACATCAATAATTGCTGAATAACAGCAGGTTTGGTTTCAAAACATACATAATATGCAGAGCAATCTTCCATTATCGCTCTAATTTTATACAGAGGAGTGAAAATATACAATTTTGTTCATTGAGAAACGGTTTAATTTTGCATCAACCTACTCCAAACACACGTCTTAATCATTTCAGAGCTGTCCGGTATTATTAACCGAGGTCTTTTACTTCCCTGCAGCTCCAACACCGAGGAGTACTATGATGCTATCCTTCATCAACGCCAAAATACACTGGGTTTGTGTGAGAGTTTGAGATGTATACTGAAGTAACTAGATCTCTGGCTGAACTCTCACAAGACAGAGACGAGGGAAGTGAAGAAAAACCAAACAGCGGGCATCCGCCTCATACTCAGCTCTACGGGGTGCATTCGTGTGTGCATGCATGTGTGTATGCTTGCGTGTGTGTGTATATTGTGGGTGTTTGTGTATCCTTTCTCCAGCAGGACCCCCAGATCAAAACCGCAACCCACTCTCCCTCCCCATGCCTCTCTCTTTCTCTCTTTCTCCAACTCTCCACCCCCTCTCTCATTAAAAACTGCAGGCCCTGGCTTCTAATTAAATCCCACTTGAAAAGTCTTAAAGTCAGCCTCAGATTGATTCAATTTGCATTTCTGAACAGAGAACATTGCCTAAAAGGATTAATAAATTGGACGAAAAAAATGCCTTCTTTCTGCGCCATGCCGTCAGAGCTTGTAAGACAACATCCAAAGAGAAATATCCCCCCTCAACAAACGTCTATCCAACATATGCTCTTGCTCTCTCTCTCGCACGTCCCTCCCAGGATGCCAGCAGAGATGGGGAAGTGTGTATCAGGACTTTCAGTGTGTGTGTGTGTGTGTGCATGGATGTCCTCGTCTGTGGAACAAGCGCAGAGTCCTCTGAGGCACAGTCAGGCAACGAACACACATCCTGACTCTCACTGTGTGTTCATTTGCACATATATGTGTGTGTGCACGCCTATTTACGCCTGGTATGTGTGTATGTGTGAGAGGGGCGACTTTGTTGGAGCGTGCCAGAGTGCTGAAAGTGACAAGGAGGCACAGTGGGAAAAGATCCTTGCCGTACTGTCTGTATGTGCGGAAAACAGACCGCGGCAGTGGAGCCATGCCATTGGCTAACGGACACCTACAGCAACATGTTTGGAAATCCAAAAACACATTGCCAGCAAAGAGAGCCAGATTCAATTAGTGCGATAAAATGAAAAGAGCAGCTAAGACAGATTAAACAGACCAAAAGCTGATAGAGCTGCCAGGAGGAAAGAGCAAACACTAATATTAGAATCTACATTTATATTGACACAAAAGGTCGTCTTGAAATTGAACATTTACAGACTCTATGTATATTTGCATTATGTGAGAATGTGGAACAAGCTGAGAAATTACCTCTAAAATTTGCTCTGATGATACCTATCAAATACTTTTCATCTGCAAATCAGACGGTGCGGTGCCTTCGAATAATTTGCATGTGTATTGACTCTATAGAATCTGACTTACGCCAGACATTTTCAGCCTTTCAGAGCTGAAATTTCAAAATGCCTACCTTTGGTTACAGCCATGTAAGGTTCATCTGTGCCTTTATTTCCTTACCTTTCACATAAAAGAGCTGTTCTTTATAATTTAAAGAAAATTCTGTTATTAAAATTCTCCGTATTGAATCGGCTCACTTTGATTGTATGCTTTCCCCACTGGATGGTAACCTCATATATAAGTATAAATTGTTGCAGCTCTGTGAAGTATGATTTGCCCTATTAGCGTGGACTGTAGTTGGATGGGGGACATGTTAGTGTTATTATTTGCCTGTCAAACTGGCTTGTATAATGGCTGATGGACTTTCATAGACCGCCGGTAGCTCAGCGGTTGAAGACTTATTAATAAAAAACTAGAACCACATGGGGACAAACAGACAGGCATACAATATACAGCAGGCATGCCTTCACCGCATGACACTTGGTTTGTCTGTAATTACAGTAACACAAGCAGGAGGACCAGGGTAGGCTACAGTTGGTCCTCAAATACAATGGAGAAAACTGTGAGAAAGAAACTGAACCAGGATTTTTTGAAAAAATACGATCAGGATGAAAGTCTGAGAGTCAAAGGAGGATCGAGAGTTGCGAAAGTGACAAGTTTCATTGTGCCGCACTGCAAAGAAAGCACAGATCTATCAGGATGAGATGACCGTGAGGAGGGTGAGCTGGCTATGCTTTGTGTTAAACAACACTGACCCCTAGTGGTATCAATTGGGAGCATTCAGGAATTGATTTGCATAATGCCTGCGTGCGTGCAAGTGCAAAGAGCCATATGTCTTTGCATGGGGACAATGAGTTCTGGAGTGCAGCGGGTTATATTGGCATGAATGTTCCTGCAGATGTATGCTGTGTGCTGTTTGTTTTGTGAATGTGCACCTATGTCTCCACATATGGAAAATAGTGAGCGTGCCAGATTTGCAAACAGAGTCTGCATGCAGTGTATGTCCATAGGATGTGTGTGTGTTTGTGTGTGTGTGTTCTAATAATGGTGCCTGGTGGACTGGGGCTTCCTTTGATGCGATGAAGACCGACAGGCGTGAAACAGGTCCAATCAGGCGCGTGGGTGCTGCCAATTAACCCTTTTCACCGTGTGAAACCAAACATAATTGCCTGAAGTGCAGGGGGCCACTGGGCCATGGCCTGCCCAGCGTAGGCTGAAATGGGCATTAGCGGTGCTGCCAGGTGACCATTACACACAATTGAACTGCTGGGTGTTTCTCCAAATCACATAGTTAGAGCTGCTACCCAGACCTAATTGGCATGGCAATACCAAACGGCCCTTATTTCTAATTTTCACACCTACACCGTTTATCTGGGATATCATTAAAGATCTCTACTGTTCCAGGTTTATTATTCTACAGCAGGCATACTGTACTTTGGTGGTGCTTTTTCTCTGAATTTTGCTCCGGGATCGAGAATCGTGTTATACTTGCAGTATTAAATTTCTCTCTTTGTAATAAATGTTGAAGTCAGAATGTTCTCATAATCATAACTGGAACAAATAGTAGTTAATAAGTTAGGCTTTGTGTGCACTGATAATCAGATTTTATTCATGTTATGCTCAAGGCAAGTATCCCACATTGTTAGTCAAACACCCAAAACTGGAGCAAATGGAAGTAGAGCAGCTCTCACAGTAATACTACAATAACAGCATTTACTAAAATTCAATTCTCATTCATCTCCCTTTCATATTCATATTATTGTAATAAATAAATGATTATGGATATTAACAGTGTGTGGTAAAACGGCTGCTAACTATTCATGACACTGGATTTTAAATTATAAAAAGAAAAGACTGAGAGGGGAGTTTTAGCTGTCTGCCTTTTTAGGAGTAATACGGGGATCTTCAGGAAACATTTATGTAGAGTGTAAGCTGTAATACAGTTATTAAAAATACAAACTGCAGTGTGTTGTAAGATATTATGCACAAGACAAGTTATCTTTTTTTGGTAGAGCTACAACTCTAAAACAAATGTGTAATTTAATTCGAAAACAGATGTCTGGCCTGAATTTTGCAATATTCTTCCCACATGCTTGTTTTTTTTACAAACTTCTTTTAACTTTAAACTCTTATAAACAAATCAAAATTAATCATCACTTTACACTAGAAGCACCACTAACATTACGCATCCAGATATTTTTATAGTTTCTGATAGCTTTTTCTTTTCATAAGGTGCCAGAAAAAAAATATTAGAAGCCTTTAGCGGTAAACAAACGCACTGAAAAAGTGCAAAATCTACCATTGGCATCAGTCATGGTAAACTAGTATTAGCAATGTTTGTGCCAGCAGAAAGGTAACAAAGAACTGAAGGCAGACTGAAATATAAATTACACCTCAGTGGTGCTATAACACAGTACATCACCTCATATAGGGGTTGGATAAATATCCATATGGAAACACATCTTCTGTCTGACTCATGCAATATGATGATTATTTCACTGCTGCATAACACTGACATTCTCATTTAGACACAATCTGTGCTCTCAGCAGATTTCCCTGCCAATTTGACTCTCCATGTCACTCCTTCATGACTTCACTGTTAATCCTACACTTCCCTTTTGGGTTGTTTTGTATTCTCGGTTGATCAGGTATGATGCATCACTATCATCTTGTAATTTATCAATAATTCCAGAACTGCTGTTGTTATTTACATTTACATATAAATACTGTTGACTTATTTAAATAGAGTGTCTGGCAGTTTTATGAAACTGCAGTGGCTTTTCCTGGGCGCTGTCAGCATATTTATTACTACTTCTAAGTGGATATTGTGAAATTATGCTGCTGCTGTGTAAAAGTTACAAGTTAAAGAGAACTGGGCATAAACTCCATGAAGTAATTTTCATTTTAAGGTGGTATTTTAAGTATTTAAGGTAAAAAATAAAAATAAACCGTATTATGAAAAGTCGAATGAGAGTTTTACAAAATTATTAATATCTGAGCAACCAAAACAACAGCTACTGAGTGTTGATGGTGCACTGGGGTGTGTTATATTAAAACGTGGTGCTGATATTTTGTCCTCCTTGTTTAAAGGGATATTCTGGCGTAAAATCAATTTGGGGTCAAACTCACCGTAAGACAGAGTTAGGCACCCCCTCGAGAGATGAATACTGCCGACTGCTTGCGTCTCTAGTGATACCAACTTTAGTAATGACCGCAAAATAGCAGTATACAGCAGTCCAAGGAGCCATAAACAAACCTCAACGAAGCCACAGTTTTATAGCCACAAGTAATGCTCAGAACAGCACATAACTTCATCAACAGTACATATAGGGTCTTATCCATAGCACTAGCCACCAAACATCTCTTTAACTTGGCCTGATTTCTTTAGCAAAGAGACTGAACACAACTCACCTACTCTCTTCCAGCAGCCCTTTGTTTGTAGAGAGACCTCAGGCCAGTCCATTATGGACTACAGCGGGGTGATGCAGCTCAAGGAAGAACATTTATGATAATTTCTTCATGGAAATGCAATAAGACAGAGACGCTTTGGCAGAAGAACTACTGCGTCTACTGTGCAAAATGATTAATATGGTGATTATTACTTTAAGGAAACGATAAAGAAATGATCATAAATGTTCTTCCTTGAGCTGCGTCACCCTGCTGCAGTCCGAAATGGACTGGTCTGAAGTCTCACTACAAACAAGCAACTGCTGGAAGAGAGCGGGTGAGTTGTGTTTAGTCTCTTTGCTAAAGAAATTAGGCAAAGTTAAAAAGATGTTTGGTGGCTCGTACTTTGGCTAGGACCCTATATGTACTGTTGATGAAGTTAGGTGCTGATCTGAGTATTATTTGTGGCTATAGAGTGGCTTTTTGGTTGAGGTTTGTGTGTGGCTCCTGAGACCGCTGTGTATCACTATCCTGCAGTCATTACTAAAATTGGTATAACTAGAGAAGGAAGCAGTCGGCAACATTCATCTCTCCAGGGGGTGTCTAACTTGGTGTTATGGTGTGTTTGACCCTAAATTAATTTTATGACAGAATTCCCCTTTAAAAAGTGGGCAAAATATAGGAAAAACTTTTGAAAACAACTCTAGTTCACCACCATCTCCTTCAACAGTGCAGTATAATAATCACCTGTCTGATCATGTCAACAATAAGAGAAAATTTATGAGCTTCTTAACAGCAGAAGTTGAGTCAGAGCTGTGGTATTGAATTTTAACAGGTTGCTCAGGTGTTCCTAATGTTATGACCATAGACTCCCCGTTCTTCAACTGCGTCCTTTCTGCCACCAGAGGTCGTTGTTTCCCCTTTCCTCCATCCTCAGCCTCCTGCTCACCCTCCTGCCTGTCTGTCTGACTGCCCAACAAGAAATGTTGGCAAAACACCCCCTCCTCACCGAGTTGGGAAAAAAAATGGCGGACAAGCGCTAAATCCACATCAGAAACAAACACACACGTTACAAAGCGAGGTAAACATCCTCGGATGCACCGAGCACCGTCTCCTTTTAGTCCAGGCTTCAGTGTTGATTCCAGGTTACCTCAGGCTAGACTCGGTGTGCCGCTACGCTCCCGTTTCGCTAATGCTATTTATTACAATCAGGTCAGGCGAGCTAGCGAGCCACCTAGCATGCTAAGATAGCATGCTGCTGGGTTTTTAGTGGGCATGTCTCCCGTGTAGCCGTGCATAGCAGTAGCATGCTGGAGGAGCTGTGTGCACGGCTGCATGTTACAAATCCATCTCTGCCTTATTAACTCTCCATTAGGTGTTCGCAGCTGCCGTGTTAACTCCTGGATAACACGATTAGCGATGCTGTCACGTAAATGAGCATGTAGCGCGCATGCAAATGTAGCTCCGGAGAGGGCGGGGGGGTCCCATGTGTTGGCTGCTTTGTGTTTTGAATGAAGAGCAACATATTTGGGCAACGTGGGAAACGGTGTTAGAGCAGCGGAAGGACACGATGTTCAGGGTTTGTCTCCGTGAATATGTGCTTCAGTTGTTGTTTTAGACAGTCACAGATAAGTGTACATGTCTGAGGAGGGTCTAGTACCTGCTGAGGTCTCATGCCTGTCCTCCTCCTCCTCCTGTCACTGTCGGAAAAACAGGGAGCGGGGCCGCTTTAATTTGGACGCCATCCCCCCTCGGCGGAGGAAAAAGGCGCACTTCTATTGAAAAGGAAATCACCCGGAGAGGAGAAACGCTGCTAAACGGTTATGAAGTTTTAAGGTATGTCTGAGATATTGAAATCACTCATTTTAACTCACCTTTTCAGTCATCTGGTTTGTTTTTAGAAACTTTATATTCGCATAAAATCTCGTTTTTAAGCGGGTGTTTTTTTTCCTCTGTCCAGAAATTCAAATATTTGGCAGATGTTCTGATTTACTGTGTCACCTCTAACTTGTTGAGTTTGATGTATTGAATATTGGGATTAGTGTTTTACACAGACCACATTTGTCTGTCTCAAGTGCTTGTTTATACCAGTTTGACCTGTTGACCTGTTTGTTGTGTCTGGCTGCTAAAGTTGCTTTACCTAGTGTCTGGATTACACACATATGACCTTTAGTTTTAGTTAACAAACAGCACAGTCACATACTGGAAAAGGGTGTTTTTATATTTTATTGTAAAGAGATGATTTTAAATTTGTCAGATAGCTGTGAGGTGTACAATATGCCAGGAAAATGCCCCCTTTTTAAGGGATTTGGCTGTAAAGTTTGTGGTTGTGTCTGGCTGGTAAAGTTGCTTTACCTAGTGTCTGGATTACACACATATTGACCTTCAGTTTTTGTTAACAAACAGCACAGTTATCTACAGAAATTAGTGTTTTTTATATTCATTTTTAAAGAGAATATGTAAAACTTGTTAGATGGTGCATAATGTGCAGTGAAAATACACCTTTTTCAGGTGGTTTGACTGTAAAGTTTGTGGTGCTGTAATATTATCTGCTTTTTATAGAGATGAATGGGTAACACTTTGCAATAATCATAAGTTATAAATGGTTAGTAGATAGTTTCTCAATGTTTAATCATCATTTTAAAACAGCATATAGACCAATTATGAATGGCAAATAGGTGGTTTATTAATGTAAGTTAATAGTTTCTTTACCATTAACAAGTAATGAAATTATGATTGATAATTTTCAGTAATTATTAATGGACTATTATTAAAGGTTTATATAGGATTTAAACATTGGTTGTAAACCATCTAGATTAAAATGTGTGTCAGTTGCACTTTGTAAATGGTTAATATTTGATTTTTAAATCATCTATAAAAATTACTTAGATGGTTATTGTAAAGATGATAGTGATGTTTGTAATAGTTTGTAAATGATTAATTAGTGGTTTATAAACCACCTATAAACATTACTTAGAGGGTTATTGTAAAGTTAGGGTTAGGTTTTTAAATTTGTAAAATTTACAATTAATCAATGTTCTATTTGCTATTTATAAATGATGATTAAACTTTATTAAACTATCTGCTTACCATTTATAAATGGTCTTATTACCATTTATAAGTTATGGTTATTGTAAAGTGTTACTGATGAATGTTTATTCTCCTCTACTCTGCATCAAGGGCTGTTTTCTGTTTGCAAAGCTTTAAGGTATTTTGATCTTAAAAAGATTCACTTAAGTGTGAAAAGGCAAATTAACTCCATATGTATTACATTGTAAGCATGATCTTTGGGCTCTTTGTTGAACCTTCCTCCCATGACGACCCCCTGCTTGCCGAGAAGGCCAGTTAACTACAAAGATAACAAGGGCAGCGCTCTGGTTTCCCTTTGAATCACTGTACAATTAACATGTGGTAGACTAATCTGCATGGGTTTCTTTCAGTGCAGTTTGATAGCTTATTCTTGTTAATGATACACTTTTTATCACCCCTTTGTTACATGGTAACCTCTCAACATTCCTCCCTGTTTTTCCTCCAGTTTTAAAATTGAATTTTAATGTTTGAACAAGTTTGCAAAATAGGTCAACTACAAACACTTCCCAATGTTAGTTTATGTAAACTTAAGACTGTCTGATAAATTTGTCAGTTGCAGCAATAATAAAAAATATCAATCCCCTGTTTTTGCTGATGTTTGTTTTTTTTGCCTGCAGAGTGGAAGCCACTGTTGAGTTGTGAGCTTGGTTAGTATTGCTGGAGCATGAGGAAACCTGTGCCACAGAAAGGTAAGACTACATCATAGAAAATTTCAAGGATGATAACATTTTCTTCAGATATCTGTGTTAGTAGTTTCTTAGCAGGTGAAGCTAAAAGTTTACTCCAACCGTTCCCTCATTCTGTCAGTCTCGACCCAGATTTTATCTTGTAATAGTCCTGTAATCTCAGGTAATGTTCAGAGCATTGAGTTTGGCGGGTATTGCGAGGTACTGACTGATGTGAAAATCACCCGTAGTTGAGAGCTTATTCTGTCTCTGTTGGCTCCTCCAGCTATAGAGTGGAAAGATGCCAGACGGATCAAGCATGCCCGGAGTGGACGGCCCTCCCGGGTGCCCTCACAGTACCAAGGTAAATAACCCACAGCAGCCATTGATATAAGAAGAGGTTTGGACAATCTCATCAGGAAATGGAGCCCGAGGTTTTCTTCAGCTTTGGTTCATATATCAGCGAGAGAAAGTTTGTTATGGGGAGTAATAATTCAGTTTTAGCTCTCTCTTTGTATGAGAGCCCTCATACGACACATGTAAATTTGACAGTTATTAATCAAGGAAAACACTAGTACAGTGTCAATTAGTGTTGGGCGGTATGAACAAAATCTTCTATCAGGGTATGGATATTTCATATCACGGTAACAGCACATATCACGGTACGTTTTTCCCCCCTGTAAATTCAATTAATGGCTCAAAAATAAACATACTGTTGCATTTGTTCATTTTCCTTTTTCATTTTCATATTTATTTTAAGACTTGGATTTGTATACAAATGCGAACAATATGCCAGACCAGAGTGGCGATTTTTTTTATCATATGGTGTACCTTTGCGGAAAGACTCTGCTGAGCTGTTTTGTATCAGAGCAGCTTTAGTTTTTGGTGCAGCAGGTGTGTCACACATCTTTCAGCTCTCATAATAGAGCTTGGTGTGTTTTATCTTTAGGTGGTGGAAGAGGTTGCTGGTGTTTCCACCTCCAGCAATGACAGCCACACAAAACTCTTTGCATAGTATTGTTTTTTGATCATTGTCGGATATTCTAAATCTGAAGAATCTTCAGACAACCGATGGAACGAGTTCCTCCTCCTCTTCCTTGTGTTGGGTGGGTCGGGCTGCCTCCGTTTACTTGGTACTCCCACTTACCTTCGCGTCCGCCATGACCACCACCAGTGAAGCTGTTTCTTCTTCGTCTAAACTATGCCAAGCAGTCTGCTGGACACGCTGGTGATTATAGGGAGTGCACCCAAACCTGACCAATCAAACAGAGCAAACAAGCTCTGCACGAGGCGCTGGTGACGATAAGAAAATGCACCCAAACAGATGCGCTCTGGCTTTCCTGTTAGCAAGCGTAGGCAACTACACACTGACTCAGAGAGATGCAGCAGACATCTGCTCTCTCTAGCTGGTATAAACGGTTTAAGCAAAATTTCTACCAGTAGGCACTCTTATACAATCACACGGTATATACCGTCATACCGCCCAACACTAGTATCAATATAGATTTCATGTTTTTCTTCTTGATCTTCTTCAGGACATTTCAGCTGGGAGAAATACCTGAAAGAAACAGGTGCTTCAGCTGCACCGTCGTCTTGCTTCAGACAGGTGGGTGGGACTGATGAGTCCTCTTGACTGTTTTTATCATTATTATTTATTTTATTCCACAAAGTCTTCTCTCCGCTTCCGTCCTCCCCGTGTAGAGTCTCACACCTCCAGTCAACGAGTTCAAGGCAGGGATGAAACTGGAGGCCCAGGATCCACGAAACACCACCTCCACTTGCATCGCCACAGTGGTGGGCCTGACGGGCTCCCGGCTACGGCTGCGCTTGGACGGGTCGGACAACAAGAATGACTTCTGGCGCCTGGTGGACTCATCAGAGATTCAGCCAATCGGTAACTGTGAGAAAAACGGAGGCATGCTGCAGCCACCTCTTGGTAAGGACACGCAAAGATCATGTGATCATTGATTTATAGTGTCGTTGTATATTTTACTTTCTTTAAATTTTAGGTTTTTTCTTTACGCCCAGCAGGTGTCAGTGATTGACAGCAGAGAATATCAGTGTGTCCTCTTAACACCTATAAATAACTGCTTGACTCAGCCGCCCACACACTACATATCTGAATGAATACCAATGGAGAAAGACACAATAGAGCTGTATTTTCTGCCAGTCCAGACAAGTATCAGACATTCTTGTTCTCTGATTCCTTTTTTCATTGAGTAATCAGTAAAATTGTGCTTTTTTAAGTGCTAGAGGAGAGGCTCAGTGTGCAGTTTCAATCATTAATGGTAAAATGCTCTTGTGATTCAGGATAAGAACTCAAAACAATGATATTAAATAGAGAAGAGCAGAAAAATAAAATGATTGATGAGCTGGAGAAGGTTGTTTAGCTTCAAACATGGCTGTAATTATAAATGATCAAAAACACTTACTCTAATATCTCCTCTGTGATCCTGCCATCATGTTTTAAAACAACGACCATTGTCTTCTACAGGTTTTCGTCTCAATGCGTCATCCTGGCCCATGTTTCTTCTAAAGACACTAAATGGAGCTGAGATGGCGCCCTCTCGCATCTTTCACAAGGTACCTGTACAAGGCTCAGGAGCTCAGAACTCAGGAGAAAGCCTTTTTATTTATAAGCCGCTAAAGTACAAAGAGTCATTTAGTTAAGATCCGTCTTCACTATAGTGCACGGGACATTAATTTAACAAATGACTTCATACCTGACCCCCATTTTTCTCTCCATGTCTCCCAGCAGGAGCCTCCCGCTCCAGAGCAGAACTCCTTCCAGGTGGGCATGAAGCTGGAGGCGATCGACCGCAAAAACCCCCACTTCATCTGCCCGGCAACAGTGGGTGCACTGCGTGGCGTCGAGGTGCTGGTCACCTTCGACGGCTGGCGGGGAGCCTTTGACTACTACTGCCGGTACGACTCGCGGGACATCTTCCCTGTGGGCTGGTGCAACCTGACCGGAGACAATCTTCAACCACCTGGAACCAAAGGTCAGGACCTTGACAGTATAGAGGAAGTCACGTGTAAAATGTACTTGCATCTGAGCCGTAGTATGCTTCAGTTTCATTTTGATGCAGCTTATGCCGACTGTCTCCTCTCACATATGTCAGAAATTCAAAGAGAGGATGTGGCTAGACATTTTTATAACCCTCCAAAACACTCAGTCTGATGTCCACCCCCACTTCAGGCAGATCCTGGCCAGGAGTTGAAAAAGGAGCCAAATTTTTTCCTTTTTTTTAGTCTTTCATTTTCTGCACAGAAACAACTGAGAGCAACAACTTCCAGTTGAAAATGTCTGAGAATGTGTCTGCGGATGAAAACGAGACCAACTGGCATTCACTGGCATCGTCACCGTAAACATTTCCGTTTCTGACTTGGCCAAACAAACTTTATGAGGACTGATTATAATTTAAGCTCGAAGTGCTTTCTCACCTTGCAGGTCATTTTGGTTTTCTTTGTCCCAGTATTGTCTCAGAAATGGTACCATAAAAGGATTAACATTATAGCTTCAGATCAGTCAATCAGTGGGTTTCATTGGGGAAAAAGCATTGATCACCATGCAGAGGAACCCCATTACATTATGTTATATTTTAAAAACAATATATGTTGAGTATTTCCCGCAATGGTAGGAGTAAAGTTACTCTGAATGGAGGTAAGGGGTAAGCTGATTTTTTTGTATACAGCTAAATCTTGGTTCCTCCAATCACACAGTTGGAAATGCTTCCATGGCAACAGATTCTAACTAGCCTCCTTGTGGGACAAATAACCATTAAACCGAACATTACATTTCACCATTAGGTTAAAACATTAGACACGGTGAGTGAGACTTGCAGTATTTGTGGTGACATTTCCGTCCTCATTCAGCTCTCTTTCTTTAAGCTTTCAGTTGACACGCCTTTATTAAAGCTTGATGCTTTTATCACTGCAGATGTTACTTTGAGTCCAGGAAGCAAATTTTTTTTTTGTAGGGTGGTAGGGGAATGTCCCGCCTTCCTTCACCTCTTAATGGCTAGAAGTGCTGGGTATTGGTTATTCCTTATAGCTGTAAAACGTCATCGTCTGTCGGGTTAGGGTTAGGATTAGGGTTGGGTTTAGGAGATTCAGAAGTGTGATAATGTTCTGTAATGTTCTGTTCAAGAACAGAGCTGACAGCCCACGTTTGGCTTGAGCGTGTGATGACGTTTCCAGCTTTTCTAGCCAATCAGAGGCGAAGGAGGCAGGACTTCCCCTACCATCCTACAAAAAAAAATATCGCGTCTAGGAACTGCTATTATTTTCCCTCCTGACTGCAAGTACTGACGTTTGACTTTAATGGTAAACATTTATAAATGTAACAGAAACTGATGCTTTTGTCTCAGTGTCTGCAGGAAGTGAGGGGATATGCCAGGCTCCTTTCCATGACTTAATTTGGTATAACGTGACTTGTTGCTCCTTGTGTTGTCTTGCTTCTAAGATTAAATGAATCAACATTTTGATGGAGTTTTGACTACAGCTGGACGATAAACTGAAAATTTACTGGTACTAAAATTTACAACAGTAACCGACATCATTTTGCCCATGTCGGTATAGTCGGTGTCAAAAAAAATAAATAAATAAAAGTTGGTTTTGGATGTGTTTAGGGAGGCTCCACCCCATCCAGTCCATAACAAAGAGGGAACGACAGGTGAGGAGATGGAGGACGGTTCAAAAGTGCAAAGCAGATGAAGTTGACAAAGTTAATGTAGGAGAGGGTTGGCAGCTTGTGGAGAAGTTATAGTCCATTTATCGTTATCGAGGTAAACTGCTCAATATATTGTGATATTGATTTGAGGCCATATCGCCCAGCACTAATTTTGACGAATCAGAATCATTTGTTTAAAAAAAACAAGTTAATAAACAAAACAAACACATCCATGATAAATGTTGAACAAAATTAAAATAAAAACGCTGCTTTTATTACGTTTGTTATCTCTGGACGTCAAGACCTTTGTGCAGCAAATCTTGTGCATTTCAAGCATGTTTGAGGAAGACGAGTGCTTATTCAAGGACGACAATGAGCTGCTTTGAAATCTAAAAGTTTAGACTTGAAGTTTTTACTCGAGACTCTTGACCTGCATAATCTGCTCAGATACGACGGTACCTTCTTCTGGTTATGAGGGTTTGGTTGGTGCATGGCAGTTTGCAGTGTGATGTAAGTCCATGCTCTCTGCCTGAAGGCCTCATTAGCAACAGTTGATCAAGTCATCAGCAGCAGTTTGCTATTTTTATATCCTGATCCCGCTGAATCTCTCTCCAGAGGACTGGTTGTTTAATCTGTGCTTAACTTCAAATATCTACCAACATCCTTTTCACTCATGCGAGGAGGCCTGTGATTTGTGCACATTTTCAATCCAGTTTGTCTTTTTTTTTTTTTTCTATCTTGCAAACATGTTCTTGCTGTTTGAGAAGATGTGGCTTTGTTTACTCTTTTAACATAAAAGGGAAAAGACTCGGGGACGGGGTCAGTTTTTCTTTGTGTGTTTACTTTAGAGACATAAAAAGACGTTGGAGTTACGGGGTTATCATCCTCAAGACCATCTGTATTCATCTGTTTGAAATCCACAGAAGGAGTGGAAAAGGAAGGGGGGAAACAGGGAGGCAGGACATGTCTTTGTAGCTGGCTAGTGTGTTTTATGAAGGCCTGGCACGTACCCAGTTGGCAGAGTCGAGGGCCATGACGCGGTTGAAACGAGCCAGGGTGCCCCTCCACAGGCCTCTCGCTGGTACTCCGGCTTACAGTCTGATCAGACACCTCAGAGAGAGTGAGTTAAGTGAGGGGACAGCAGCGAGGAGAGGAGGCAGACGTATGCCGTTAAATGCGGATTGTTTACATTGTCAGCAGATGGTGGGAGGAGAGAGGGGGAGCGGGGAGGAAGAGAGAAAGAAAAGGAGGAGCTACACAGAGGAAGAGTGGTAGAGGAGGACAGGGCAGGAGGAGCAGAGGGTGAATCTGAGGACAGCTGTGCAGACAACCAGACTTTGACTTTTGTTTGGTCAAGAAAGGTGAGTAAAGATGAGTCCAGTTACAGATATGCAGCTGGAGTGATAGATTCAAGCTCTGAGGAGTTATCTTCCTGTAATATGAAGCTGGTGGCTTAATGTGAACTCAATGAACTCAGTGCACTCAGGGCAGAGGGAAGAAAAAAAAAGAAATGCTTTCTTGTTGTGCATTTGTTTGGCTGTGTTTACAAGTGCTGCCATTGATCAGCGATCATGTAACCTGGAGCTCTTTAAACCTTTTAAACATATTATCCAGGAATCGTCCAGTCTGGGGAGGATCAATCAGGTGTCTTGTTTTTCTTAGATTCACAGTCTGGAAAGTAGCAGTCGCCTGCAGACTGAGCTTTGCATTGATTTGTACGTCTGTGCGAAAAGTGTGTTTAATAAATACAACCCCGTGGGCCGAGACCCGTGTTAATGAATGTGGTTGGTCCCCTCATAAATCTGCCCCTGGTTGATCCAGGATGAATACCAGTGCTTTTTAGTTTGTGCAGTGTGTGTGTGTGATCAGGCTTGCAGGTGCATGTGAAGCCAGCTCACTCTGCCTGAGCTGTGGCTTTTTCCACGCACACGCTCAAAGTTTTGCCAGCTGCAATCACGACTTCAAGTTTAGGCACCCTACTTATTTAGTTGTTTTTTTTATATGTATTTCTGCTCTAAATGGTTTCACCATGTGCAAAAACTCCCTCAGTGGTTCATGTGATTTCTGAAAAAGGGAGGGTGTGTGTTCCTGGGTGGGAGTGCGAGAGATAAATTTGAAGGCAGTTTCACAGCTGCCGGCGGCCCTCTTCTTTATTAGGGTTGATTCCTCAGGCTTTTAAAGGTGTTGTTCACACATTTATTCTTCTTATCCTTCGCCAACAGGGACATGAAGAAAATCATCTCTGATCACTTCTCTGCCATTTTTAAAACAGCTTCTTCACCTCTGGCCTGATCATTTCCAGGACTTGTTTTTCCTTCTTCTTCAACATCTTTTCTTTGTTGTTTTTCCTCCATATATAAACCAGATGCTTCAGTTAAAGCCTTCTCTCGCCGTGCAGATGATTTTCCTTCATTTATTTATTTAATTTCATTCTGCTTTTTTTTATTCTGTTTTTGAGGTGAACACTTAAACGTTGTCATGTGGATTGTCTGGAGTAACGCAGATTAAATCTGATCATGTGGCTCTTAATTATGTCACGTATAATTTTTCAGTGGTTTGATAGCACAGAAAAAAATTCGCCAAATCTAGGGCAAAAAAAAAAAACCCAAAGATTTAGGAGTAGATATGATCAGAGCTGGGTGAAAAAAAAATCTATTTTTATTTGATTGGATGAAAGTTCCTCATTTGTCGGTCAAACATTTGTTGAGTTATAATTTTGCACATTAACCCTTTAATGCCTGAAACCACAAATTATGGCAAGAAAATTCAATTTTTTTGGAGCTGAAATGTTTATTTCACTTACTACTGAAAACCAAAAAAATCAAAATGTCCTTAAAATTTAACAAATATATTTATTGATCTTGTTTGATACATTAGATGTTTTTGGAAACTAATAAACCACAAGAGGACATTTTTATCATTTAGCGGACTGTATTAAGGTGTTTTTGAGTAATTTGTTGATCATATTTATTTGAAAGAAGTATCATAAATGTATCAAATATGATACAAAAGGCAATAAAGGGCGACAGGTGTGTTTCCCGTTGTACACACAGTAGAAAAACCCTCAAATGTTGAGACTGAGAGGGTTGAGATCCCCAGAATGAGCAGTTTTATGAAGGGAATAGATTTGTGCACTTCCCAGCGTAACCCTTCACCCTCGGCCCTCTCCTCTACCTGTCTCTCCCTGTCGAGCACACTCCACTTTTGGAGACGCAGTGTGGTGTCCTCGGGCTTTAAACTTGAGGAAGGAAGTTCAAATGAGGGAAATGTTTCACTGCTGGGAGTGATTGACCTTCTGTGCCAGCCTTGCCGCTGAGCTCAGGTGTTCTCAGCAGTCTGAATTTAGTTCAGCATTAAATGACCCGAAGAATTTTTGCCTCGAAAAACTTCCGCGCTGCTCAAAGGTAAAGAGGAGGGACATTACTTTCTGTTTAGCGTATGAGAACAGTGTTAACATATGCGTGAGGTGTGAGTAGTGTGTGTTATACAACTCTCTCTTTAGTTGCTTTGGAGCCAAACGGGGACATTGTAGCCAACAGCAGAGAGGCTTCTGGGACGTGTGTGCAGTTGGGTGCATGAGTCATTCTGCTTTTTGTGGGTGTTATATGAATGTTGCGTGGAGGAGTGTGTGGTGTGGTTAATCTTGAATGAAGCTAAAGTTTTTATCGGGTCATGGGAAACGCTCACAAAAGTTCCAGCACATCTTTTTACTTTACCTCTCTTTTTCTGTGTGTCTGTCCGTCTTCGCCCTCGCAGTAGTTTTGCCTAAGAGCCTCGGGGCCCTGACAGACGGGAGCGTGGAGAGCCCAGCCATGCACCCCACCCCCACGGTGGGCAGGCCTCCGGGTCAGAGAGGACGCAAACCGGGCCGCAGGAAAACCAAGGTGACGGGGCTGTGGGGCCAGAAGGGTTCTGTGCTGGGACCGCAGAGCATCCAGGCGGGTAAAGGCCTGGAGCCCATCAAAGTCCCCAAGAAACGAGGGCCCAAGCCCGGCAGCAAGGTAGGCGAAAAAATACATGAACTAAAGGAAGAGTTCACCTCAATCAAAACAGACAAATTTGTTCGTTTTCATGTGACCATGTCTCTTTATAGCAGTCTTCCTTTGTTTCCCTTTTTATCCATCTTCCACATCTGACATTTCTGCTCCTTCCCACATGCATTTCAAGTTCAAGCACGACTATTTATCATACTTTTTTTTATCAAGAGGCTTGAGGGTATTTCCATTCAGCTCATTGTTTGGGTGGGTGGCAACGGCCCAAGAAGAAGCAGAAGAGTTGAAACAAAGTTACTCAAACTAAACTTTTGTATAGAATCACAGATCTGGTGGAATTTTAAACAGTATAAAGAAGATTTAAAGCAGAAAATAAAGAGCTTTCAGGAAATATTTGGAAAGACATTCACTGAAAGAGTTTCTCCATGTGTATAAATGAGAGGCTGGATTGATTGATTGAAGTTTATTTCAAATATGCAAACCAAAAATATAAAACAAGAAAAGTAAGGCAAAACATTTTAACATAAAACACAGAAATACATATTCGACTTATGAACTCCCACCCCTTTCCTTTAAATAATAAGTACCCACACCAAGCTTCCTTGCAACTTGTTTAGATGTACCTGATAATTATGATAAAGTACATTCATGACTTTGTATTACAAAACAAAATCTACATCCACTTAATACAGCACACAAACGATAACAACAAAACAAAATAAAACAAGAAAGAAACAAAAAAACTCAACTCAACTTTATTTGTAAAGCACTTTAAAACAACCACAGCTGAACAAAGTTCTGTACATAAATAGACAAAACAGCGCAGACATGAAAAACAATCAAAAAACAATTAAAACAATGGATAAAATAAAAGCAGATATTAAAAAGTAAAATATAGTTTCAATGTTTTTAAAAACTGATTTAAAAACAATAGAAACAAATAACTAAAAACAAACCATAAAACACTAAAACAGGAGCCGAGTCTCATGCAGGGTTGAAAGCCAATGAATAAAAATGGGTTTTAAGACGAGTTTTAAAAATGGACAGTGTGTTAAAAACAAATAAAACAATCTTAAAATGAACTCTAAAATGCACGGGTAACCAGAGGAGAGAAGCCAGGATGGGAGTAATGTGCTCCCTCTTACGTAGTCCAGTTAGGAGCTGGGCGGCTGCGTTTTGTACTAACTGGAGACGTGAGAGGGAGAACTGGCTGACTCCAAAGTAAAGTGCGTTACAGTAATCCAGCTGTTACAGTAAAACAATAACCTCACAACACTTAGTGCTACCCAACAGCTTCCTTATTCCTGTACCTCTTAAAAATAGTGTCTTTATAACTCATTTTAAATTTTATCAATCGGTGTTGGTTCTTACTGTAGCTGGTGGAAAGAACCATTGAAAACTATAATGAGAAAAAAAAACAAAAGTCAGTTTTCATTGACCTTTCTGTTTCATTTGTTTGCAGTTGGGCTGGGCGAAGAGAGCAGGCTGGCTGGAAGATGCCATGGCAGGCCCAGGACGGCCGGTAACAGGTCCAGGGCGAACCAGAGGCAGACTACCTGCCAACTGGGCACAGAGGATAGCTCTGCAGCAAGCCCAGACTCAGGCAGAACCTATCAAGATCCCAAAGAAAAGAGGGCCAAAGCCAGGCAGCAAGGTACCTGAGAAGACTGAACAACAGGAGAAGTACAAAACAAATCTAGAAGAAGTTCATCCCTTAACAAATTGGTGATTTTTGGGGTTAAAACTAACAGGCGTTGTTATTTTTAAGGCAGATTGGTCAGGTTTTTGTTTCAAAGGCAGCAGCAGTAACAAAAACACAGTAATTCATCCACAAGTAATTCTGGCAGCTTAAGTTAGTGTGCTGGCAGAGCAGGTAGCAGGAGCATTCACAAAGTCCCAACAAAGCACTGAAGAGAGATTAATGAAAACACTTGGCAGAGTCCAGCCACTTTCCCGCATGCTGTGTTTTGTTTTTTAATATTATACATTCACAGGACGGCGCTTTAGTTCAGTGAGTTCACATTCAAAAGTAACCAAACACACTAGCGTTGTGTGCTGCTGAAGTGATACTGAAACCGCTAAAAAGAGACGTGTTGTAATTTCTCTGGATGTGTGTGTGTGTGTGTTTGTGTCCAGAGAAAACCACGTGTGGTACCTAATCCAGTCCCCACGTCTCCCACCAGCAGCACCCCAGAGCCAGACACCAGCACTGTGCCTCTGGACAACGCCACCATCCCCAACTCTGCACTACAGGCTCCCACAGGTACAACACAGACGTAAATCGACAACGTTATGGATCATGTTGAAGAGGTTTTACTCTCAGTATTGACTCCTTCGCTTGCTTTTGTACCCTCCAGTTTGTGTATACCTTAACAAGTACGGCAAAGTGGGACCCCATTTGGACCAGCGGCGGATCCAGCAGCTCCCGGACCACTTTGGACCTGGTCGGGCCTCTTCGGTACTTCAGCAGTGTGTTCAGGCTTGTGTGGACTCAGCGCACGATCAGGGCACAGTCTTCTCCTGCCTCAAGTCTGGACAAGGAGGTGAAGTCATTTCAGGTGAGGACGACAGCTTGAAGGGAGTTTTAATATACCTTTGTTTAGATAACTAGAAGGCTTTGGTACAGACCATAGACTGTATATAGAATGGACGCCATCTGCCTCCTCGCTGGGTGAAGCCACCGCGAGAACAGCACCCTCTGGTGACAGGCTGCAGTATAGGTCATAAATCCCGCCTCCTCCAGCAATCCCTATGGAGCTGTGGACAAACTTTAGAAATTTATTACACAGAATACAAATTTTTCTCCCCCTGGTTGCGATGTTGACATGTAGTTTCTGTAAGACTGGTTCGTGCTCAAGTCCTCTTTTTTCTGTGCAGCTCCGTTTTTAAAAGTTATTAGGGGTTTCATGTTTTCTATGATTGACACCTGATACAGCCTATGGGTGTACGAAGATTGCGTAGCTCACCCGGGGGATATGCTGTTTGAGCTGAGCGTCATAACAGCGACTTTCCTGCTGAATGCGTACAAAGCTACTGCAAAAGTGGTGGTTCCAGGAAGTGGTGAAAATCCTGAAAATACCGAGCCAAGTTGTCCATAGTATCTACAGTCTATGGTGCAGACTCTCACCTCAGTAAAAATGCCCTATCTCTGAGTTAAATTAAAGACTTTGAACTCTATTTGTTCCTGTTTTCCCTCCACAGCCTACTTTGACCAGCAGCAGCGCACGCTGACCCTGCCCACCGTCAGCAGCGTCACCTACGTGCTCCGCTTCCTGGAAAAACTCTGCCACAACCTTCACTGCGATCCTCTGTTCGGCAGCCAGCCTGTAGCCAGAGGAGGCCTGCACTACAACAGTCACTCATACACTGCAGGTCAGAGCCTCAGGGTTTCACATTTACTGAATGGATGTGTTGTTTTTTAGTTTACAGTGGCTGCGTTGTGACATTTTCTACATTTTGGGGTACACATTGTAAAATATAGAATAGCAGGAACACAAAAATAAAACAACAAGAATAAAGCAAAGCAGACTCAGTACTTCTCAGGTAAAGTAGATTCGACTAATCTCAGATGTAATGGTTCTTAAATTGTGTGTTTAAGACAGATTTTGCTTGGGGATAAAACAGCAAACACAAATCAGTGATTCTGATCTTTAGTTTCAGTCCAGGAAACAAAAAGTTTTACAGACTCAAAAGGAGAAACATGAACCCTGGTGTCAGAACATGATTCCTTTTTATATCCACCAAAATAAACAAAATAACTTTTTCAAATATGGAAATCTTTAATTTCTCTCCTCTGAGTTGAGATGTTTTTGGAACAAGATAAGCGAGAGATTAAAAAGAGTTGGCTGGCTGGCTCTTTATTGGAGTGGGGGAAAAGAGAGATTGATAAGATCTGCCATAAAGAGAGGAAAGTACTTCTCTCTTTTTGCTATTTTCTAAAGTCTTTAATTAAAAACTGATGAGTGGAGGGATATGAGAAGTAAATAAAACATGATTCCCAGACCAAAGCCTTTGTGTTTATCAGGGATGTGATTCTTTTGGATTTATCAGGTGAATCATGATGAGCCTGAAAAAACATTTAAAGTTATTTAGTGTAAAGAGAGTTCAGCACCTAAAGGGTTAAATGTGAGTCAAAACTTTTCAAGTGTCTGACGTTTGTGATGAACTTTGCCTGTTGTTGGCTGTACATACACTTGGAAATATGATACCGCATTAGCCTCCAGTTAAAGACATAGTACTCAATGTTGTTTCTATAAAGTCTAATACAGTTTTTTTGTTAAGCGCTTCGTGTCCAGAACTCTGCAGATGAATCCATATTAGAAAGTCGATGTTAATAATGACACTGTCACTTGTGCGATCAGCTGCAGTGTGTTCTCCTCTCTCTCTCTCTGATAAAATATCTAAAGTTAATTTCTTTGCTGCACGGTCACCACTGTTTACTGCCAGACCGAAATGAATCTGTTATACATGAACCTTATATAAGCTACTTCTGGGCAACCCGCAGCTGTTGAAACTCTACAGTGCTGAAAAGTTAGGTTGCTAGGTTGCTAAATGCATTTAAAATAGTCCAAGAAGATGTATTTATGATTGTGAATCGTACGCTAAGAGAATTTTAAAAAAGAGGCTTTAGATCATAAAATGTGTTTTATGATCTATTTTTATGATCAATTTTTTGTGTGTGTGAGTGGGAGAGAGGTGGGGATTTTCCTCCCTTCCTATCTGATGCCTCTCACATGCCTGTTTTTCTGCTTTGACGTGGTCCATCTCTAGTAAACAACACAAAAAAGAGTCTGTATTTTCAGTGGAGGATTTTCCTAAATTAATCCCTCTGCTGTTGTAAAATCTCTTGAACCCAAATAAAGATTATAATAAAAATGCATCATGTAAACTGCCTTAGTAGTCACAGCTGCCTTGGGGCAGACTGATGGAAAGATGGCTGCAAAATTCGTGCCTACAGCCTCTCTCACTCACATTCATACACCAGTGGAGGACACACACTGGGAGCAAGGTGGGTTGCCGAAGGACACAACGGACAGACTAGGGATATGGGGGGAATTGAACCACCGACATTCCAGTTATTGGACAACTGCTCTCCCTCCTAAGCTACTGCCGCCCTCAAGATGATTATGTTACAGATTTCCTGTCCCTGTTTGATCTTGAACTGTTTGTTTCCTGGTTTCAGAGAGGAGACATTTTGGAGATGGTCTGACGACGGGTCCAGGTCGAGGGACAAAACGGTTCCTTCAAGACTACAACAACCCCCTGTCTCAGAAACTGGCCAAAATCCCCCGACACGCCACTGAAAGTACGTTCCTTTGATAACCGGTCATTTTCTGTCATTATTATTATCGATCATCTATCATCTGTATTAGACAGAACTGAAATAATAGCAGGGATATGTGCAGAGGGAGAATTCCGGTTTTCAGCTATTTTGCAGCTGCATTTTCAACTCCACACACCCTTTTTCGATCTACTTCCTTTTTCTTCATTTGAGTACAAAGACTCATTTAAAATCCGCCTAAATCAGAGTATTTCACTGATTAATGAAGCCGTCCACTCCTGTGTATTGTACCTGTTTCTGCATCCCACCACTTTTTTTATGTAAAGACATTTATCTCCAATAATCGACTGCTCTATGTTGCCCAGTAAATTCTTATAGAAAGCTATTAAAGGCGGCAGTAAAAGAGAGGAGGCTCTTGGCTCAGGATGAGTGGTGTTAAGTTCAGGGGCAGGAGTTTAATCATTTAATCATCTTTCAATTTCCTGAGCTTTTAATTAACTAAATGGAATATTTGGAGAGATTTACGTCAAAGGGTAACATCCCTCTTAAAAGGGCAATCCACTCTTGAAGACCAGGCGGTGGAATAGCTGCAGGACTTAGGGAGGGTTATCATCACAGCGAAATAAAGGAGATCAAGTCTGCCATTAGCATTCCTTTTGTGAGATCTTTTTATGTGGGATTGTAATTACTGTGTACTCAGTGACTGTGTTATGATTTTATTTATATTAGGGGTGTCCTGATACAACTTTTTTTTTTTTTTACCTCCAATACGATACCGATATTGTAGCCTTCAATATTGGCCGATACTGATATTAATCCGATATTAGCACAGACTTATGCATGACAAGTTTTGCACTCAGCTGCAACGTCTTTTTGGACTTTAATGAAAAATACTGCCACAGGGCCGACATCACTCCTACTTTGTTAGTACCTTAGTACACACTGTTGTTGTGATTACATGGGCTCTACATGCTGGATCCGGGCGCTGCTAGATAGAGGTGCTGGAGCGGAGTCTGGAATGGACTGCTTGTATCGGAGTGCTGATATCAGACATTTTAGATGCAGGCTGATACAATTCGATATTTGTTTTTTTGTTGATATCGGACCGATATCGTATCAGGACACCGCTAATATATATGTACATAGAGGTACAGGATATGGGGAAAAAAACAACATTGTGATCTTTTGTTTTCTACTTCAAGAGGGAAAATATAGAGATTCATGCCAGTTTTGTTTTTTTTTGTCTGTTTCATGAACTTAAAAATTTAAACATTTCAACAATTGTACTTTTTATTTTGGGGATTTAAAGTCAAATTTCTTCTTTCAAATCAAATCCCTCTCCGCCTTGAGTTCCAGCGTTGCGTTCAAGTGACACATTACAACAAAACAATACTATGTTGATCCTTTGTATATACACAGATTCACTTTATGAGGTTTTCTTTTCTCCACACTCTTAGGTGAGTCCTTCATAGAGAACAGCATCACTGTATCAGAGCACTTAAAGAAGAGCCCTCTCTCTCCGAACTGTACCGTTCAGACTCCTGGCCTCAAGTCTCCCTCCAAGATGCTGCATCACAACAACTCAACAGGTAAGAAGAGAAGAAGTTCATACAGGAAATATTGCAAGCTTTCTTTATTAGGACACTGAAAGGGATATTGCAGAGTAGATTTAAGTTACACTCAAACACACCGTAACACAGAGTTAGACACCCCCTCGAGAGATGAATGTTTCTGACCGCTTGCTTCTCTAGTTACACCAACTTCAGCAACGACCGCAGGATAGCGATACACAGCGGTCTGAGGAGCCACACACAAACTTCAACCAAAACGCCACTCTATAGCCACAAATAATACTCAGAATAGCACCTAACTTCATCAACAGTACATATAGGGTCCCAGCCATAGCACTAGCCATCAAACATCTTTTTAACTTTGCCTGGTTCCTTTAGCAAAGAGACTAAACACAACTCACCTACTCACCTCCAGCAGCCGCTTGTTTTTGGTGGGAGCCTTGACGAGTCGATCACCGAGTACAGCGGAGTTTCGCAGCTCAAAGAAGAACATTTATGATTATTACTTCATGGAAATTACGGTGTGTTTGACCATAACTTAAATTTTCGCCAGATTATCCCTTTAAATGTCCTAATAAAGAAACCAAAATACGAATATATGTGTGATTTCTTGTACAGACACTTCAATTTCCAAATAAGTGGTTATTTTAGATTTAAATTTAAGCTTTCTTTTTCTTTCTCAGGCTCAGGCAGTTTCCGGGAAAGCCCGAGGCCCAGTGGTCAGGACCCCAACCTGTGGACGGTAGAAGACGTTATGCAATATATAAGAGATATCGACCCTGTGCTGGCCCCACATGCTGACCTTTTTAGAAAACATGTATGTATTCTCCTGTCATTGTAAAGAAACCTTAAAGTAGCTGTGATATGCTGAAGAAGATACCAAGTTAAGGATTCCTTTTCTTGCGTTTCCTCCCTCCTCTCTTCCTCAGGAGATCGATGGCAGAGCCCTCCTGTTGCTGCGGAGTGACATGATGATGAAATACATGGGCTTGAAGCTGGGACCTGCCCTCAAACTCACTTTCCACATCGATAAGCTGAAGCGTGCTTGAGGAGGTCAGCTGAGCAGCCTTCCTTCCAAAGGACTTGAGCCCACCTCCCTCTTTAGGATCAGTATATCATGCACTGCATACCGGGCAGATTCTAACCATTTACATGTAGCAGCTTCTATCAGAGCACCATATCTGGTATTACATAACCCTCTCCTGACCTCATCCAATGAGGAGTGTTTATTTTGTGTAGCACAATCCAGCCCTAAGGCAGCATGAGATGGATCACCCACCTGTCCGTCATCAGTTTTGCATTTCAGTATAACTTGAAGTCATATGTGGCCATTTCAACTGTTAAAGGCATTTTAAGCCCGCCTTTATCACGTTACATTTAATCTGTACATTTCATATTTTGTACTTATACATACGGACTTGTATTTTTGCCTTTTTCAACGGTTTTGTGTGAGCCACGTTAAAAGAAAGACACCTTTAAGGAAGAAAAGAAAACACTATGTTCATCCCAGCAGCTGGGAATGCTTCTACTTAACGTCTCTCTTTGAGGCACGATTTTTGCAATTACATTAATTACGGAAGAAAGACTTGTTTTATGAAAGAAAGAAAGAAACTATATGCTGACAATACTGCCATGAGGAAATCAGTTTCTTTTCTCTTGTTCTGGATGTTGTTTACAATGCCTTGTCTGGTCTATGTTATTTGTACTTTTTTAATTTTTATACTATATTATTAGAGTTCCTACAAGGAGAGCCCTATCATACTTAACATTGTTCAATAAATATATAATAATTCAACTGTTGTTTTTCAACTTTATTGTGTGAGAATATCTGTGCAACACAAATCTTAGACAGTACTTCAGAGAAAAGACAACATCAACAGCAAAATGAGGTGAAGATTGGACCTTAGATTTGGTGAAGTGTTCTTGTATGCAGCCTCCTGTCCTGCAGATTGTGGGTGTTTTTGCTGTTTGTGGGTGTGTGTCAGTGAATCAGGTGCTGTTGCAGGTGCTACTTCTGATTGGTCCATTCAAACGGAATTGCTGCTTCTGGATTGGATGAAGATGGACATCAGTGATTTGATATTTCAGCTGCTACAACTTCCTCCGGCCTTTTCCTGCCACAACCAGCATTAAACTGTGTGGTTGAACTTAGGATATGTGTAAATTTTTCAGGCCTATTTCCATGAGAAATACTTTGATTGATTGCATGTAAATATGTGTTTAAAAAATCAGTGTAAATACCTGTGCTGTGGGAGCAGACTAGGAGTGACATGCATATTTGTTTGTGTTGTGTTGCTCAGGTAAGATATTTTTCTAAATATCTGAAACTTGTAACTCCAATGTTTCGTCTAGTTAACCTTCAGCCAGGGACGTGACAAGATGCATCAATGAAAGTGTGGATGTTTTAACATGTAGTTACAGGTATAATGGAGGGAGGGCCAGGAGATCTTTCCACCATGTCTTTACGGCCATGGGTTGACTTTCCTTGGATAAATCTTTGGTTATTTTTGGTGTATCCAAAATGTTCCCACACTGCAGACTTCATCCATTTATTTTGTGGATATAAAACTTAGGTAGTTGGTCCCTCTGCTATAGTTAAGCTAATGTAGTGTAGCTTCTTTAAAAGGGAGCCTAGCCAGTTGTAGGTGTGCATGTGAGTGGATGAAGAGCCACAGAACCCGGGATGGAAGCCCCCAAATAGCACAGTTTGTTTGCTCGCTGAGTCATAGTTTCAGGTATCATTGTTAGTTTCATTATGTCAAAGATTTTTGACACACTATTCTCTAAAGCTTAATTTTAGACATGTGCACACTTGCAGAAATGCATCTCAAAGTGTTAAAACAGCATGAAAAAGTTTAATATTTCCATCAGTCCTTTTTAAAAAGGTGAGAAGTTGGTATGTTCTAGACTCATTACCTTCAAATTGAAATGTTTCAAGGAGTTTATAGCCTGCATCCAAAAAGATTAGAAAAGCGTATTTCTTTTTTTTGCATTTGTGTAAACCTCTATTCAAACCATCTAAAATATCATGTTTCTTTCAGCCTAATGCAGTACACTTTACGACAATCATGGGTGAGATCGCTGACTTGACAGTCGTCCAGAAGACAATCACTGATACTCTCCACAAGACAGGTAAGTCACTAGAGATCATCACTCAAAATACTGGCTGTTTGCAGAGTGCATGTAGCAGCATACCAATTACAAGTTGACTAGAAGAGAAAAGTGCTGTAAAGGTAAAGGTGCCCAAGAAACAGAAACAGTTGTAGAAATTCAATTATAGGATTTTGCAGAGCTTTGCAAGAAGTGAGCTGATGCTGAGGCGTTTTCGCAAAATCACCTGTGCAGAAACTGTCTCCTACAGTCCCCGCTGGTGCGATCCTCCCTCACAGTGAGAAAAATTGTTATTTTTGTTATGTGCTTGTATTTCAGCAGCATTGACCATTAAAGCCACAGATGGTGATGGCAGCTTTTGTTGACAGTATGTTGCTAAACAAACTGTGAATTGATAAGTTTGGACCGAGTTGTGTCCCTGTAACTTTTCACACACTTCACTCAGTACATGCCACATAACATGCTTGAAAATTAAAGGTTTATGTTAGTTATATGTCAGTAGTTTAGTTTAGTTTAGTTTAGTTTAGTTTAGTTTAGTTTATTAAGGATCCCCATCAGTCTACACCGCAGTGGAGACTATTCTTCCTGGGGTCCAGGCAAAAAACATCACACAATCACAAAAACAAATCATACAATGCAGTACAGCATGATCAATAATAAAATTTTGTAATACAAAAATAGCAACAATAAAAAAAAAAACAATGACTTAGAGTTTACATAATAATGTTCATACCAAAGATAAAAAAGAGCAATACAAAATTGATATATATTTTTAGCAAAAATAAAACAAAGAACCGTCATGCATATAGATAAATAATTCAGTATCTCATTCATAATTTTACTTTTAGCAAGACATTAAGGGTTTTCTCTTTATTGACAATGTTTCACCATCAGGGGGCAGCACAGATCTGCTTCCCTCTGTGCACACTTGTCTCCTTGCTATTTCTCCTTGGGACTTACTATCATGCACTGCCATGGGAGGCCATATCTCCATCTGGTAGACTCAGCATGTTAATCTCAGTGATATTTTTATACCACATAAAGATTGCTCCATGTGGTTGTTATTATTTTACTGCTCCCTAGTCAGTACTTCTCCTTTAATTGCTGTGTGGTTATTTTAATTATTTAAATGCCTTTGCACTTTTATTATTATTATTATAATATGCACCTATTGTTCACGCTGTTTCTTGTAAATATCGCTGTCATTGTTCCTGTACGCGAGTGGGCTATTAGGCTTGTGGGCGACAGAATGACTTGTCTGCTGAAGCAACTCAGCACAAGACAGAAAATCTAACCACATCCTTCTAGTGAAAACAGGAAAACACAGGGTTGAAAACAGTGACCAAACCCTCAGATTTTAACTGACATGGATGAGTATGAATGCACGTCTCTGTTTGTGCAAGCATATGACACGCACACAAACACACACACACAATCAGAGCTGTGTTTGTGTGTTCCGCTCAAGCACATGTGACAGGCTCAGAGCTCGTGGCTGATGCCTGTGCTTGTGGATGTGTAATAGTAGCCAAAGTGTTGTGCATGAAGCCAGAGCTATTTATAGAAATAACAGCTCCTTGTGCTGCATATTGTGTTTGTGAAGGTTGTAAGGCAAGTTTTTACTTCAGCTACCAACACGACAATGTAGTTCTGTCAGGTCTTGTTCTTGCTTTTGCCTGAGCTCCTTCAATTTAAAGGGTATTATTTAAAAATTATAAAAACATTAAAGTACTTAATTTATCTTTATGGTCAAAACTTACAGAGAAATCAAGTATTTCAGGGAATTTCTTCTTTGATTTTTACCAACAAGAAAGTCTAGCACTCCTGAGTCATCCACGAGACAAACCCAAAGAGTTGTGCGTGAGACAGGGCAGAGAAAGTTTCAGTATGTCTGAAAGGAAGTTTTGCGGCCGGGCTTGTTTGCCCGAACTGTGAGAAAATGAAGCAACTCTTTTGCTTCTGTGTCTCTGGTATCATCTGAGTGCATGGAAATGCCTACTACTGTGCTCTGCAGAACCAGCCTGGCATGTTGCACTCTGCAGACAAGTGTGAGCGAAGTTAGATAAACAGTGCAAGAAGACGGTGCTCCCAGTCTAACTGCTTCTCTCCAGCTGATGCCAGAATTCCCCGCATACCTTTTTGAGTGTTAGTAGTGGTGAGAGTCCTGACCTTAGACATAGAGGAGTGTATTTGGATTTTTTTGTTAGGTTGAAGTTTTAATCGAGATTGTGTTTCTCTAAATTTATTTGAAGGTTTGAGTGAAAGTTTCATGTGCTACCGATTTAGTTGTTTTGACAGAAATCTTCATTATTTTAAGGGCGTTAAATTCAGTCTTATGACTCAGAAGTCAATTTTACTCCAGTATGATTATGCATGGGTATGGGCGGTCTCCTCCCACAAATAACTTTATTGGGGTGTATTTAACACAATTAGTCAATGTCAGCTGATTATTATGCAGAGCAGCATCTGCTCGCCTGTAAGCTGTGGTGTAATGATTATTTTGATGATACAATCATAGTCTGAGTAATAGTCAGTTTTGCAGCTGTCATGATTATTATGCATTCTTTAATGTCACACTATTACTGGTGTACAAAATCAGATAAACATTTACAGAACTTTGTGCTTTTGCATGCTGACAAGCTTTATGGTGAAGGCGGTTTCCTTTTCCAGCAGGACTTGACACCTGCCCACGGCGCCAAAACAGCCACTGAATGGTTTGTAAAGTATGACGGAGTATTGGGGTCACATTAAGGAAAAACGACTTTGAGATTCATTTACGAGAATAAAGTCATTACTAATGAGAATAAAGTCATAATAAAATCATTACTTACGAGAATAAAGTCGTAGTAAAGTAATCGATTACGAGAGTAAAGTCAGAATTAAGTCCTTATATTCTAACCTGCTGTTAAAGATGACAGTTGTTGAAATGAGAGCCATGGAGCATTTCGTGAAAATGTACTTCAATATAGATTTCTCAAACATTGAGTTACTTAATCTTTTGGCACATCAGCACCAAGTATCATAATGATTTTATTATGACTCTATTGTCGTAAGTAATGATTTTACTGTGACTTTATTCTCGTAAGTTAATGACTTTAATCTCCAATATGCTGTCATAGTAAAGCAAATACAGAAGAAAATAATCAAAATGAACACAAATACTATCACTCCCATTTGATTTTCTTTATAAAATACTTACAATAGCTGCCATATCCTGAGGTTTTGTGCTGGAAGAACAAGTTACCCATGTTATTGAAGCTGTCACTCCAGATAGGTGAAAGAAAGCAACCTTAAATTTTATCTGCCAAAGATGTTTCAGATTCTCTGCCAACTCATCAGCTCAGTAAGTAGTTTGCCAAAATCATAGCATCACCCAGTTATTGTGCTGTACCAAGTTTGATGCGTTCGATCCTAAGGCAGGTACGCAGACGAGTCGTACATCTTCTTGAAAAAAAATTTTGTCATTCTTTGTGTATCCAAAATGCTTCCACACTGCAGACTTCATCCATTTATTTTGTGGGTATAAAACTTTGCTAGTTGATCCCTCTGCTACAGTTAGGCTAATGTAGTGTAGCTTATGTAACATGGCACATTAAGCCAGTGCACCACAGGTGTCGCTTTGTTTTTGGCCCATGTGGGTCTTAAAATGTGACTAATAGTGAGACTAGTGCATCCCTAGCTGCGCTGTTCATTGATGCGCTGCAGATAGTGTTGAGAGTTTTGTTAACCTTGCAGTCAGACACTTCCGTCCATCATCTGTCGATTGTTCAGCAAAACTTTGGTGTTTTTTTATGACTCAACAAAGACGAATGGAAAAGGAAAGTGTGGTCACCCTTGAGGGGAATCTGGAAATATTGAAAAAAGCAGATATATAAAAATGCGACTCTCATCTGTGACACAAACCGCCATGTCTGGTGACAAATTCCTCTGAAGTCAAATTTAGTTTCATCACTTTTCACAAAAGAGGCTGTGGACCTGCTTGGCTGGCTTGTCTCCTGTGACTTTCGATTGGGAGATATTATCTGCTAAGAACTCTGCAATGACAGCTCTCGCCCCAGCACACTCACTCTGTCATCCCCGTGTCTACAGATGGTGTGGGCCGGCTAATGTCAGGATTCTCCTGCGAGGAAAATGTTGATAACGTGCTGGGTGATGGGTATTATCAATGCATTAAAATAGTGCACAGATCCCACCTCAAATACACATGAATCTATTCTATTCTTTTAAAGTATGATTATGTTGTCTGTAATAACACACTGACAAAACAGTTTGGGAGATTTCCATCGCAGGATAACACTTGTAAAGCCTGACAAGAACTGCTCTCTTGTATTAATTCCACCCCCAGCCTGTAGCCTGTTACTCTGTCTTTGTAGCATGTGCTTGCCACTGTCACCAGATTAGCACGCAGGCTTAAAACCCAGCTCACAAAGACACTGTGTACAGAACATAGCTTGAGTTAATACTATTTCCCTCTACTCCAACCTACCAACCTGTAACTCTCCCTGGTGAGCACAAATCGTTTCTCTGCTCATATTAAATAGGCCAGAGTCGAATTAAAGTGCAGATACATTAGGTAAAAAAGAAAAACAGTGATGTGAACTTTCAGGAAAGCCTTGCCTCAAGTATTTCTGAAGCTCATAATGTTCTTTATTAAAACTAAATCCTCTCTTCTTTATACCAGAGAGAGGTGTGATAACAGGACAACCTTGGTAGATTTCACACCTTACCAACACCTATCAACAAAAATATAACATGTAATCTTCACAGTGGTATTACTTTCATGCGCATCCTTGAAACTTTAACATATATTCATTCATTCAACTTGAAGGAAATGTTGCTTTAAGTCAAATTTGGCCTCTATGGACAAAGAAAAGAGGTGTTTTTTGACCAAAAAAAAATCACATCTACTGAGTTTTAATGGCTAAATTTATCATTCATGTGAATATTTAAAAAGGGAATTGTATGAACAGTTCTGCTGCTTAAAGGGATATTCCGGCGTGAAATTAGTTTAGGGTCAAACACACCATAACACCGAGTTAGACACCCCCTCGAGAGATGGATGTCCCTGACTGCTTGCTTCTCTAGTTATACCAACTTCAGTAACGACCGCACGATAGCAATATACAACGGTCTGAGGAGCAATAAACAAACCGCAATCAAAAAGCCACTCTATAGCCACAAATAATGCTCAGAGAAGGACCTCACTTCATCAACAGGACATATAGGGTCCCAGCCACAGCACTAGCCTATACTAAACACAACTCACCTACTCTCTTCCAGCAGCCGGTTGTTTGTCGAGAGACCTCAGGCCAGTCCATTACGGACTACAGTGGGGTGACGCAGTTAAAGGAAGAACATTTATGACCATTTCTTCATGGAAATGCAATCAGACTGAGACGCTAACGCAGAAGAACTACCGTGTCTGCAGTGCAAAATGATTAATATGGTGATTATTACTTCAAGGAAATGATAAAGAAATGATCATAAATGTTCTTCCTTGAGCTGCGTCACCCCTCTGCAGTCGATAGACTTGCCCGGAGGTCTCTGTACAAAGAAGTGGCTGCTGGAAGAGAGTGGGTGAGTTGTGTTTAGTCTCTTTGCTAAAGAAATTAGGCAAAGTTAAAAAGCTGTTTGGAGGCTAGTACTATGGCTGGTACTAAGTTAGGGGCTGTTCTGAGCATTATTTGTGGCTATAGAGTGGTGTTTTGTTTGAGCGCATGGCTCTTTATGTTGCAATCATGCAGTCGTTACTGAACTTGGTATAACTAGAGAAGCAAGCAGTTGGCAACATTTATTCTCGATGGGGTGTCAAACTTGGTGTTATGGTGTGTTTGACCCTAACTGAATTTTACACCAGAATATCCCTTTTTAAAGGAAATGTTCCTCTGTGTCAATTTTGGCCTCTATGGATGAGGAAAACAAAAAAAAATCACATTTTATTGAGTTTTGACAGTCAAATGTATTATGCGAATATTTAAAAAGGGAATTGTATGAACATGGCTGCTTCTTAAGCTGACACATGCCCCTTTGCACAGGTTTCAGGCTGTAAATATACTGATACACAGACTGTCAGTGTCATTTGCTTTTGGATATCATGAAAAGACATCAATGTGAATTTTTGGCTCTTTCATAAGCTTAAAAAAACCTCCTCACAAAAGCTTTAAATAGCGTAAAATTGCATTTGAGAGATAATTTGGGGTTATTTCTGTGACTGAATTGGATCGTGACTCATGTAAACCTGTCAAGTCTGGCGAAACAAGAATGTCAACCGGTGCCAAATTAAAAATAAACAAAACAACATAATCACAAGGGATGTCAGCAGATCAGCCCTTCTGGCTTTGTGCTGACACAGAGGTTGACTTTCTGCCACCATTGTGAAACCTACAGCTCTGCTCCCTTTGGCTTCAGTGTGTGTAAATCACACAACCCTTAAATATTTACCACCTTTAGACATTGTTGGGACACCTCGATGTTTTTGAGCCGGCTTCTCTGAGAAGTGTCAGCTGTGTGCAGGGAAATAAATTATTTACACCCCCTCCCTCTACTTCAAAGCGCTGGCAAACCATTCAACCCCAGATTTTGGGTAAAGGAGGGGGTCGCTAGTCACTAAGCAACCTCTGTGTCACCTGCCCCAACATGCTGAAATCAGCCACTTACCTCTGGAGGCTGCATTTGCACGAGGTACACTGCTGCATTTAAAAAACCCTTCTTCTCAGCTGAGTTCGTATGGAAAACAAAACAATTACTTAGAAACTGTATAGCTGCTTGACTCCAGGAAAGAAAGCGTGATGTGATTATATTGCCTTTTCCCCAGAGTGGGAAAGAGGAAGAGTTTTGTTGCTTAGAAGATGCTGAGTTTGACTAAAACGGCCAGCAGCAGGATCCAACTGTGCAACAACTGATGTTTTCCAGAAGAGGTCTGTTTCTATTTGTACCGAGCTGGTTCTTTAAGACGCTAGAAAACAAAGGAGAAGGAGGAAGAGAGGACCTTATACGAGTGCATGTCAGGTGGAGATACAAGGTGACCGTGCAGCCAGAAAATCAGGAAGTTCGGCTTGAGCAACATGTCCACCGTATGAACCCTGCCCCGAGGGATTCTGCTGTTTATTCACCCCCTGCCAGCACAAACACACAAATACTCACACTTCTACACACAAGGTTAACACACAAAACATGCACAAAAAACACTCCAGACTCTCTTGTTGAAGCAGACAAGTTCAAACGTGCCCTCTGTGCTCAGCATTCACACACTCACAGAGTGAAACATGCCCCGTGTTGTCAATAAATAAGTCATCCACTCATCTGGGAAAGTCAAGGTTTTTTTTCTCTCGCTTTGTTTCTCACTTTCGTTGTGTGTTTGACTCGATGCTTTACAGTCATTCCCACAGGGGAGTTCCTCTTTTACATCTTCAAATTAGCTCTGAAATGACAGTTAATACCCAGTGTAGTCATCAAATTTCAGAATTACAAATCTTCTGTTCGTTTTAATCAAGTGATAGTTCCTGGATTATCTTTTCTTTATGAGTTTTTCTATTTAAATGGCACCATCAGTTTCAAACACAATGACTACAAATGAGACGCACCTCTTTTACCTTTTCAAGGCTACACACCGATGTTTCAGCATCACTATTAGTCTGTTTAATCAGGTTGTGTGCTGTTGCATCCATGTGAAGACCTGGCCATGCATGACAGCAGCAATGACCACCTATCAATTTTGGGCACTAGGGCCTGAGATTACCATGAGCTCTGGCTTGGCACCAGCTGGACCAACGCCTGGAAAGAAACCAACTGGACAATACTGACTGCACTGACACATACTGTACAATGTGCACAGAAAATATGCAGAAAAAGGAAGGGATCCAATCTGGATGGCATTTATCATACCTCACGCTCTGTTTCTTGGATAGTTTCAAGTGGAATTTCAAATTGTTGTGGGAAAATCCAGATGAAAATAAAAAACCCAGAGGTAGAGCAAAATTTCCCTGGGGCTAATTTACACTTGTGGACTTGACAAATCCTTACATTCGCCTCACCCTCTCTTTCACTTTGCATCTCAATCTGAACGTGGCATTTAACTCCCTGACTTAAACTGAGAAAACAGCCACAAGAAGACACAGAGTCGTATTGAGCAGTTTCTGTGGGTGGGCTGAAAACCGAGAAAGTAAGAAAAACAGAAGTAACTGTAAACCGTCTCAGTGTCCCGCCCTGCTTGGCTTACGTCTAGACCGGCCTCTGTTGGGCGGTCAGCAGTCATAACAAGGGATTGGGAGAGCAAACACGGCTGTATGGCTGAGTAACCTTTCCTATATAGCACTAGAGTCACAATAGAGCTATAAAACTGTTGCAGCTGATTGGGTCTAAACAAGGAACTCACAGTGCAGCTTGCAATTATGAGACATACAGGGAAAGAGAGCTCTGACTGCGAGCCAACATGCCCCATGTGCCACACACCAGACCATCGAACCAGATTGGCACTGGGTGAGGGACCTGCAACCGTTATTAAGCTCTGTCTGTGCCAAGGCTGTTGGCCTACTTATGAGCCATTCTCCTGATACTGTCAAGCCAAGATATCCGCTCACAGACCCTTCAGCTAGTTTATGTTATCTTCAAAATGTCTCATTGCTTAGAGCAAGATATCTATTTCTGCTTCGACCATCTACCGGTCTGAACACCCTGGTCTGAATCACAATCAACAGAAAATAGAAGTTTCTTTGAGAGAACTTAACTCTTAAATTGAGCAATCGGCAAACACTTTCTGTTAAACAACAATAATCTCATTTCCTCTTTGCTGGTCATGTTGCCATTTAAAGATGCCGTTTGTTGGCAATGTGGGAAGCTAATTATGGCGACGCCATTTCTGACATGACCTAAATCAAACATTTTACAGCCCAGAAGCATGAAACAACCCGAGGAAGAATGCCTGTTACTCCTAAGACTGTGAGAATGGAGCAGGGTTGTTTTTAATTTGCTTGAACAGAGTTGCTCCCAGCATGCACTGGGAGAGCTGGGAAAAAGCAGCACTGTCTTTGAGTCAGGGCTTACAAGCTTTAAGTCTGTTAAACCCCCATCAAGGTAAGCATTCTTTGGTCACTTCCACCTCCCCCAACCTCACACACTCACTCTCTCTCGTATACCTTTTAACACACTGAAGGAAACAACTGTTTTGGAAGCTTAATGGCCAATTATTGGATTGCTGCTCATGTATGTTTACCATTTTTTTAAGAAAATGAACATCATAACCTCTTTAAAATGTCAATGCATGGAAAACACAGTTGAATCCCATTAGTCAGCTATTACCTGTGTTGTCATATTAGATACACACTGGCATAATACAGCTGTTCTTTTGCCAGAACATTTAATTATCACTATGCGTCAGTCACAATCCTATCACTGATTCTCTGGCTTTTAGCTGAGAAAATGTCAAACCATGTAAGAGATAGGACACTGGAACCTTCACGTCTTAGAGGAGAATATGTATCTATTTCCAACTGCATAAATATTGCATCTGTTTAAATATTCTCATCCCTGACTTGAGAGAAACCGAGGTTTCCCTTCACCCGCAGGTTAACTTAAGCACTTAGCTAGCTCTCCACTGCCCCGGGCGAAGAACTGTGCAATGAATGGAAAAGCAGGCCACATTTCTATCCAGGCCATCTTTATTGATCCTCAACAACCCCTTTCACAAAGACCATCCCCCCATCTTGACCACAAAAAAAAGAGGGGACAATATAAACAACCAATAAATAAGAATCTGCGCGATTAAGGCGGTTCTACATCTCCAATAGAACACAACAGTGTGGACATGTTGGAGTTTACAGCTTCATACAGTACAAGCAGTAGGTTTTTGAGAATATCACATCTAAAAAGGCAGCACTTTACAAAAAAAGTGAACCATTTTTTTTTTCAGATCGGGGTGAGCCTCCCATTCAGAGGAGATGACATTGTACTTCTGTCGTGGCTGACTTCGGCTCTTTGCAAATAACCTTGCTTCTGAGCTTATTCTTACTGCCAGACCAGGTAGAATGGGAGCAACAATAATTCATGGGATGAGAAATTACACTGAATTTTCTCCCTGATTCTTCTCATTAAAACCACCCGGTTCTCAATCAGAGAGTGAAGTTGGTCTTTATATCAATTTTTCAGGTAGGAATAAATAAATACACCTTTTTTACTGGTAAACTGTCATGGAGTCCATTCTTTGAAGCTACACAGAGTCGTAGCATTGATCAGAGTGGCTTTTTTAAGAATTTCAGCATTTCATTATTACATTCATGTCCAGGCAATGAGCGAGGTGGAGCTAGGCCCTGTAAAGCCAGCCTTCCTCTGGCCACATGTGAGACGCTGTGTGTTCCCTGTGGATATCCAGAGTTCTTTCCGTGCACCCTGCACCACCACTTCAGTTAAACATGGAGGTGCCTGCTGAAGAAAAGTGAACAGATGAGCGCTTCTCCTCCATCCTGGACTCTTCTCATTCCTCTGCTTCCAACTGTGCTCCTCTGCAGAAAAGTTCCTCTCAGCAGCTCACGGTGCTCGGCTGCTGTTTGCTGACAAAGTCTGAGATGAAGTCAAACTCATTCTGACCCAGGAAGAGTTCTGGCAGTTCTTGGACCCGGTCCAATCCCAGCTCCATGACCAGCGAGGTCAGAACATCCTCGTCAATCATATCTGCATCCATGCCATTCAAAGACAGAGTTGGTCCAGCCATGTGCTGCATGTTAGCCAGCTGTGCTGGGTTCATGCGGTACTGGGCGGTGGGCCCCATGTGGTTCCCACCCATAGGCCCCAGAGGGTGTCCATGATACTGTGTGTTGAGTTTTTGCAGCTGCATGCTGGCCATGAGCTGCTGGGAAGTTAAGCCTCCATTCATGAACTGTTGTTGCTGCTGTGGGTGCTGGGCTTGCTGCTGGTGCTGTTGTGGGTGCATATGATGCTGCTGCTGTGGGTGATGCTGCTGCTGCTGCTGTGGTTGGCCATTGTACATCATGTTACCAGAGGTCATCTGGTGGTGGCCCATCTGGGCCCCGTTCAGCTGTCCGTTCATAGGTCCACCCACCATGCCCTGTCGCTGTCTCATGGCGTTCTCCATGTTGGCTTGGGCGCCGCCGTAGTGCATCATCTGTCCGTTGGGCATCGTCCGCATGCCCTGCTGGTTGGCATGCTGCTGGTGACCTGCCTGCAGGCCGCCATTCATGCCCATCCTGTAACCGTGGAGACTGGCACCCGCTGAGCTGTGATTCATGGGCATCATCAGATGGTCTGCCATGCCTCCTGTCTGTGAGCAGAGAGGAGACACTGTTAGGACAATGCAAGGGTGACAAGATGCTTGGAAGCAGGATAAACATACATTGGAAGGTGCAGCAGGGCTAACAAGGCTGGGCCGTTTTGGCTGTCCAGTACAAGATCAAACCAGTTAGTGTTGCCATATGTATTATTATATAATGTAATACTAAAAAACTGTAGGTAAATTCCTATTATGGTCACTATATTTATTCGAAGAGAAACAAAGGCAGCCCTCCATGTAATGTCACTGTTGCACCTCAAGTGAAACGACCGAAAACGCTTCCGGAAAAAAATATCTGCAAGGTTGTCCCCTGACTGACTACCACAGAAACCCGTCCTCGTGTGTTTAGTCTTCCCAAAAACCTCCCCTCTTTGTGCCAATGAATGAACGCCCAGGTTGGAAGCCCAGGTTAACATGGATCGTCCCCGTGCATTTTCAGCCTGGATAATTCATGCAACGAAGCGATCGACAAAAGAAGAGAGAAAAAAATCCGTGCCTTGCGGAAAGCATCCCTTAAATGCTGTAAATGTTGCATGTCAGCCAAGGCAGAATAATCTGTAACATTTCACGCACGTAAGGTTGCAACAAAGAACACTGACATCATGCAACATCTCCCCAACAGCTGAATCACCACATTTCCTACAAGGCAGCAAATTCAACAAAGGCTTCGATTTTCTCCCCTTTCTCTGAGTTCATTTGTTCAAGTGCTTGTATTTAATCATTCCCTTAAGTGTGTCTTAAATTGTTTCATTTGTCTAATCTCGGGGTTTTTGGAACAAGGGAATGCAAACAATGGAGCAGCAGCAGCAGCAGCAGCAGTCCCTCCGACCACCACAGACCAAAACCCCAATTTCTCCTCCAAATAATCCCGATAAAAATCACTTACCCGTATCCGCTACGTTTCTACAAAGTTGCGCGACTTTGCTTCGGCTCCGTCTTTTTTTTTTTACCAGTTTCCCCCCTCTCTGCAAAAGGCAAATCTCCTCTGAATTACAGTTTGTATTCCACTGGGTTACGCTTCATGCTCAAGCGGGGACGGTGTGCACAAAGACTGCCGCATCAGATCTTGAAACGACTGCCTATTTTCTGGGTCAACTCAGGGATTATGTACATCTAAAAAGCTCAGAGGAAGGCAGTCGGGGAGAGGTGGAGCTTCGGTCCTGCCTCTTCTTTGTTCCTATTGGCCCTACTTAATATAATTGTGCATGGGCGTAGAAAAAAGGGCTGTTGGAGAGCTGTGACACAGTAGCCAATTTAAATATCCTCCTCCCCACTGTTTCTTTTTGAAAGAATATCTTGTTTATCTTTGCTTGAAACTTCTGTGAATAAGGCTGTACTTAGAAATTAAAGGGCTGCAAATTTTTATTCATTTCAAATAAAAAGAGAGATAGATAGATAGATAGATAGATAGATAGATAGATGTTTCATTGATTATTTTTTCTAAACATGCATGTAAATATCTGCAAATTAGGGCTAAAGTTTATGTCCTGAACTTGTCTGCACCTACTTATCAATTCAGCCTTTGTGTCCATATCTTCTGAACGCTTGTATTGACAGGATATGGGTTTCAAAAATAAATATTGACGTCTGAAATAATCGCATGAAAAAATGCTTAAAGGTCCTTTTTTTTTTCCTGTGCGATTATTTCGGACGTCAATATTTTTTGTCAAACCCATATCCCGTCAGTACAAGCATTTACATTAGCGACGTTTTCCCATCCTGTGATATTGCGGCATTTATTTTTTTCTAAAGTTTCACATACTGTGTGTTCACTTCTGACCAATCAGATTGCATGTTGTTGCGACGTCAGATTTACCGCTATATCCAACATGGCCGACCGGCTAATTGTTTACTTGTCGGAGAACAGAGTACTTTTTTAATAAAAAACACAATTATTACAAAGATAACCACCTGAAGGACAACTTGTGAAGAGTCATAGCGTCGGATTGCTCATATGACGATGGTTTGTGTGCTTTAACAGTTTGCTAAACGTCTTTGTTTTAACTTTCAGCTGTGCTAAGTAACTTTAGCTCGTAAGCTAACCTGTTCAGATACAACATACCATATGTATTTTCACTGTCTCAAACTCAACCGCGTTGCTGTCACAGCACCATTAGGTCTCGGTTGTTACCTTACGTTTACAGATTATAGTTTAATGTGCTTATCTGGTACTGGCCCCGACTCAGTACATGCAGACAGACATCTCAACACTAGAGTCTAATCTGAACTGAAAAACAGTCAGTCTGGCGTTGTGTTTTCTGTTTTTAGTAACTGTGGCATATAGTAGCGCTCATTATTTTTAAAATGAGTACTAATTCGCCATCTCTTGAAGTTGAAGTAGACTGTATTTTTGTCTTCTCGCTTCCACCCAGGATGCGTCCTGGATGGATAGGATGGATAATCTGTAAATATCTACAAATTAAAGGGGCTGAAGTTTACATCCTCAACCTATCTGCACCTACTTATCCATTCGGCCTTTGTGTTCATACAGTGTAAGTGTTGCCCCGGTATGTGCATACACACCTCATCTCCAAGATCACTGAGATCACTGTGTGTCCATGTGACCCACCACTCTGCTGTGTGTTGGCCTCAGCGAGGCAGAGGAGGGAGGGCAGAGGAATGTAGTCTGCGTGCTATTCTAGGCCACACTGGCTGCAGCACCAGTGTAACTACTGCTGTACACGGATATGTGTGTTCCCTCAGTTTACGTGTATGGACTCTGGATGCAGGCACGTGTGTTTGTTTTCTGTGTCTCTGTGTCTCTCTGTGTGTGTGTTTGTACCTCCACTCTGCAGATGCACATGCCCCTTGATTGCCCACTTCAGGACAACGACCTCTTGCCTGCAATTGCAAATGAATAGAAAGCACTTTGGTAGAGCGAGCCAATCTATTGTCCCGGGAATTTGTCTATAAATGGGCAACCACTGGCTGGCATTTGTCATTGTTTGACATTGTCCGGCCACTTTAAGCCGGTGTTAATAAGCCACTCCCAGGTGTTGGTGCTATGTGAAAAAACTCACCCAGCCAGTCACTCCAAACACAACACACAATCAACATAAGTTTCTGTTGTGCTGAGAAGTGCACTCTCACTGCAAAGCACACTGTTAGTGCAAGGTTACACTGCTCTGTCTCAATGTGACAAAAAGGCCTTTTAAAATGCATCAAAAAATCATTTCTCTTTATCCCAGGGCCACAACAAGCTTGTAGAAATTATGTCATTTGCATTAGCGAGCTTTCAATGTGTTCAAACCCTCTGGAGCTCACCAATCACTTCCCTGCCTCTCTTTAAATTCAAAGATATTTGCATGTTATTCGAATCCGCTGTGGTTGATGTGGAAGATTTGCATTTTATAATTACGTATGCTTTAAAACAAGCATGTGTTGTTGCAATTAGGAGGAGGACATGGTGCTGTCTTGTCCCTTTCAAGGCTTTATTCTTCTGCGTGTTGTGACAGTTTTACAGCGCTGCCCACATTCTCCGACTGTGGTCCACGGTTTTGGGTCAGGCTGCCACACATCAATGCCTTTAGCTATTCATTGATTTTGGGCTACTGTGAGATTGTGCATGTGTGTCTTTTATTTGAGGATAAAGAGCAATGGAGAAAATTCACATGACTGTGTTTATAGCAGCAATCTGCTGGAGGTGGTGCCTCCTTCCCCAGCTTGAACACACCCCTCTGCTTCACTGTAAAACATGCAATAAAAGCGCTGATTCAGCTACAAGCATAACTCATACAAGTGTACTCAGCCGATCAGTTTAAGGTCTTTCAATAGGAAGCCTCAGCATTTCTCTGTGACACCACTCATGACAACACATTGCTGAAATTGCTTTGTCAGAGGACCGTGTGCAACTACGTATGGATCCAATCAGCTCGCAGTGTTTCGGCTTCAGCTGCTCGCAGCCTCGACTTTGTAGTGTTTGAAGATGACTGTGAAGACCACAGAACACGTAGCTACTGGTTTGAAACCCTCAATTTTAGAATTCAAGGGCGCAAACGCAGTTTGTTAAGTTGTAAAGGGCTGATGTTCATTGCTTCTCGCTAAGCCTGAGAATAAACATGGAGACAGGCGGCCATTAGAGTGTGGGGGAGTGGAAAGTGGATATTCTGAATCGAGGAGCTGACAAACTTCTACTTTGGCTCTGCAGATTGAAAGAGGAGTAACTTGATACTTGATATTTAAGTCTGCAGCCAACATATAGTCTTGGTTTAACATTTCTGCAAAATCAACTGCTTTCAATGTCCTTTTTTTGAAAGATACTACACATCTTTGTGGTAAGACTCAGGGTCATTGTCATGCAGATTGAGGAAAAGGACTTCAAAAGTAGTGGTCACTGTAATTTTGCAATACTTAGAAATTACGTCTGAAAATGTCACTGTATATCTTACTATGGGAAACGAGACTTTTAGTTATGAATCAAATTGAAGTAGTCTCTCATATCTTTTCTGAGGCCTCGCCAGACTCATTCAGAAAAGTGCTTCAGACTTTAGGGTATCTGTTAATGTGTAACTATCCAGGATCATATCAACAGGTACCAAACAAAAGACCTATAGGCGCTACATCCAGTTACGCCCCTGATGCATGTAAGCATAGATGTTTGGTATACCAATTCGATAGCTGACCCATTCCAAGACACGATTAAGGTTTCAGGATGTCAGACATTGGCCAGTTGACCTCTTTGGTTGTTAATGAAATTACCTTGGCAACAATACATTTAATTACATAAATGGGATATGCTTACCATAAAGAAAAGGACTCTGATGTCTGCCATCTCCTCAAATCCAAAGATGATGTACCAACAAGTTACAGATAAAGATTTTGTAATGAGTGGTGATCTTGTGCTGCTCCAAATCTGGTATTAGCCTTGTACTGGGCAGACTGAAACTGGAACTTAAAAAGGCATGTTAGCATAATAATCCAACTGAAATCACAGTAAATCTAATTTCTGATAGATGATCTAACATCCGTCACCACCAACCTTTTTGTAAATTGGGACAAGGACAGTAGTTCAGGTAAATAATATAATCAAGATATATAGCTAGACCTAGCTCTGAATGTAAATGTGCTGACTAATTTGGGGTTTTGGGCAATGTTTAAGCCATTGGAAAACCAGATTTGCTTTATACAAAACTAAAGATCTATGATCGAATTAAACATGTCTGATTTTAAAGTAACACTATGATATGAAAACAAGGTTATATCAGCCTTGTTTGAGTTTTCAGACCACTAAAATATACCTCATACCAAATGATCATGTTCACTGAAACTTCATCAAAATTGTTGAGATTCTTTAATGACTTTGGCCAGAATTAATGCCCAGCCACAACGAGCCAACGTAAGACGTAAACCTGCACATTTGATGGTAAGGTTGAACACATCATCAACATAAACTTCAGCGTTCCTAATTCTTGCAACGGTCTCTTTCTAATCCTGATAATGATAGTACTACAAGGTTTAAACTCAGGCCGACTTCTGAACTTTAGTGTCTGCACATTAACCCCACTTTCTATTTTCTGCAGGCTGAGATGGACTGTTACCCTCGACTCTCTGAGCCTCAGTAATCATGTACCGGTGAGCACTGAACTCATCACCCAAGCCATCTTTAATCTCTGTCACCATCAACTAATTGTCAGCGATCTAATACGGGTTCAATCCTACCTGCTTGACTAATCCTGGCACGACTGTCTCTGCCAGCAGTGGCTGCCAGGGTTGGTGATACATGAAGCCTCATGGCGTATACAGACGTGTGGTTTGACAGACAGAGCCATGAGACTGAGCCCACAGGAAATGTGCTACATCCTTAAAATGAATTGATTTCAATTATATTATTGAATTGGAGGTATTAACTTTCTTTATATACTTTGTGTAAGCTCCTTTAGGGTTAAAAGGATTCTTATTGCAGGCGCTGGTGAATTTGTTTGAGGACACTGTACGCATCTACTCCGGCAGACAACAGAAATAGATACTTTAAACCACTTAGTGCCACAGCTTCTAGCTGTAGTGATCTACGCTGATAAGCCTTTTTAGTTGTAGCCCTCCACACTTACATATTCACCTTGACATGTGGAGTGTAAATGGGTGGAAAACTTCTCTAAAAACCCCCAAAGTCTGCACCTTACAACAACTCAGATTTAAGTTTCGGTCTCTTCAGATAACCTGTCCCAGTATCATTTTTTCAAAGCATCAATGGATGGACAAAGTATGGCCTAGTATTCACATGTTCCCCTGAGACGTAAAACCAAAAGTCAGTTTGCTTCTCACACTTTGGTTGTGGGGGATGGGCTGTTATTGTTCTGGTAAATGAGAGAGTCTCTATAAATACTCTGAAGGCTTCCCTCTCTGTCTCAACCACCAATCATCAGTCACCGTTCAGCCGAGCAGCTGAGAGAGAGCAATAAGCCTGAGTCAAGGCTAACGGGGGAGGGAGCAGCAAGGGGAGGGTCTGACTCAGGCATGCCGCTGGGAGAGAGGTGGGTGAGGGACTTTGGAAGGGAGGGTGGGGGAGAAACCTGGTAACTGCCACTCACAAACCTGAGGCCGCAAGTTGGGGGTGAGACTTGAGTGAAAGTAGCGATTTGCAGGGGTGGGGGGTGGTTCGAACATACCACATTAAAGCAGCTTTCCAACAACTTCTGGTATCGTTCAGTGTGGAGTTAAATGAACAGTTTCTCACTAAAACAAACTTTGGTTTCTAAGTGTTTGAAGGCGATACCCTTGACTGCCTTGTTTAAAAACACTTATGCCCTTCTGCTCCTTAAGAACCCAGATTTAACTGTAATCAGAACCACAAAAGTCAAGGAGCAGTGTGTAGTATCTAGCTAGTGTTGGTTTCAAGTTGAGCCAACATGTCCAACAGGGCTCCTGCCATAGTAGGGCTGGGGGTGTATCCATGTGTTTTTAACAGCCTATGGTGTAAACATTAAGTTGATAATCAAGAAATTGTACTTCTATGCTAGGGTGACCATACGTCCTCTTTTGTCCGGGCATGTCCCCTTTTTTGGGGGCTGTCCGGCCTTGTCCGGGGAAGTTTATAAAATCCTTCAAATGTCCGCGGTTTTGAACGGGAGTTTCGAGTTTGTGTCACGTGGACTTACTGTATTAAAAGAAAGTAAAAGACACTCGCTCCGACCCAAAAAACTCTCAAAATGAACTTCGTGCAACTATGTGACTCCGCCCCCATGTAGTCGTGTCCTCTTTTTGGGAAGTCAGAATATGGTCACCCTTGCCTATGCAGCGAACAGAGTCACAACATTGTAAGGAGTTTTGCATCTTTTACGCTCTATACTTCTTTGCTCTGTATAAACAGTTAAAGGGCATATTGTTTTATACTTTTAGCGCACATGTTACATAAGAGTCTTCCTCCTCCTGCATGTGCAGACAAGCCACACCAATTTCCCCCTTCAACCATGTAAGCAATACCCATATCTTGTTTTTAACTATCAAATTGAAGCCAATCTTGACTATTTTCTTTAATCAGTAATCATCTAATCTGATCATTTTTGTTGGCTTTCAATAAGGACAATTTGTGCAAATGCGCTAGTAAATTGGTACAACCAAGCATTGTGGGTTTGCCTACCTGCACTTCATTAGAAAGTGATAGAAAGGGCACTCATGCAATAAAGTTTTGGTCATAACTGAAGTTCCTCATGAATAAAACCAACCAGAACACAGAAACAACTGCTTTACTGCGGCATACATTAGGGACATTTAGGGACACATGGTTTCAAAGGCTAGAAGCGTAAATACAAAGCAGTCTGTTACATTAGCATTAGCAACCTTGGGGGTAAAATGTCAGAAGTGTGAATAAGCGATTTAGTTCAGTTAATATTGTGGTGCAGTGTGTTGAAAAACAAGCACTTAAAAGGTGGTAAATAATGCAAAAAGCCCAGTTAATGTCCAGTGGCTGTGTTTTTGGTCTAGCAGCCACGTGCCACCCTTGTGAATCTCACACCACCTTGTGAGAGTTGCATTCACAGAAGCACTGCCTTGAGTTCGTGCAGTATTTCATCTACACCAGTTTCATAGGTCTCATACTGCTGACTTTCACACTCCTCAGCTTACTCATCACAGCATGAAGTCAAGCTTGATTTATGATGTTGAAACAGACAATCTAACAGTCGTACCAGCTTTATTCACAGTTTTCCAGGTGAGAGTGGTGTAGTAAGCTACAGCATTGAACTGCTATGTAAAGGCAAACTAGCTCCTTAGTATTCTCTGTACAACCAAGCACAGCGCAATGAGTTCCTCTGAGGAAACGCTGTCCCAAAATGTGCTGTGCTATCCTCATTTCACTCACTAATCCTCTATTCTCCATCCCCTCCCCTCTCTGTCACATCAGGCTTTTCAGCCCTCAAACTCAATGTGAGGCAATCTACGTAGAAAAGGAGCAGTTTTTTTGCCAGACACTCTGAGAGGACTAGTTGCATTTCTTTAAAAATACATACTGAGGCTGTGACCGAAGCAATACACTTCATTTGGAGTCTCAAACTTTATTCTATATTTAATTCTGTGTTGTGCTGTTGTCTTATCAGATGCAGAGCTGACCGTCCTGACTTGAGTAGAGATGCTTCTAAGCAACTGTGAGTCAGGTGTTATAATGTGTTATGTGTATTGTTAAAAATCCTTGTTATAATGAGTGTTTATAATGATAATTATACAAGTTTATAAGCCAATTATAACACATTATAAATATATGTATAATGCATTATCTATGTGGGCATTGTCAGTGTGTAGCTAACAGTTATAACACATTATAACATCTGACCTTGTAAGTCATGATAAAATGCTTTATAATGTGTTATGATTATTGCTATAAAGCATTATGATAATTTATGAGTGTTTATAACCATAGTTTTACAGTGCTATAACAAGATTATAACACATTATACACACATTTATAATGCGTTACAGAGAGAGGTGTCAAGTAAAGTGTTACCAAAAAGCATATCTGTTTACAACTTATTTGACAGTAAGCACCATTTAAAACCTGAATGTGTATGAACTTTAAACAACTATTTGAAACAGTCTGAATTTTGATCATTTACTGTGAGTATTTATGTAGAAATTATGAATACAAGGCTGTTTAGCTGGCTCCTACCTCCTTGCACCAGTTTAAGGCATTGAATTTTAAATTATAAAGATCGCAAATAATGTTGTCGATGGTCTTGTTTGCCTTTGAATATCACAAAAAGGTGTAAATAACAATGTCATTTAATCCTCACAGGAGATTTAAGTACAGAGTAAAGATTAAGGCCCGAGCATCACATGGATATATGCCTATCATGGCAAATGGACAACATATATAACCAATGATTGGCGTACACAACTGAGGTAATAATACCAGTGTTTCAGGCAAATTCTGAGCACAGAGAACCACATTTTTAGAAATCTCCACTTTGGGCCGCATCTTTGAAAAGCTAACTCTTGGTGACCAAAAACTCAATTTGCATGTGTGCAAAAAGGCAAACTGCACAGAAAAAGCTTTGTTTTTTTTAAAAGATAACTCTCTATGAATGGATGTTGCTAAGATTACTTCTTGAAAATGACATCAGGATAAAGATCCTCACTGTAATGAAAGGCCAAACAAAACTCTAAATTGTTAGTGTAGATGTCGTCAGAAGCCTGGAGCTGTCGAAGGAAAAGAGTTGTCACAATGTCCTCGAGAATTCAAAGTTCATGTAAGCTGAGAAAGTCGAGGCCGTGAAGGGATGTTTGAGGCACAAGATAACCACTGAAACAACTTCCTAGCTGCAGCTGAGAATTCCCAGCATGCTTATCCTGATAGCAAAGATGTGATAAGTGGTATTTGTGCCTGCAGGTGTTCACACTCCAGCGATGACTTAATGCAAGCTAAACAAATACGACCAGAGTCCTAGCAGGTTTCATGTATCCAATCTTGGCTCATTACCAAGCTACGTCAGTCATTTACAGTCAGCACCACGAGCCTGCTGCCTGCATTTCTAAGCAACACCATTCTTCAGCATTTACTAGCCTGAGGGATCATTGTCGACACAAACACTAATCATGTCCCCTTCACCGCACTTCCTGCCTTACAGCCACTGGTGACGTTTCTACTTACCTTCAGGAGCGTGCACATACAAAGAAGGAACAAGTAGGGATGCACGAACTGGACAGACGACAAAGGCCAGTAAAACCTGTCAAACAAGTCGCTACTGTGATGAGAGGGAGTGGGAAAGAGTGGGAGAACACAGTGACGCTGTGAAGACTGACCTATTAATCATTCATTATCTCCCAGCACTGTTAATGAGGTGACGACTCTTAAATAATTAGCAATGTGACTGAAGCATATTTCCATAGCAGTAGCCTGAGGACGTGGAGGGCATTGGGGACGAGTGGGGAAGGGAATATGGGATGCATGGTGCACAAAAAGAACAGCCCCCACACCAGCTTAGCAAACAATAACTATCCTGATAGTGGGCTCTGGGAGGACAGAGAGATACAGACAGACAGAAGAGACCAGGGATAATGAAGCAATATTGAGCCAAGAATGAGCCATAGAGGAAATAACACTCTGAAATAGTTATGTCTATATGTAGTGGGTGTTAAAGATGTTCTCACAGCAGCCTTCTTTATCCATGTGTCTCATTTGGAGAGGGGCAGGCCAGGACCTTCAGGCTCTCCTAACACACAAGTCAACGGGGAACTGCAGCCAACTAGCACCCCAGCCTGCCATGGGCCTATTCATCTTTCACAAAACACACAAAAGAGCAGACCATGAGCCACATTCTTGACATCCAACCTCATCACCCCCACTACCCTCCCACACCCCCCTGGCCCTGACTCACACCCCTCCCCCCTGAGCCTCACACCAGCAGCCGAGGCAGACAGGAGCTGCTATGCTGCACTACCTAACTGGCTGGATGGCTGGAGTTGTTTGGTGGAGGAAGGGATGCATGGAGAGGGGGGGAGGATTGAAGGGTGAGGGAGAGAGAGGGGGCAGGGATGTTTTCTCTTCAGTCAGCTAATTGACTCACAGATGTCAGGAGGAGTCGGGTTTGTGGCGGGGGCTAAATTGCCCAGGGACACTTTTCCCCTCCACAAACAAACATAACACATAAGCACACATGCATGCAGGCCGAGACTATGGACTTGCTCGCACACTTGCATGCACCTTCATACCTGTGGCCTTGGAACCATTTCACTTGCATACACTTCTGTAAGTTACCTCAGATGTTTCTCTTGTTTGCAAGAGAAAAAAATCTGCTAAGCTTTTGGGAACCAAAGTCTGGCTTGATATAAATTATTCGCACATTCATGTTGACTAACTCTCCCTATCGTGGACACCTTTGGTTTTTGTTTAGGCCAGACCTAGGCATTTACGGCCCGAGGGCCACATCCGGCCCTTTAGATGTCCCTGCGTCGTCTTCGTGAGGTCCGTCAAACAAATTATCAACATGCTTTACAAGTGTGTTGCTTTATTTTGAAAACCTAGCCGTTGTTTTCTTTCCATTTGGACGCGAGTGCGTTCATCATAGATCTGCATTCGTGAACAGAAACAAGTTTAAACATCGGCAAAATATATGTAGATGCCTGATAGTTGCCAAGTCTGCTTATTATAAACCACTGTAGGCTTGTTTCTCTCAGAAGTCGCTTGTAAAAGTCGCGGGTGTGCTTTTTTGGGCTTGTTCTTAACAAGTAGTTACTTATTTGGGCTTGCTTTTCTGTATGTGTTAACCCCCCTGATTTGAAGTTGAAATTATTGTTGGTTTGGCCCTCCAACACAGTTCAGGTTTCTCATGTGGCCCCATGTAAAAAATTAATTGCCCACCCCTGGTTTAGGCCATTAAGTCTGTTATAGATAGGACAGCTGAGCAGAGACAGGAAGAACGGGGGAAAAGACATGCGGCAAGGGGCCAAAGTGGGAATCAATTGTGGTAAAAGCCTCTGTACACAGGGAATGTGCTTTATTTTTCTTTTGATTTGACCTTTGTTTAACTTGGAGAAAAGAGGCTCATATCTTTTTTCAAGAGTGTCCTGATCAAGATAGGCAGCAGCACAGATCACAATGTTTCAAACGGCTGAAGAGCAGACATACATGGGTGGGTTAGGTGGGTCTAGAGACGGTGTTGTCCTAAACAAATTTCCTTCAGTTTCTGGTACACCACCCCAATCACAGTCTTTCATTCGAGTTACAACACAGGAGTGCCACTTCAGCAAATTTGCATATAACCAAATGGGTTTTCAACTGGATTTACTCCAGTTGTATGCCAGAGTCTGACCAGGAAGGTAAGACGGGATGCTAAATGATGTCTAAGGGGGTCAAGACATGCTGTTAATAAAGGCGATGAAAATCTCAAGCTGTGTCCCATTTTTGGGGCTGCATCCTGTACGGGACACATTTGAAAGCTGGTCACATCATAGCTGAGGGTCAAAAGCTCCCTGATCATAAACACCAGATAGATAGTCCTAATTTTTTAGCAAAAAGACTCACTCACTGTAACCCAAACCCACCGACAGGTCTTTAACAATGAATCTTAAACCTCTGTTCACCTACTTATGGGGTATTATCTTGACTTTTAGCAGCTGGTGTCACACAACACCTCATCTTGACTTCTCATTGAAATATAAGCGAAGGCTCAGTCTTGGTGTAGTTGGGAAAAATGCACCCAAACCTGCTTTTTTGTGAAACTTCCAGGACTTGGATGACAGCATCTTTATGTTTTTAGCCATTGCAGGGCAACCACAGGTAACATTAGCTGGGTGCAAGCTAATTTCTAAGTTAAATGTGAATGAGAAATGTTCAACTTGTAACTTAAGCTACATTAAGTTGGTAATAGCTAGTCAGTGCTTCGTGTTAAATGAAGGTTTCTATTTATCCAAAAAAAAGTCTAATGCTGTGAATATGACAGCTAGTTGCTCTGTCTGTATCACATCTCTACAAAAACACTTGGCTCTAACAGCCTTTTACAGACAGTAAGAATCTGGATTGTTCTGGGCACAATTTCATTTTTTCTCTTCACCATCTGGAGAGCCTCTGTGGCTAAAGCAAGTCTCATCTGCTGATACATTGGTTCTACAACACTCGAGGCAGCTCAATAGAGCCGCACAACCTGTGTGATTTGACCCATTTTCAGACCAGGGTTTTTTATGTCATGCCATGTTTGCACACTGCAATTTCATCCCCAACATGTATGCACTGAAAAATTTAAACCTCTTCCTTTGAGCACCAAAACCACTGACAGCTGTGCGCGAGTGTGTGTGCGTGCATCTGTCATCGTGCTCTTGTGTTTGTGTGATCCAACTAGACTGCTAAACAGCTGAGCCCAAATTGAAAGTCAGCGCTGTCATTCCCTATATTTACCAAATGACTCACTCGCAGCAGAAATCTGTTTGGACACACAGTTAGTATTCAAGCAGTTGGTTACAACATCTTTGACAGCAGCAAAATAATTAACTAAGACGGAGTGGGTGAATGAGGAAAACATTTAGAATTACGGTGATTAAATGCTTAAAAAGCAGGACAGAACAGGCCTCCTTTAGTATCTGAGGTGGGTGAAAAAGCACACCCAACTTCTAAAAGGCACAGTCTTTTTTGAGTGCATTTACTAACAGTGGAGGGATCTGTACATTTTCAGAGATATTCATCCTCCAAGGGGGCATTTGAGAGAGCAATCACGCTGTACTACCAAGAAAACACAAATCATGCATTATTGAGTTTGCCCAAAAGCTCTGTGCCGGGGTAAACTTCCCCCTGTGGCCTTTGTCCATTGGTCTTCCCATCATGAGGTCTACTAATGGCGCAGCTATATCCCGCTCCTGCGCGAGCGCTGACAGCTAGTCCTCCCCGTCAGGAAACAGCAAGTTCTCCTTCCTGACCGGGAAGCCTATCTGTGTTACACCATCACTACCATTGCCGCTAAATGTTGAGCAATGTCCTGGTGAACACATGTCTTAGGAGGTTTGCACATATGCTGTATATACACATGCACAAGCTTCAGCTCAGAAACACAAACATCAACACACACACACACACACGCACGCATGCAAGCCAGGCCTCTGCCCACTAGAACTAGTCGGCCTGTCCTCTTCCTGTTTTTCCACTCACCCACACTGTTGTCACTCTGGCCAGGAAGCTGTGGGAGAGATACGCATGACAAAGTCTCTCTTTATTAAATTGGCAGAGTGTCTGTAGTGCTTTTGGAGTCCTTGTTTGTGTGTCTCTGTATGTGTGTGTGTGTTAGTGTATCTGTTTGAGAGTAAAAGAGAGAAAGAGAGCAAGCACTACAAAGATGGGGGTGGGGACCTAAGCCAAGGGCTAGAGGCTTATCCAAGATCCACTCTAGGCTCATCCTTGGATATTGCTGTTTGAAACCATGAATAGAGAACAGAAGAGACAGAATAAAGAGTACAGACCTCTTTTATAAACCCGTCTCTGTTTCCATTCACTGCAACAAGTGTTATGTACATATTCCATGCTGATTTAACAGCAACAGCAGAACAGCACGTTCAGGCCTTTTCATTATGAATTCCACCCAGTGAATAAAGTGTCAAGGTGCAGTTATAAATCACCTTCTTTTATAGACACAACAGCCACTGGCAGTCAAAGGAAGAGAGCAACACGGCTATTTATGATAGTATACAGGAATCTAGATGAAAAAGATGTCAACAAGGGGGATCTTGAATTTTTATGGTTGTCTAATTTCTTAAAAGTGCTAATTGTTTTGGTATTTGCGTTCTTACATGAAGCCTCTCCAAGTTAAAATCAAAAAGGATTTTAACATTATGTGGTTACAACAGTTTAAGTGGATGTACACATCAACAATACCTCAAAAGTTGGGATATCCTCAAGGGAAAGCCTTCTGTGGGGATTTTGTAAGTTGCCAGATGCTGGTTTGGTCTTTGTCTTTGCTGGTCTGGCATTGTTCCAGTCAGTAAATGCTAGTCTATGCAGGTCTCTGCTGGTCTGATGTTGTTCAAGACTGTGCTAGCCTGATGCAAGTCTTGCTGGTTTCATGCCGGTTATGTTGGTCTGACTTGTTGCTGGTTTTAGCTTGTCTTTGCTGATCTCTGCTGGTTTTTACTTGCCTGATGCGAGTCTTTGCTGGTCTGATGCTGGTCAGTGCTGGTCTGATACTCATTAAATTGTTCTGATGATGGTCTTGTCGGTTGATCTTGTTTAAGCTGGTGCTGGTCTTGGTTGGCTTGTGTTGGCCTGATGCAAGTTTAAAGGTCCTTACGCACCGGGCAATAGGCGAAGCGATGTGAATAAGCGACACGAAAAGGCAAATGTTTTGGCGGCAACATTTTTCTGTAGACACCAGGCGCAACAGGATTATGAGAATAAAATCCTTAGTGAATAAAGTTTGACGCTTCTATAATATATGTCTATAAAACCACATACAAACACTAACTGGACTTTGAAAAAGTTGCCCCAAACTGGTTAGTTAGCTAGCATAGCTTTCTATTATGCTAGCTACGTTACACATCTATGTTTGAGGATTTGTATAACATTAATATACTCACCAGGTAAATTGAGGTCTTCTTCTCTTTCTGTTTGGATGTGATGTCATCAACGTACCAACATCATTTTGATTGGTCAGAGGTCTGGCTGTTCGCCTTTTCGCCTCCGCAAAATTCGACACAAGAGCAACTAAATAACAGTCGCTTTTTCACTTAGGGTCGCATTGACTTCAAAAGGTTTTTTTAAAAAAGCGAATTATTCACCTCGTGAATTCACTCCCAGTATGTATGGACCTTTACAGTGCAAAGTATTTAGCCCACAGTGGTCTGAGATATTAAAACTGACGAGGTTTATGTTGTTAAAGATTAACTTCACATTTGCCCTGTGCAAATAAGAATAAGTGATAAAAAGCCCCACATACAGGGATTTGAATAACCAGATTTTTCAGTGTGCACCTGAACGCCACTTTAAATAGGATAAAAACTGAGATAAGGTCCATAACCGGGACGCCCAAGATCATGTAAATTCAGTCAATTTTGTCTTGATTAACTTTGTCAAGATCCATCAAACCCTCCCCGGTGAGTCAAAGGCACAGACGCTTATAGACAGGATTTGCCCGTTATTTGCAGGTGGATATAACAAAGCTCCTTGATTAAACTGTTTGAGACTCTTTAGAATAAAAACGAGTCTCCAAAGGCACAGGCGGCCTTCTAGTTTTGTGAATCCTTGCCTGCCAAAAAAAAGCATGTACCCAGCTCTAATATGAGCAATACTCCACCAGGTAATAAAGTTCTTACCTCTTCAAAGTCAAAGCCAGAGAGACTGAAGTTTCTCTGCTCAGATTTGGCCACAAAGCTAAGAATGACTTACTCAGTGAATAACTTCAAATATGCACACAGAGCAGAAATAGCTAACTCTGTAACCGTGTGGACTTTGAAGTCATGCCAAACAAAGTAATAGATACAGACTCTGTTTAAAAAGTGTCTCAAATGTACATTCTTCTTGATGATCTGTAGGGGGCAGCACTATTGGTCTCAAAAACAAATCGCAGAAACCACGTCATACCCAATTTTGTTATTTCCACCAACATTTTCATAATGAATTTATGATCTCAGAGGCTAAGTGCATACATTTAGTAACTGTGGTTCAGTAAAGAGAAATAAAACATAAATGAAGGTATAATGTGGGGCAGCGCTAACAAGGCGACCTCCTAGAGACAGAGTAATACATATCCCAATCCCTCTCAAATATTATTTCTTTTGGCTCGTAGAAATCAGCCTTAAATTTCTTTTATAAAGGTTAAAGGTTAGAGTCAACATGACAGAGTATTTTATACAATCTGTGTTCGTAGTTTATTTCCCATGGTGAAGGATTTGCATGTGTTATTCTCTGGGGAACTGAAACCGTAACTGTTTCTCCCCTTAGTGCGGCTTATTTTACATTATGTATAAATCTGTTGTGTCTATTATTTACTTTAACCATTACGTGAGTTATTTTCATAACCATCTCCTGCTGTTTGCGAATGACTAATGCCAGACTCATACAATAAGAAAACGTCACAGTCATATTTCCCACTCTGCAGGCAGCGGCAAGCAGCTGTGTACAGTCTCCACATACATGTGCGGGAGATAACGACAGGGAGGACAGAGGACAAGATAAGACGTTGTGCTTCGCGGTCAGGGAGTACGCCCTCCTCTCCCCTCCTCCTTTCTCCCTCTTCTCCTGTGTCCCTCTTATCTGCTGCCTCTGTCTTGACCTCCACCCTGCTGCATGGTGTTTAGTCAGGGGAGAAAACAGCATGGGACTGGAAAGAGTATGACTGAATCCTGCTGAAAACATTCAGAAGAGCAGTACTCTGACTGAGGAATAAAGTTCACAATGCTTTCACGTTGCAGAAAAATCTATCAAACTGTTGCATAACACAGCTGCCAGCAGTGCATTGGATGGGAGAGTTAGCAGTTTGAACAGCGCGTCCTGCTTATGGAAGATGTTTGCCTGAAGTTTAGCGTTATTTCTCTCATACGCTCTAAAGCCTATGCATGATCTCTTACATAAGTCAATATCTCATGGCTGTACTCAGCTTGTATTATGTTTTCTTTACTCCCCTCCGTTGTGCAATGCCTTTTCATTCTAAATCGTATAAATCTATACCCGAGGCTGTAATCACTTGATTATAGGCACAAGATATAGCCACTACTTAAATCTGGGAATGCATGCAGCAGCAGCAGCAGCAGCAGCAGCAGCAGCAGCACAGAGATGTAGACAGAAGGATGGCTACAGTGGAAAAAACCCCACAGTTTCTGACTCAAAGTGTGTCCCTTAAGGATCATTCACTGATCTGATAAACTCACAGTGAAATGTTATGGGGCTGTTTTTGACAAAAATGGAGTGTCAGTGGGCAAACAGTGTCTTGGATATGGCATATTTTGACTAAAATGAACTGATTTGAGTAAAACAATCACCCCAGTAAGTATTAGTCTCACATTGTCAAACAGCAGCGCTCACACTGTATTAAAGTTGATGTTGCAACTGCAAATATTACCACAGTCTATGTGCCAACACATGCTGAGAACCAACTTCCAAAGCGGAGCTGAGATTCTTGAGAAATAACCAGCGTATAGTTCAATTCACTTGAAGTGATGTTGAAATGTGACCGGCTGGTCTGAATTACAGGGCCACATAAAATTCTGCAGAGTGTGAATGAGCTACATGTAGATAAAGTTACTAAAAGCATTGAAAGAGTGTTGAAATTTTCTCTAATTTGATGGAAACACAAACAAAAGAGAACATTTGTCATCATTTGGATCACTTCTTAGATTTAAAAAAAAAAGAATTATTGATGTGAGCATGTCCACTACATGTCCGACACGCTCCCTTTCAGCTTATTGTTATCAGGTCATCTCCCGGTCAACCTATTATATATCAAAACAAATAACTCAGACCATTGTCAGAACAATGACATGTAAGCTGAAGCTCTGTACTGTTCAAGTCTATGATAGGAAAGGTTCGTCTTTTACGTCCCTTCCTCGCCTGTTAATGTTTCGCTAGCTACCCTCTTTCCAATGTATTCAAACAATTCAGGTTAACAGTATTGTGGTCAAACACTCAAGCATGGGGAGAACACTGAGACCAGTTTCAGTTCGATTGATACGAAAGAGGATGAAAAAAAATCATTGCAGTAGGGAGATATTTTTTCATTTCCATTTTGAGATTGAAGTCGAAATTTTAAGATTAACATCAGAATTTCAAAAAGTTGAAATTTCAGTTTTATTCATGTCAACTTTAATCTCGAATATTCTGACTTAAATCTCAAAATTGTTATTGTCTTAATCTCGAAATTTTGACGTAATTCACAAGAATTCAACATTATTCATGACATCTTGACAATTTGTAAATCTCAAAATTTCGACGGTAATCTTGAAATTACAAATTTAATCTCTTTTGTGTATTTTTTTTTTCCCTTCATGTGGCCCTAATCTTCTTTCGTAGATCGAGGAACATATGTGGAAAAAAAAAAACATCCCCAATGTTATCTAGGCATGTAAATCCGACTTTGAGAAGCTCGATTTAGTGTGATTTCAGTTAGTTATATGTTTACATCTTTTTTTAAAAATCAAGTTACAATCAGACCAAGACAATAAACAGATTTTTTTTTTTAACATCATGTAAACACACAGACTGTTTTCTTCAGCTTGCAGAACACCAATTTACTTTTAGGTCTTCAAGCTTTCAGAGAGACATAAATATAACCAAACTGGATAAGATAAACTGTTCAGTTGTTTGTTGTGGACACCAGAGGACATGTTTATGAGTTAAGAGAGGAAGACAGAGATTCAATAAACCAAAAGAGAGAGAAGAGAAACATCTGTACCAACTGGAGAGCAGTAACATAGGACCTCTTTGAATCTGGGGATGTCCGCGATAACCCCGCTGCTGCACTTAACGTCACTTTTTACTCTACTTCTTCAATTGTCACTTTAAATAAATTAAATCAAAATAGCTGCAGGAGAGAAAAACTCAGCAGAAACTCAATAGCTATTACTGATGCTGGCTAATGGTCCACATGTGTTGATTAAAATGACTTCAAACGAAGGTGCAAAAACACCACGGGCGGATATTTCACCTATAGTTTGAGAGAAATAAGAGGAATCAAAGATGTACCATCTCAAATATGGCAACAGCCAGTAACTGGCAGCTGACGGCTCTCCACTTTACAAATTAAGGATTTTACTTTTTGTTCCAACTGGCTGAGAGAAAAAATTGAGCAGAAGATAAATTGACTTCACACTTCCAGTTGCATTTAGAGAGGTGTGAAGTTTATTCAAAAAATGTTGACAGGGGGTCAGTTTGCCAATTTTCTGCCAAGGGGAAGAACACAAGTTGAAGTCATTTCCAGGCATCTTTAGTAACTGCGCTTTGCTTTGACGGAAAAAAAAAGAAAGAAAAAAAACTGTGATCACCGTGTTGTGATGTCCCATTTTGCCACAAGGAACTAAAACACCTACACAAACCAAATAACACCGTTGATGTGTTAGAGCGATTTGAAAACGAGAAAAAAAACTTGAGTTTGGAGCTGTGAAAACCACTGCTACGATACTGCTGCTCCTCTTTACTGTTTCATAAACATGGTGGCATGCAAAAATCACTACACTTAAATGATAAGAGGCGTGAAATTAGAAATAATATCTGGAATCCAGGGTGGATAAAGACATCTTTATTTGACAAAGACAGCAAATCAAACACAAGTCTGTAGCTCATTTTTATCCATTTCCAAACGGACAATGACGCCTTTATCGCTTAAATCGCATGAGGTGCCACAAGTTGCTTCTATTCTGTGGGGATTTCCTAGCAATGTGATTCCAGCATACACATTCTCCTCATCCAGACATGGATATCTTTGCTCTTCTAATTCAGCTTTGATTTACTTAAATTCTGCTTTAGCCAGACTGACAAACACGATTTCCCTGCCTTCAGTTTTCAAGGCATTAGCACATGACTCTTGACTTGTGACGCACATGAGTCATGAACCGAGCCGTAGCTCAGAATAAGTCATAGTTGTCAAGATTAATGAGTTTCTCTTAAATCATTTCCTTGTTCAGACCTCAAGCTTTCTGTGACTGATAAAGTGACAGTTTTTACACTCGGTCGAGAAAGGCAGGAAGGCAGCATCTGACAGAAAACAGAATGAAACTGCAAAACCTTTTCCCCTTATCGACTCTGCAGTGACGAACACAAAGTTCTTATACATTAAGCTGTTTCATTGTTAGACAGTTTTATCTCCAAAACAGGCAGATTATACAGTTTAAATAAGAGGTTTTTGAGACAGCGGAGGAGCCACAGTTCAGTACAGCTTTCTTGGAACGACTGAGTTCATTAAAGGAGAAGAAATGTCTGTACTGCACAACAGAGGAGCCTCTGTCTGTCTCTGTCTGACTCACTTCTTTGTTCCCTAACATAATACAAGCATACCTGGAGCCATCAAGGCTTCTCAAAAATCCCCACAGCATGTATGGGAAGCTGTGGAAATCAATAAGCCTCAAGTGCTAAATTGTTTGCCAGCCATCGATCGAGCTGAATCTACATCCCTGTAATTCAATCCGCCAAATGACAACCAATTATTGTTTCCCTGCCTCCAACCCCAGAGTTCGAGTCCCTTTGCTTTGATTTGATCCCGAAGAGACAAATCTATAAATTGATGCCTCACTTGTTTTCCTAAGCTGACCTTCTCAGGTGTGAGGCTGAGTGATAAACGCTGTGTGTGAATGTGAATGAGCGAAATGTCGGCAAGACACATTAGTACACGTGAGCCACCATTGCTGGACATCCCTTTCTTGTTACTGGTTGGCGACAGCTGCAGACTTACAACAGTCAATTTGAATCATTGTGCCGGACCACTGAATCCGCTTCATTCTGCCTGGCATGACATGACCTTTAGATACTGTTAATGCATTTAAACATGATAAAACCACTGGTCCATGGCTGCTAAAATGGAGTTAGTAACTGAGCCCCAGATTTGAGAGAGCTGTAGTTCAGCTGGACCAGAGGAGATTAATTGAAGGAATGGCTTAGACCAGTATTACTGAAATTTATGTCTCAAACACTGCACACAATAAAGTAAAAGCTGAAGAGATAAACTCTAGACCCAGAGCTTCACGAGGCGATATGAACACATGAGGTCACATCAGAATATATCAGAAAGAGTATGGGGGGTAAATCTGAACTGTGAAGATGTAATGTCAGGAGAATAATTGCTATTTCCTTTTTTCCACATGTGGTTGCAGTCTGCATTACTCACCATCCAGTGTACCAAGATAATCCGACCGCCTCACACACTTTCCTGCACAGCTCCATTTTTATTCCTTCCTCGATATTAAAAAAAGTTGTATCCTTTAGCTCAGGTAGCTTATCCACCATATTCCAGATGAATTACCCTCTTCCTGTCTGTTGTTGATATACATCATCAGGGATCTCCATGCTGATTGGCTATCACGGCACAAATGATTCGCTCAAATTCAGATTTTTAACTCTTGCAACTGAGCGAATGAAGTGAATAAGGTGTTGAATTTGCTTAGGTTCCCCCACTTATTCATGGTAACTGTGTCACCTAACTAGAACTTACGTCTCATTGCATCTTTGCATCAACTGTAATTTACATTTGGTGTGAACACAACTGAACAGTTCTCCGGCCAGTTCCTCAACATAGAGACTGAGTTGACCGATATCCTCTGAGGGTGATACACTTACTATTGACAAGCACCTCCTACAAGCCTTTAAAAATAACAATAAAGAGTCAATCATTGTCAAGTCCCACTCCGGTCATTTTTCCTTTACTACTTAAAGTGATCTTTAAATTGTGTTGATGAAGTTTTTAGCTAAAATCAACACAAGGGCTTTTCTTCTGCAGAGCTCAAGTAGCTCATTAGCAATTCGCCTCGGAGTCGTGGGCGGAGACATTCTGTTCTGCACACTCCTCTTCATGCTAGCCTGCAGGCTAACATTGTCGGTGTAGTACAAGTGGCAGGTAACATAAGAGCGTTTCATATGAGCGTTACAATCCACTAATGCACGTGTTTGTTCCGCAATCGTCCTCTCTACTTCTCTGAGTGTGGCCTGCATAGCTGGACTCTGGGGGCGGAGCTTGGAATTGTGACATAGGAAATCTCAGTCAGTGGGTTTACATGCACAGCTTAATCGAACTAAACTCATAATTCGTTTTTTTTTCATCGAATCGGACTTCTCTCCTTGTCCATGTATACATGCAGCTGAGAAAATCAAATTATTGACGTGAATGTGTCCTCCTCCTCAAAACTAGAAGGCTATATGGGTCTTTTCAGCTGCGCTATTTCCGACCCCATACAATCATCAACAATAACGGCAAGTCCATGCCAGATGTCAGAGGTGGCTACAACTGCTGCTGGGCATATTTGAGCAAGAAGATGGAGCCTCGTACAGCGCTGTTTTTGTCGTACATGATGTACGCACTACTTTTCTGCAGATGAGATGCACGCTACGCCTCTTCTCTGGGGTTCTTGGTCTAGGGTTACGGGGGCATGACGCACATGCATTGTCCGATCATACTTCGACTACGCTGGTTACATGGTAGAGAAAATCAAATTCCAGTTACATTATCTGGGTGTCTTAATCTGAGTTCTCAGACTCCGATTGGAGTCAGACTAAGGTGTTTACATGCACTTCAGTTGTCCGGTCTTAACTGGAGTAAGGTAATAATTCAGTTTTCTCGAGTGTCATGTAAACATACTGACTGTGTCTGAGCCTGCCGTTTTGGTCTGTCAGAGATTCACAGCGATTTTAATGCAGAAATACTCAGAAATGCAATTTTGCACTTAGTTTTCTCATGATATGTCCTGTAGCATCATAAAAATGCCTTGTAAACATACAACAAGAAAAACATGATTTTCATCAGAGTGGGTCTTTAAACTTTTCATAAGAGCTTTAACTCAAAGGCAAAATAAGGTTGGTCTCAAGAGCTAAACATTGACTCAGTTATTTATTCACTTCGTTGATTTCAAAACAGAAGTGACTGGCATACCCACTCCCTGCAACATGCTGTACAGTACATTGAAACCACTCCCACCCATTACACATCTGTAACAGTGTGATGCAACTATTTAACATGGGAGGAAACAAATGAAGCCAGTGAATAATCTGAGTGAGTGTCTTCATACTCGTCAAGTATTACAGTAGAGGGTGCAATCCTTTCAGCAAACATGTTTATGAGTTCAAGTTAAGAAAAGTGGCCCCCTCGTGATTGGTGGGTGGTCATTACTTTATCCATACGATGGGGCTGAAGGTGAGGAACTGATAGGTTCGCTGACACTCTGCAGCCGAGTGAGACCTCGTCACCCAAGTCTCTCCAAACTTCAAGGGCTTCAAGTGGGAATGCTCGTAAATAATGTTCGTGCAGCATGCTTGTGTTTTTGGGGGGAGGGTCAGGAGGCTGGAGGCATTGATCAGGGCTTGCGTGCATATAGTGAGACTTTGCATTATATACGCCCTCATGTGTGTGTGTGTGTGATTGTGCACACATGGTATATTGTATTACACGCCATGGCATGCAATCTTCTTCTTCTCCTTTTCTCCTATCCAGTGAGACCCCCACTCTGTTTCTGCACCAGGCTTATCTTGGCCAGCCGTTCATTCTTGCAAGAAGCAGCGTTCAGCAGAAAGAGACATCTGCTCAGTGAGAGAATGCCCTAATTATTCATGACCATTTAACCATTCAGGATTTGGTCTGCGCGGCATATGTGGTGTTTCTCATAAGTGCGCGTCCGCCACACTTGTTAATGGCAGTTTCATTACTGTTGTTTTGTTTGGTTATTTTGTACCTCCAAATTAAAGCGAACACAAAATGGAATAATTCCTCTCTGGCGTTCACGTGTTACTGGAAAATATCTGCTCTTTTAAAGGTAGAAAGTGTAACTCCTGAGCGAGGACGGCGTTCATACTCTTCCCATGTCTTTGTCGGTTGTTTTTCTTGTAATTTTCTGTTGTTTGGATGTCTATTGTCAAACCTGTGTGACATCATACAGATACATCTATTGTTAGTCCTTGTTTTTTCTCAGGTGTGTTCAGGGAAGTGCACACTAGGGGGGATTTCAGACTTGCACAGACACAACAAATGCCCAAACTGCTCACCAAATTTATGTTTTTTCTTTCCCTTTTCATCCGACTTGACTTTTCATGCCCTCTTTCTCCTGTTCTTCCACACACACACACACACACCCCTCTTTCTGTTTGTCCTTATCACCACAAAACCCTGTCACCACGGTAGCTGTGGCCACGTAAATCAGGCAGGCCAGCATCATCTGTTCCCAGCTGTTTACCTCCAGCCAAACAAAGGAGTCTGCCTTTTTGTTGTCGCTGGGGTGGAGTGCTGCGTCGGCTGAGGGCTGTTATTCAACAGCGCACGCCGCTATCAGGCCCCCCCTCTCTGAAAAGGCCAATTCAACACATGGAATCAATGGAATAGGAAAGGAGACCAGGAGGGAGGATGTCAATGTGGGGGTTGTTGTTGGACACTTAGAAACTATAAGCAATCCTTTTTTCCCAAAGGAGGTGAGACAGACGGGAGACAAAGGAGGCACATCACAAGCAAACGTGAAAAGCAAATAAATAGTAGTGCATCCCCTCACTCCTCAGCTCAGGTGTATGCAGGAGCTGTACTCCAGGGAGGAGGGGGCTCAGTTTGCATCTCCAGAGGAGGCTTAGCAAGCGTCGGTAGGAGCTGCGAGGTCTCGTTTGCATCTGCAAATGAGACAGAACCCGGCTGGCCCATGTCACCTTGGCAACAGGCCATCAGCACCTCCCTCTCTGCTATATTAGCAGCCATGGTTGTCTGTCTGCTTGTCAGTCTGCACCCTGCCTCTCTCCACCCCTCTGCTGCGGGTCTCATCAGCACAACAGCAGCAGGAGCAGCAGCATCAGTCTACCTGACTAGACCCGAAGGATTAAGCATCTCCCTAAATCTTTCATTGAGAGTGTCAAATAGAGACAAAAACAGCATTATAAAAGATGAATGCCTCCGGCTTTTGTGGGTGTCCCAGTGAATCCACTCAAAGCGAAGAATTGGCAGCAGCAACATGCTGTGGTCATGAAATTTACATGGCGTGTCTTTGCCAAGTGATGAGAGACTGGCAGCCGGGGTTTTTTTAGTTGTTCTTTTGCATAATGTGTGCCGTTTTATCAATTAAGAGGCAGCCAACAAGTTGCTTGCAGATACCCAGCGAGTCTGTGAAACAGTGAGACTGATGGAGGAAACATCAAGCTCTAATCTCTTCTATTATCTTTCCTGTTGATCTTCAGAAGTGTTTGGTACACTGCTCAAAGTAAGCGGCTGTTTCGGTGTCATGTGTCAGACAGCTCTGTGACAAAATGTTACACATCATGGTCTGCTCTTCCTCTTTGAGGCTCTATTTTTAAAACAAAAGAATGTCAAACGCTATCTGTGGCAAAGTCCACTGTGGATTTGGAGATTTGATGTCCTTCACTTTATCCAATTCAGTCTATTTCTTCCACTTTAAACCAGCAAAACGCAACAAATGTTCTACAACCCACTTCCCTCTTTCTTTCTTTCTTTCTTTCTTTCTTTCTTTCTTTCTTTCTTTCTTTCTTTCTTTCCTCTCTCATTTTCTGTCTGCCTTCATTCTAAGCATGTGTCTCCCCTCCCCCCTTTATGGCATGCTTCCTGTTTACTCTTAATACAACTGGAGGCGAGGGGGGACAAGGATATTTAGTTCAGGGTTGGCTCCTTCAGATTCCTCTCAGCATATAGCATAAGAAGTGCAAAGAGTCCTGCCAGGTCACCCATTCATTTATTCCGTTTCAATTTTATCGGACTGCTGTGATTCTTTTTAATTTGATGAATCCCACATTTTCAACTCTTGGATTTCAGGATATGTCAAGGTTTGAGTCGAGCTGGTTTTGTTTATGACAGTGTGAAGAAAGTTTGACACATGGCTTTCTATACAAATGATGCAAAAATTATTTGCACTGTATAGTTGAGCAGCCATGCACTTCATGCGACAATTAATTACACTCAACTTTGCATGAAAGTAGGTTTGTACTTGTCTTTTACATGCAAAGTGACTCTGCCTCTATGGAAACATGGTCAAATATATCATATATTAATACCCCAATTGTTCAAAAATGCACCCAACATGTTCAGTACAAGTTTGAGTGTGTGTGTGGCAAGAACACATGCAGATTAATCATGTAAATACAGTATATACAATAGCTCATTTAATTTAAGAGTTTCCTGTCAGGGACAAATAACGGATGTTTTATTTTATTAATTTTATTTAGCCTTTATTTAACCAGGTTAGTCTCATTGAGATTACAAATCTCTTTTATAAGGGAAACCTTGTTAAGAGGGCAGCGGCATAGTTCCTACAACAGATGAAATTCACAACATCTTAACATTAAAACAGTCTCACATAAAACATTTACACAGAGATGAGATAGATTATAATGATGTGATGTATCGTCACACTACACATGTGCTACGACTAATTTGTGTGTCCCTTATAACCTCATGGGTAAACTTCTGTTTTGAAAGCTCTACAGTTTTCCACTTATATCACATTTGAGGTTATGACACTTGACTGTTAATTTACCCTGAGTGTAATACATAGATGTTAATGTGACCTCTTTGGATATTCATGTAAAAACAGAGTCATACACCTCCTGACCTTAAGCTCATGAGAGCGGTGTGCTGCTGTTGGCCTTGGCGACCAGTGTAACGCTAACCCCAGTGTTGTGGCCACTGGGTGTGTAACTTAATCACGTCCGGTGTGATTGGCAACACTGATGAATGTCCACTTTGTTTGCACAGCACATTCAACCCCCCTTCAGGTTGGATGCAACCGGGATGAAATCTAATTAAACAAGGACACCAGTGCCCTCGGCCCCCAGTGCTCTCCCATTAGCGCGAAGAGAATCCCAGTCCCACTGTGTACTGTAGCACAGATGATTTTTTTTCCTCTCTTTTCCATCTCAGACACAAGGATCATTCCTCCCACACGTGTGACCCATTTTTCAGACATCCTGTAGGCAATGAGCCACACCTCCGGCTGCCTTGTCTGATTTTTCATCACAGGTCACAGCACTTTCTTATGGCCTCTGTGGGTTGAAGCCATTCCAGTGCTCATTGACTCTTTGTCATTGTGGTAAGATCGTCTTTAGTCGGGAGGGTAAATTGGAAATGGATCAATGTAGAGTGGAGTACTGACAGAGGTAAAGAGGGTCCTTGTGTCCTTTTCCTGTCCAATATAATGTCCTTTTCTTATGGAGGGCCTGTCCTTGTAGGAGGTGATCCATCGACATTACATGACGTGTTTTCTTGACCGAATACAGTACGCTTTCACAATGAAACCCTCACATCAATGCTATTCAACAAAAGTAGGCATATTACTGTTCTCAATAAAAAGACGTCCTTCAGCCTCTGAGTCTAAGATGAATACATGTAAAAATACAATAAATCTATAATAGCATGAAAAGACTAATTTCAAAAACTAATGACGGTAAATTTTCACAGATGACCTAATTTTTGATACACATCAGTTAGAGTTACAGAAAGCCTGGATGCTTTCACACGTCTTATTTGGAGAAGTTAGCCCGAGTTGTTCAATATATGCAAACACAGCAGTCGCCTCACTGATACCAAACATAACAATCAAGCTAAGATCGTCCTGTACCTGCTCATTTCCAATCAAACCGTAAACTTGACCATTCAATGAGAACAAAATCAACCCAGAAACAAGAGCGAATAGCCTCTTGACTTTTCACTATAGGTTAGTGGAAATAGATGCAGTAATAAGGCAACTTTGAATACAGGAAAACCCAATAACATTATGATTTAGAATTAGCAGAGGAGCTGGTGTGAAGCATGGCAACATCACACAACTCAACAACAATTGATTTACTTCTGGGACTTTTGTCCAGCTAGTTGACTCAGGGGAATTTCTCCTTATCATCATTAAAACCTCCACTTCAATCATGCTGGCTTTTCACCTTTTACAAGCTGTTGGAGTTTCTTGGTCTTTGAGCAACAGTGTTCAGCAGAGAGGTGAAACCCCCCTCTGTTGTGCGCCTACTCACAAGTGAGTAAACTTCTGTATTTTTGTGAGCACTGTCCAAAATTCAACAAATGTGCTTATCTGCCCAAATGTCAACAAGATACTTGACCTCCTCGCTGCTCCAAGTCTACCCATGATTCAGGTTGACGTTTAACATAAGCTGGTCTCTCGGCAACTCCAATTATAAAAAGTGGTACCTCAAACAGTAGCTAATGAGAGATCAAAAATGTTGTTTACCTTGATATATGGCTAATGTTTAAACATATATTTAACTTCCCATCGACTTTGGATGAAACAGTAGTGACTGAATCAAAGTTATGAGAGTATGGTGTCAGAGAAAAATATGCTAATATGTAGGGTAACATACGTCTTCTTTTACCCAGACATGTCCTCTTTTTGGGGGCTGCCCGGACTTGTCCAGCTTTGTCTGGGGAAGTTTTTTAAATCCTTCAAATGTCAAGGGTGTTGTATGGAAGTTTTAAATTTGTGTCGTGGACTTACTGAGTTAGAAATGCGTAAAAAAAACATTTGATCCAACCTGAAAAACTCTCAAAATTAAGTATGCGCAACTCTGTGACTCCGACCTTTTTTGGGGTTCAGAAATATGGTCACCCTACTAATATTTGACTATTCAAACATGATAACGACACAGCTGACTATCTGGCTAACATCTTCCTACTCAATCTTTGTAGAGAAAGTCCACTCTCTGACTTTCAGGGCTTGTAACTTACCCACGCAATAACAAAAACTTACATCTAAGGACAGACATTAGGTGCCATCAGCGAGGGAGCAGAACTTATTCCAGTTTCATTCAGCCAATACTTATGTATATTTGAAGCATAATAAAGACAAATTTGTGGGGTTTTACTGTCACTTTAGGGCTCTACTGATCTTACAGCAGTAATAGAGGCATCTCTATGGGTGAAATGGAGCTGGACAAGTAACCCTGAGCAGAGAGTCACTCAGCAACTTGAACTAAGCGGCAGCAATGATAGGCAATAATACTGTGAGATGTTAGTGTAGACCTGAATTTATGGAGGAATGGCTTTGAAAACAGGTTAGCTGTCCTTTCCAGGATCTTTGATGTTCTGATACAAGCCCAGACTGCCTATTACAAAAATTACTCCCTGTAAAAAAACCCAAAATAAATCGGCAATGCTGAAAAAAAAAACTAAGACATACTAAGTACTTCATGACCACCGAATTGGATGAAGACATCCTTATTATTTTCTGGCAAATAAAGCTGATAGTTATATAGTTGCATCAACTGGGCTGGTACTCATGGATTTAATACATACAGTCAATTTTCATGGTGGGAGTAAATGTTTGGTTTGCACAGATTTGTTGGAGAGTGAGTGGAATCAAAATGTACAGTTTATTCTTGTGTCCTGATATTACATGGACTTGATTTTCTTGACTTCCAGCTTTTCAGAGAAGTTAAAAGAGGTCTAGTCATGCCAAATAAATAACAGTTATGAAGTTTTATCAAGCCGCGTTTTCACAGTTGACAACAAAACTCTTGGTTGTAATCCTCAAAAGCAGAGAAAAAAATACATAAGTGTTGATGCAATGAAAAAAAAAAAAAAAGATTGGGTTTGGCATGATAATTATGCTGGAAAAACTTGAAAATGAAACTTTCTTTCTGGCATGATTTATACTGCAAACTGTCCTTGGAAGACTGCAGTGAGCCTGGATGACAATAACAAAGTAAAGCTTGCTGATAAGGAGCGGCAAAGAAGTGAAAGCCTGAAGGTCAGTCCTGGTTGTGCTGGGAGCTCCCAGAGCGCCGAGGATTCTGCTGACATCCGCCGTCTTTGTTCTGCGTAATTGGCTAAAAGACTGAGCAACTATATTTACACATCCCCCGAAGAACATTAATTACAGACAGAGAGAGAGAGAAAGAGGTATCATCACTTTGCTGGTAGCTGCACATATGAATGTTTATTAGGGCTGGAAGATAATACACTTGCTTTAGTAGATCACGTAAAGGGGTCTGGTGGCTTAAATAAGCTTAATAAGCATGAATGTTCACTTAATCATACAGTGTACGGTGATTCTGCCCTGAATCAGTCTCCATTTAAAAATCACAGGCGGTGCTTTACAGTGTTAGACCTCAAATGCCACCCATGTTAGATGACAGAAACGGTTTGCTCTTTCTCTTGAGCTGCAGGTGAAGATTTCTCTCTATTTTTCAGACTGCCTTTTGGGTCTCTTAAAAGCAAATGCCAGTGCTACTTCATTCAGCTGTGATGAGATGAGTAATACAGCAGTATGAAAGAGAGATCAATGACGAAAACTAATCATGCTTCTATTCTGGCCCACATTTCCTTTTGGCAGCAGTGTCTTAGAGGCTTTTGCCAGTTAAAAACCTGGTATCTTCACTTCCTGTAAAATGAATTTCTCCCTCAGGACTTGCATCTGCAAATACTTTAGGGGGAAAAAAATTAAACTGTCCTTGATTAAATTCTTTTTTAGTCAACATAATTTGGAAAAAGCCTTAATGTGGAGCCAAGTAATAAAACTTAAATTTGAATGGTCTCCAGATTTATTGACTTTGTGCCTCAGTTTATATTCCTGAGTTTATCTCCTCTTCAAAGGCAGCATCTGTTCATAGCAAATAAACCGTTGTTAGCATGTTTTACGGTTATGTTGAGGCACATTAGGGACTCCTTTTAAATATTTTGCGTGGGTTTTCTTGAAAGTCAACATGAATAAACAAATATAGTGTGTCAAGAGGCCGAAATTTAAAGGAGTCAGTCCCTTCATCCTTGGACATGCTTTGTAAGTGCTAGTTAACCGCTTTAATTAATCCTTTCGATAAGCTAACAGTGGCTAATATTGTCCAGACTAAAAATGAACATGCTTATTTATTTATTTATATGGTTATTCAACAGGGATAATACATGCAGGCATTGTTACATCTAATTAAAGAACAACCTATGACGTGTATACAGGACTTCTAGCTATGGCTAATTTGCTGTCCTTTTCCCTGTTAGCATTGTTATTAAAAGAATGTGTTTACTTACCAAACTGAGAGGTAGTTTTTGACTGATTTTAAAATATTTAGTGTGGGTTTTTTAGAAGTCAACATGAATAAACAAATATAGTGTGTCAAGAGGCCGAAATTTAAAGGGGTCAGTCCCATCAGCCTTGAAAATGTTTTGTAAGCGCTAGTTAGCTACTGTTAGCTTATCGAAAGAATGAAGTAAAAAGGTTGATATTGTCGCTACTAAAAATGACCATGCTTATTTATTTATTCACCTATTTAATCGACAGGGATAATACATGCAGGCATTGTTACATCGAAATAAAGAGCAACTTATGGCATGTATACAGGACTTCTAGCCATGGCTAATTTGCAGTCCTCGTCCCTGTTAGCATTGTTATTGGAAGCATGTGTTTACTTATCAAACTGAGAGGTACTTTTTAACTGATTTTGAAATACTTACAGTCTTATAGTCATGTGTCTTTGTGATCTATTTAGAAAAATTAGATTATCATCGGCAGGATTAGTTGTTTCCTACAATTTATCAAAAACAATTTATTGCTGTAAACCGTATGATTCAAATCACTCTAAATCAAACTTCTCACATCCAGACTAACTTTCCCAGATAATACAGATGGAGATGGATTTTCTCCTCCATGTATATATCTTAATAGGATTGACACTGGCATGTGCCCTCTTCCCATGCTCTAGAGTTCGTACCCTGGGCTTTGAGGTGAAAGTTGGATGGCATACATGTGTTGCTAGGACGCCAGACGGTAATCCGAATCTAAACAGATGAAGAAAGGATGAAACTCTTCTATCATACAAACAAACAGTCCAGAGCTGTAAAAGTAACTGTGTTTACATGGCACAATGTCCATCCTGTCAGCCCCTTGCTAGCTCATTTTGTCGATTGTTTTCATACATAAGAGATCAACCAATTGCTATGAGCTAAAAAGGGGTATGTCACCATCTAACATAGCTGAGGCTATGTTTGGAACGACCTGCCAGAGGGGATAAGGCGTGCAGAGACAGTCGCTTCTTTTAAGTCAAATTTAAAAACTCACTTTTACAGACTTTCTTTTATGTGATGCCGTCTTTTACCTTTTTCTTTTATTTCTTTTACCTTTTTTACCTCTATCTTATTTCGACTTACTATCCTTTTAGCCTTTGTTTTACTTTTAATCATTTCTTATTTAACCTTTTAGGCCCTTTATTGATTTTAATGCTTTTTCCTGCTCATTTTTATTATTCCATTTTATCATTAATATTACCATCATTATTATTTTATTATGATTGTATTATCATTATTAATATCCTCTTTTATACTTATTATCCTGTTTCCTGCTTTCTGCCCTCTTCTTCTATTTCATTCTTCCTCTTACCTATTTTATGTTTTTATTTTGGTCCTCAGGGTCTCATTTTATGTTGTAGGGTTCTAGTATTGCCTCAGTTTCTTATGAAAAATGAAACTGGCCTTCAACTCAGAGGCCATGTTTTTAACTGAGCTTTTGTTTTTATTTGTTTTTATTTTCATGTGCTGATGTTCTGTGCTTGCAACTGTTGTCAAAGCACTTTGTAAACTCCTGTTTTTAAAAGTGCCAAATAAATTAAGTTATTATTATTATAACCCGAATATGCACATGGTTACAATTTCTGTTTTCAGAAAGAAGTTTGTCAGATGCTGACCAGTTTACTCTTTAACCTTTATATCCACGTAAAGCCGTACTTCAACAGAAAATGTTTTTTTTTTTTGTTTGTTTGTTTTTTGGTAATCCTGCTCCAGTTTCAGCCTGAATACAAAACACTGTGTTTGGTAATCCAACCTGAACACACGCACACAAACACACACACACACACACACACACACACACACACACACACACACACACACACACACACACACACACACACACACACACACACACACACACACACACTACAATCTTTTTGCTTAAAATCTTATTTTATCATGTGGGTCATGCAGAGGCATCTGTATAAGAGTAAAACTGTTTCAAAATCACTCCTCATGTGTCCTTTATGTATGATTTCTTAACTATTAAATGTGGGTATTTCAGTTTTAGACACAGGAGTAGCTCAAAGAGTCACGCAGTCTTTTGTTTTTGTGATCAGCCTGTCATGTGACCCACTTGCCAGAGTGAAACCACACCTTTTCCTGCTGTGTACTCTCTGCATCCTGCATTTTTGAGAACAAAATACATAATGTAGGAGTGACTCCATGCTCTCTAACATTCAGTTTAATGTTGTTGTGGAAGGAACTGCATGCATTTCCACAACTGGCAATGTCTGTCAGGGACCTTGTTAACCACTTCCTGTTATTGTCTCTCACTGGGAGTGGATGGCCACTACATTGCAGAAGTTCAGCAGCAGACTTTCATTTTCCTGTGTGTGTTTGTTCACTTTTTGGTAACAGATAGGCACAGATTGCCAAACCCAGTTGGAAGGGAGAAAACTAATAACTGAACAAATGAAGAAAATGTGAGCACTGTCATTGTAGACAATAACCAAAGCTATGTATTATGCACAATCAGGGCCAATTTAGTCAAACAGCCCTTTCAGCGAGTCATGGACGTAATCGTTTTTGCACCAAAAGCGGCCTACAGGGGTAACAGGCTATCACAGCTAATTTCGCTACAATACATTTATAGAGGATTTTTCAGAGGTTACTTTCAAAAGGCATTTGATTAAATATAAAGCTTTGTAAGAATACAATGGGAGCACTTGACCAGAGACTGAGAGAAGCAACAAGGGAATCAGTATAAAAGGCAGCGGGGAAGCGAACAATCTGGCTCATCAAGCTATTTGTTTGATACTTCCCACTGTTATTGTGATGAAATACTACACAGAAGGGTTAGTAATACAGCCGCTCCAATGATGTGACAATATTGTTTGCAGCAGCAATACACTTGTGACTTATAAATGTGACTGAATAAGACAGTACCAAGTAAATGCCCTGGCTGCTGCTGGGACTTAGAAATCAAATCTGCTAAAGTGATTTATGACACACTGAGACCCTAATCCTTCACTTTATGGCCCTCCTGCCACAGAGAATGTCATACCTCAGCAGGTAAGGAATATTTCAGATACGTTTCCAGGCTTCAGGAATTATTCCTGAAGCTAAGAAAAGAGCAAAACATGTGATTACAGGAGAATACAACCATGAGCACAGGCGCACAAGTGATAAATCATATTTCACAGGCATTGTTGCGTCTTGTCTGTTGTTTGTCAAATTACATCATGCTTTGCTTTGCAAATCTTTGAGTTTATAATGTGCGACCAGCCCGGCTTATTATTTGAAGTAACTGAAAGCGGTGATGCAATGTAATGCAAGCGGCCAATCATCTGCCACGGAGGATGTTTTTGTATCCGTCTCTCTTTCATCTTAAATCCACATTGTGTTTTTGTTTGGGTTATGAGCCATCCAACTTAAGCCTGAAACCTATTGACACAGGTGCCAATCATATTCATTTTCTCTTCGTTTGGAAGTGGAGCTTGTTATTGTATAAGCCAACATTCTGGTAGAGGCAGACAGAAACTGACAGAGGGTCTAAGTGCAAGCGTAAGGGAAGAAGAAAAGCAATTCTTGCTGAGGAGGAGAGGGAGTTGGCTGATGTAATTGAGATAGAATGAGATGGTATCAGCACAGGGGTCGCCATGAATAAACAGAGGGAGGGCACTGAGGACAATCGAGTGTGTGAAGGAGAAAGAGGCCAACCTTTTGCTTGTGTGTGTGTGTGTGTGTGTGTGTGTGTGTGTGTGTGTGTGTGTGTGTGTGTGTGTGTGTGTGTGTGTGTGTGTGTGTGTGTGTGTGTGTGTGTGTGTGTGTAGAAGCAGAAGCATTCTCCTATATGCCTTTGAGCATATGTGTCTGTGCATTTCTGTGTGTGTGTGTGAGGATCATCGCTGTGATGGGGGGAGGGGAAGCCTTCTCTTTAAGCCCTGGATCTGACTGACTGGTGCTTTCCCCCCGTGGAGAGCAGGCTGTGTTTGTGCTGCATAGAATAAAGACCTCACTCTGGGGCAACACCCGGGGGACCATCACCTACACAAAACACCATCACACACAATGTCTCCCTCTCTTTGTCTTGCCTGCATGTCTATGTCGCAAATGTATTCGGTCAAACTCCACGAGCTCATACACACACTTATCGCCGACACGTCATCCACAGTCAACAGCATGCCATAGAAACTGAAAGCCGAAGGGGACGATCACAGGAGAAACACTTAATGAATATGTAGAGCAGGTGCTGATCATCAGGCGCTTGTAGATAAGTAATAGTACTTTTTACAACGGCATGCTGGAGATGCCAGATGGGTTGGGTTTAGACATCTTTGCAATTCAAACAGTGTCATGTAATTCCCACTAAACACAATCACAGACTTCAATCTTTCCTTTTTTTTTTAATGGTCAATATTTAATTGAGCTTTAAGATCACAATCCAGAAACATGTGCGACATATGGTGTTAATTGAACCCCAAGATATCTGGGTTGGGATGAAAGAGACGTGATTGCTGAGCTCTACCGTATTTAGGCTATGGCCACAGATATAAGAGAATCCATAACAGCAGATTTTTCACACTTTGTTAAAAATAAATCCCATATTGATTGAATATTTCTTCATTCACACATCAGCTAAAACCTGCCAGGTTAGTAGGAGGTGATGATTTGTTATCGGTCACGTCAGTCAACGTTGGAGAACTTTGTGCACAGGAGTAGAAAACATCTTCTTGAACAAGCAGTACCATTTAAACAATACTGCTTAAACTGTGTATGGAGTGGATACTAAAAAATTAGTGTGATATTTTTGTTTAACCTTGTGTCTTATGCTGCGTTCGAGTTACCTCGGAAGTCAAATGTCCAAGCTGGGAATGACATCACACCCATGTTACCAGCGTTTCAGTTACCAAGTCGGAAAAAAGCAAAATCGGAGATGGAAGCAGTAGCATAGTGATAAGGACAGCAAGGTGTCCCTCCAAAAATGTAATTGGGGGACTTGACTGGACTACTTTCCTTGTTCCAGTTTACAAGCGCCGGGCAAGAATCGTATCATTGACAGAAGCGTGTCTGCCTCCGTTACCGTAGGTGCTGACATGCTCCCTTTCAGCTAAATACCATCAGGTTGTCTCCCTGTTGATGTTTTACGTATCAAAACAGACAGCAGAATGCAACAAGAAAGTTTCATCCTTTCATGTACTTTCTTCTTCTGTTGAGGTTTTGCTTGCTACATGTCATCCTAGCAATGCATCCATACTATTAAACCACCAGACCAGAGCCCGGTGTGTAAACACTGGGGCATGCTCGATCAAACTGAGCACCAGTTTTAGTTGGATTAAGCCAGGCATGTCCAAATTATTCCACAAAAAGGCCGTGTGGCTGCAGGTTTTTCTTTCAACCAATCAAGAGCAGCAGTCTGACCTATCACCTGTCTGAAGACTGAGATCAGCTGATGAAATGAGTCAAGTCAGGTGTTCTGCTGCTTGGTTGGAAAGAAAACCTGCAGCCCTTTGCGGAATAGTTAAGACATTCCTGGATTAAGCTGAATTACCGCTGAAAAAATCAATCTCCAATCACATTATCCAGGTATGTTAGTCCAACTATAAGAAGTGGAAAATAGTGATGTCCCGATCTGATATTGATATTGATAATGGATATTGGTCTGATATCGGCAAAAAAACTAATATCGTATTATATCGGCCTGCATCTAAAATCTCCGATATCAGCACTCCAATACAAGCGGTCCATTCCAGACTCCGCTCCAGAACCTCTAGCTAGCAGCACCCAGATCCAGCATGCAGAGCCCACGTGATCACAACAACAGTGTGTACCAAGGTCCTAACAAGGTAGCAAGGAGTAGAAGTGTAAAATTGTGTGGCAGTATTTTTCGTTTAAGTGCAAAAAAGACATTGCAGATCAGTGCAAAACTTGTCATGCACAAGTTTGTGCCAATATCAGATCAGTATGGGTATCGGCCAATACTGAAGGCTACAGTATCGGTATCGTAAGTTTAAAAAGTTGTATTCCGACACCTCTAGTAGAAGGCTATTTCAGTCTGGCCAACATGTTTATGTGCATTTTGAAAGTTCAGTTTCAGTGAGACTATTGCAGTAAATTTATTTTTTTAAGTGCATGTAAACGTACTGAATGTGAGAGCAGTAGCGCAAATCTGGAAGTCCAACATTTAGATGCAAAAACTGTTATCGTAGTCTCTGACTCCTTTGCTTGATCTGACATCATGTTGTCAGCATTTCACTGTAACTTGCACAGCATGCTTTTGATGTCATGTCCTGCCTCCAGAGACCCATCTCCTCCCCTGCTGCCCTCCGCCCTGCTTATCTGACAGGAAGGACTTCACAATGTGAGGAACATGCGTGATAACAGCAACTTTGGTCAATTTCATGGCCAAACAGTGCATATGTCAAAAGAGGAAACTGAGGATACAAGACTGGTGTGAAGCTGTCCTCAATGTTAGAAAAGCCACCAGTACAAATCAAAGAGGAACTAGAAACATAATATATCCTTTTTTTTTTATTTCCAACAAATATATGAACACATGCGTACACAGGTACCCACAAAGACATACACAATCTCATAAACATGTCTACAACGCAGACAGACATGTCTGTCGTAAATGTGAGCATGTCCTGGCTAGTCTCCCTGGAAGCAACGTTTGGAGAGCCAGGGGACTGAATGAAGTCTTTTGAGTCCGTGCTCGAGAGGGGCAGGTCCATTGTTAAGGACAGCTGGGCCTCTTGTTTCTTGCTTTCTCTCTGGGGGCAATGGGCACCCAATATGAGAGGATTGGGTTTCTATAACACCCCCCACCCTCTCCCCCCTCCATGCATCTGCAGCAGAATAGCATTGACTCTCACTGTCTGTGCTTCTGTCTGAGGACTCATATGGCAAGAAAAAAACCATGCAGTTGTAGTTTGATTGAGAGAATACAGAAGTGCATGCAGGGAATGATTTAGTTTTACATGTGTAGTATATCATTTATGCAACATTTAGTTGATGCAAATGCAAACATGGAAATATTGAGGTTTTCTTTAAATGTCTATAAAGTTTTGCAACCGAATCAATGCAAACTTCTAAATCTACTTTGTTATAAAGCTGCTGTGCCCTGGCATCATAAACAATACCCACAGATATTTTTGTAACCATGTCTTTTCCTTCTATGTATATCTCCATCCCCCATACCTCTACCCCTCTCCTCTCTCTTTTTTCCCACACTCTCCTCCCTCCTCGCCTGCCCAAGGGAGCACACTGATTGGGTGAATAGAGCCACTCTCTGCAGAGTCTGCTCCGTCTGTCACTATCCTTGTGGCAGGAGAGTGGAATAGAAGACAAGCTCCCAAAACTGGGCTATTAAAGGCTATTTTCATCCCTGCACGTCTGTTTCTGTGGGCTCATACTCCAAATATAGATCTGGCACTGGTGACGCCAATGTAACACGTCCCCCTTTTTCACTAGTTTAAGTCTACTTATGCAATCTCTCCCTCACATCAACTAGGGCTTGGCCATACCTGACCTTCTTGGCCTGATCCTGCAGCTATATGTTGCTGCCATTCATCGTAATACTCAAGCCTGTGTTTTTCCTCCTGCACTACTTGGAGGTCAGGTGCTTGAGGTGGAAAGTTGGGAGTGTGGGAGTATGGGAACAACATGTTTCCATTTGGATGTGGAGCACAAATCCAAGAAAAACATGTTGGGTGTGACCTACAAGTTCCAGCCAGTATCCTGTCATTCCAGCGCACAATGCAGGGAGGGAGGTGACAAATCCCTAAGCCACTTTGTGTCACAGGCAGACACGAATAGAGTGGCGCTCCATGTGACAGATGCTGTGCACACTGGGACGTGTTTAAAAAAAATCAATGGCAGTCAGTTCACCTGACATACTCTGCTTTGTTCCTCTGAAAAATAAATATGTCACATAAATAAATAGAGCACTTGAAGGCAGAGAAAGTCTGCATGCGCTGGGTTTCATCAGGAAGCAGTAATGTCACCAACACCCTAAAGACACAAACATGGAAGGATGTGTTTGTGTGACCTGTTTTTGTAAGAAAGGCACCTCATTGTTAGGAACAAAAGACACAAAGAAAGGAAAGTTTATGATGCAAAAATTTGAAATCAAGCTCTAAACAAAGAAAAAATCATTATTTCAATGCATGCTGAGACCTGTCATTTATGAGTTAAATCACAACAATGATATTCAGCAGCATATAATTATAGAAGCTCAGGTGGAAATAACAAATACAAAAGGATATAGATGAATAAAACACTGCACAGCTACATTTGAGTGCGCGTGGCAGCTTTCCCCTCTCTCTCCTGTGTGTGTTTGCTGAATAGAGGTACTATGGGTCAGTGGAGCAGCTGGTGACTGGGAGGAAGAACTTAACCAGGCCTCCTTTGTGGATCAGCTGTCTCTGGCTGAGCTTTGTCATTCCAAATTGGGTCCCTTACAACCCAAGCCTGGGGACGTTTTGACATGTAAATGGAGAACCGAGAGCTCCAAAGCCCCACGATTACTCACGAGAAGTTACAGGGGCCAAAAACGGCTCGCTGAGATGCACTGCTGGGGGGCAGGGAGGACACACACGCAGCTTCTCTGCAGACTGAAGTGTGCCTCACAGTCTGGAATTATGTTAATGATTGAGCTTCCGTCTGGACACCAAAGAGTCTCCTCCCTGATGGAATAAATTACAGGTGATATGAGCAGTCGCTGTGTGGGAAGTCTTAAACAATATAAAAGCCTTTTGACAGTGTTTGTGAAGCTAGGTTATAAAATAAAAATGTTCCTTTCATTCAATCTAACCGAGAGAGAGGGAGAGGTGCTGTGCAGGAATAATGAACACAACAGATGTTGGAGCAAATGTCAAAGCCAATTTGCAGCCAATGTTTCAGGTTTGTTAATTAATGTAACATCGATTTAAATATTAGCTGGCAGACCACATCGTACACACATGTAATAGGATGTGTAAATGTGTGTGTGGGGGAATTTCAAATGACTGTGCACACTGTTACACAGGTGGGAAATGTGTGTGAGAGGTGCCCTTATTTAAATGTCAGTCAGCATCTGAGTTTTCATTGTTATTTAAAACCACTGAGGGGAGTTTTTATCTGGTTATTATGAGACAGTCTCGATTAAAAACAAATGTCTCTCTATAAAACCACAAAAGTAACTGGACTGAATATTCTGAGTGCTAAATACTTGTTACAGCTGCCTTCTTCTTTGGTGAAGTGAGTTATCACTAGCCAATCGCAAGCAGGAAGTGGATTTTTATGTTGTTTTTTTAAATACTGCACAACTAAAGAACAGGACAGGAAATATGACACAAGAGGAAAAAAAATACTCAAGAAATAGGCAGTGACAAAACCTGAGTATTGGAGGTATTAGAGGAGACACTTGAAGCTTTTTCATTCTCTGGCTTTTAAAACAAACAAAAACAGATCTTCTGATCTGCTGCAGGCCATAGTTTTCCCCCCTAAAAAAACCTTATTCTTACACAAGTGGAAAACGCTGCAAGAGTTAACGCTTATTAGCGCTCATGTGTTTAGATAAGTATAATTCAAGTGTGTAATCAGGTGGGATTTTGTTTTCGTAAGCACAGAATGAGCCTTTTAAAGCTTCATATTAACAGGAGCAGGTCCTTTTGCCCAGAGGACACCATCTATCACTCTTTGCAGGGAGTGGCTGTTGTTTTTGGTTTTGTTGTTGTTGTACACAGGGTAAAAGCCTGACAAATTGAGGGCCACAGATATGCATCACAGGATCTTCTTGTCTCGAAGGCGACTGTTATTTCACCTAAAGCATTTCTATCTGCTAACTGACTGAATATTTGCATATCTGCATATTTACCCTTAAAAACTGAATGAAAATCATGATTTATAATGTAATGTTGAAATGTCAAAAACCCTTTTGGGTGCTGAATTTATTTGTCTAATGTGTCATATTTAAAGGGAAATTCCGGTGCAAAATTAATTTAGGGTCAAACACACCGTAACGCTGAGTTAGACACAGTTAGAAAGATGAATGTCGCCGACCACTTGCTTCTTTAGTTATACCAACTTCGGTAACGACCTCAGGGTAGCAATACACCAAAAAGCCACTCTATAGCCACAAATAATGCTCAGAACAGCACCTAACTTCATCAACAGTACATACAGGGTCCCAGCCATAGCACTAGCGACCAAACATCTTTTTAACTTTGCCTGATTTCTTTAGCAAAGAGACTAAACACAACTCACCTACTCTCTTCCAGTAGCCACTTGTTTGTACGGAGACCTCGGGCCAGTCCATTACGGACTACAGTGGGGTGACGCAGCTCAAGGAAGAACATCTATGATCACTACTTTATGGAAATGCAATCAGACCAAGACGCTAAGGCAGAAGAACTACCGCGTCTGCAGTGCAAAATGATTAATATGGTGATTATTACTTCAAGGAAATGATAAAGTAATGATCATAAATGTTCTTCCTTGAGCTGCGTAACCCTGCAGCAGTCTGTAACGGACTACAAACAAGCGGCTGCTGGAACAGAGTGGATGAGTTGTGTTTAGTCTCTTTGCAAAAGAAATCAGGCAAAGTTAAAAAGATGTTTGGTGGATAGTGCTGTGGCTGGGACCCTATATGTACTGTTGATGAAGTTAGGTGCTGTTCTGAGCATTATTTGTGGCCATAGAGTGGCGTTTTGGTTGAGGTTTGGACCGCAGTGTACTGCTATCATGCAGTCATTACTAAAGTTGGTATAACTAGAGAAGCAAGTGGTCAACAACATTCATCTCTCCAGGAGGTGTCTAACTCAGTGTTATGGTGTGTTTGACCCCAAATCAATTTTACGCCAGAATATCGCCTGTAAGTGTTCCTTTCATAATGATATCATACTGAATTTATACTCTAGCAAGACAGTATATACCTAAAAACAATCTAGGCTTTAACTTGTCCAAATATATGACAGGCGGAAATTGGCTGACAAGTATCCTGAAAGATTGCACACAAAATAAGTGTAGGTTAAACTTAATGAAAAGCTGTTTTATACCAGCACAACCTTTAAACATTTCAGTGGCTCCATAAAATGAAGCTTTTGGCCAGACAGCAACGCCCCAGTGAGCTGGTGTTCAACACGTCTGCGAGCCACATGTGTGCTTGGCTGTAAAACACTTTCTAACTCGCTCACTCGCAGGAGAAGCTGCCCATGTGTGGTTAAGTAGTTACAATGCAGCTCTAACCCAGAGACCAAACAAACAAGAATAACTCGGCACATTTGGACTGACGCCAGGGCTGCAAACATCATTGCACTTACACAAACAGAGAGCTCTCCATGGCCTCAATAATGCACAACATCACACATCTGGAGCGTGTCTCGTATTTGTACTAGTGGAGAAACCAACAGCAGAGAGCTGCTGAGCTGCAGAAGCAGTGGGCGCACAGGAAGTGAAATTAGCTCAATATACTGTTGCCTGCGGCATTTTGAAGGATAATTGCTGACACTCGAAGCTTACAGGATAGCCATTAGATGCTGCCGTGGTCAGGAAACTCTCTCTTACTGACAGCTGTATGAGTCTTCACGATGAAGGAACATGCATGTAAACATGGAGTTACCCATGTCCTCCATACTGTCTGCACTGCTTATTATGGAAGTATGTTGGCAGCATAATAAACCAGGAATTGCTGCCTGCTGTGGCAGTGCTTTTTTCCAAGCTGCCCTACTTTCTGCCTGTAGTTGTAGACTTGGTTTATTTATTCTGAATGGCCACTTATCACTGTTTTTTTACTTGACTTTTCTCTTTATGAGGAAATGGAGTGTCTCTGCGAATGGGGGCAGAGAACATTCAGGCCTACTGCTGTGCTCCTCTGATAGTTTCCATCACGGGTATCAGCAATGTGAAGCCGGGTCTCTGCAAACAAGGCGACATTTATCATCCCCCGGTAATGAGTATTAATTGACGAGAGAACAAACAGTTAAAGTTGCCTAATGTGTTTGCACGATGTAAAGCATTCAACGCCAATCTCACAGCAACTGATCTAATTCGTCTTTTCAGCGCAGTGACGCAGTAGGAAACAGAGAGAGAGAGAGAGAGAGAGAGAGAGAGAGAGAGAGAGGGCACAGGGGTGTGCTGGGTATAAGGAGATGAACAGAGCAGCAGATAATGACCTCAGCTTCCATCTGCTGGGCACCGCGGGGCGGAGACACCTTCAATCTGCCACCGGTCGGTCGCCACAGCAATCTGCCGCTCCCCATCGTCCTGGTGACATCTGCTTTTTGGGTGACTGAAAGATGAATGCAGCACCAGCCGCACGGGCACAGAACAGACGTCACACAGACCGCCAGACACACACACACACACATACTAACACTAACACTGCGGCACAGATGGCCAGAGACACACTACCGTGGTGATTACAATCCAGGCTTTCTCTGCTGCCTCCAACCTCTCTGTAAAGTGGATGTAATATAATGACAGGTTTGTGTTAGTGCAGAGATGTTTGCAGCTTAGGGTCTGGCATTGGTAGCCTTTGGCTTGTATCCAGGTACCTCACCAAAGTGCCGTTTGTTTGGGTTAACTAATACCAATAACCTCCTGTGATGGCGCTGACATATAGGCATTAACCAGTTCAAGGAATCACACTCTGTTTAACTTCATAATACATGTGTTTGTTTTCAGAGCATGGGGGATTAGTGTTGATGTTTACTACTGCTCTGTATCTATGGCAATACCGTTTTGCTTGAGTAGAGTCCCCAGCCACAGCTGTCACAGTTATTTAGTGCCTCTGCGGTAACCTTGGAAACACCCAGCCTGCATACATGTGCTAGCAGAAAGTGAGATCCTGATAAACAGGTGAGGAGTCGGGAATATGATAATTACATACAGAGCAAAGTGAAAAAAGTAACCAAACCACCTCATGTGTTAGGTTCACTTCTAAAAGGACAGCTGGAGGGAGACCAGACAGGCGAGCAGAGAGAGGGAGAGAAGGATAGAGAGAGAGAGAGAGGAAATTAAGGGGTGGGGTGGCAGTGACAGAGGAACAGTGAAGCAGAGGAAGCAAAGGAAAAAGAGGGGAATTCAGGTCAGTGTCGTGGATTATGCATGCTAGGCTGAGCTTTCTGATCCACCTCTGGTTTTGGGAGAGAAAAAGAATCTAAGAGAGAAAGGGCACTGGTGTGATAGATAGACAAACAGACTGTTAACACATCGCTTTAAAAGGATTTACAGTCATACAAATGCAAAAGGAAAGTCAAGTCACATCCAGTTACTGCAGCAGCAATTTTAAAACACACAGATGCTGTAGTCTGATTTGTAGTCTTAGAGATTTTGGGTCCCTCCTGAACCTTTCATCACAGAATTGTGATCAATATATCTCTACTTAAAGGGATATTCTGGCGTAAAATTAATTCAGGGTCAAACACACCTTAACACCGAGTTAGACACCCCCTCCAGAGATGAATGTTACCGACCGCTTGCTTCTCTAGTTATACCAACTTTAATAAGAACCACACGATAGCAATACACAGCGGTCTTAGGAGCCATAAACAAACCCCAACCAAAACACCACTCTATAGCCACAAATAATGCTCAGATCAGCACCTAACTTCATCAACAGTACATAGAGGGTCCCAGCTACAGCACTAGCCACCAACATCTTAACTGTGCCTGATTTCTTTAGCAAAGAGATTAAACACAACTCACCTACTCTCTTCCAGCAGCAGAACTGTAGAAGACCAGTCCATTACGGACTACAGTGGGGTGACGCAGCTCAAGGAAGAACATTTATGATCTTTTTTTTTTTTTCTTGAAGTAATAATCACCATATTAATCATTTTGCACTGCAGACGTGGTAGTTCTTCTACCTTAGCGTCTCGGTCTGATTGCATTTCCATGGAGAAATGATCATAAATGTTCTTCCTTGAACTGCGCCCCCCTGCTACAGTCCGTAATAGATTTGCCGGAGAAGCGAGTGGGTGAGTTGTGTTTAGTCTCTTTGCTGAAGAAATAATTGGTATAGTTGGTAAAACTAGAGAAGCAAGCGGTCGGCAACATTCATCTCTCAAGGGGATGTCTAACTCGGTGTTATGGCATGTTTGACCCTAAATTAATTTCATGCCAGAATATCCCTTTTAAAGCTCCTACAAGGGGTATTTAGCAGGACACCAAACAGAGTGAAATGAATGGTTTTTCTTCTATTTCTTCTATTTCTTCATACATTTTCCACAGCAAATGTTCACTAGGAGTATTATATTTGACTGTTTCTGATTTCTTTTTAACCCTAGCTACATGTGTGCATACATAATTATTTTAGCAAATTAATAAAATGCATTTCTTTGTTCTTGGGGGCACCGAAATAAACATAATCCAAAAGTTCCTCAAAGGAACGTCTGACAACTTCTAAAATTTAATCCAGTAAAAACTGCAACTTACAAATTTTAGCTACAGCTTGATCTGTTGGTCATTTGAATAACGAACAAGATTAATTGCAACTTTCTCTACATTTCTTATCAGGGTAAGTGGGACCAACAGCAACAAGAATGACAATTGCTGATTAGTTTTGTAATTTAACTTGTAATCACAGCCAACAAACAGGTGTCAGACAGGGAAATTGCCTAAATAGCCTTCACCAAGCAAAGATCTGCACTGATTAATATGTTTGACTGTGTGAAGAAAGCAGAATAAGACTGATGCAAAAACCCCTACTTACTAAGATTAAAGGTTTGTCCACACAGTCTGAAAGTTCAGGAGCTTTAATGGAAAAAAAGGGTTTGATTGCAAATAAAAGGAGAGCACAACAGGCACTGATGAGATGTTTTGTTATCAATTTCTCGCCTGTTAATCAACAGGATCATTAATTTTGACACCGCGGAAAAATATTTGGACAGTTGAGGGGAGCTTAGAGGATTGTGATTCATCAGAACATAATGCATCTTGTTTGTTCTCATATTTTGCGGTGTCCACTTCTGTTGCCTGAGACACGTAAAAAAAAACAGAGTGTAAACAGGGTCAGAGTGACACAAAGTTAAACAGAGGATTGCTGTCAGCTCGGATAATTTTTAGGGAGCAGGACTGAAACTGAGTCGCAATCATCTTATGAAACAGTCAGTTAGATTGAAATAGATTGCTGACGGTTTATGCAAGGCCTGAAAGATAACTCTTCCCTCAGTCAGATGAAAACTATCTGAAAACAAGTCCTCTTTTTAAATAAGCAAAATAAAACCTGAAGCTGGCATGTGGAGCAGGACCAAAGTTAGATTTATTGTCAACTAAAACATGCCAAACTTTAAAGGTCTGATTTCAGTTTTCAAAAATATCAGGCAAGCTGAGTTATTTCTAGAATGAGTCAAGGTTTCCTATTGCTCAGTTTAGAGTCCAAAATAGGTCTTCCATGGGTGTTAGAAAAACAGAATATCTCTCATGCCGGTGTCAGAGGCGTCAAAGTACAAAAGTGTGTCAGCTCACAGTGTTTACTGGGTCAAAAACTATTTGGGTCAGCCTGGGTAGGCTGATTTTTGTGTTTGTCGGACTTCAACACAGCAGTGTTTAAGTAAGTACATGGCATATCAGTGTTCATAATATCTTAACATACTGTTTAACACAAACTACTTAATTGAGTTACAACCCACATATGGCAAATCCCACCCACCTGGCATTTGAAAGGATACCTCATTAATTCTCAGACTGAATCCTTTCATACGGCTGTGGGTGGATATGTTAAATTCATTATTAAAACATCCATAGAGTTCTGTGTTTTCATAATTTGCCCCCTCATTTATGATGTAAGTACTGCCGTCCCTGCAGGGGAACAAGCCCTCGCAGAGACGGGGCTTTAATTTAGCTTTGAGAAAAGGCTTATGTGCTTGTCTGAAACAATGAAGACAGAGTGTAGCTTTAAGGAAACACTGACTACTCCGCTGCTCTCTTTTAGTGGCAATTAATTGTTTCTCTCAGTTCATCTTTATAAAGAGTGATGACCAGCATGATGTACAACCAGCTTAGTTTTTAAACGTGACAGTTTGGATCTAATAAAGAAAAAAAAATTGATTTATTGCATTTGTTCGACTGACCTTTGAAATACATGTAAACACTTCACAGACATAACAGACCCTCTCTTGCATGTATGGGACTCAAACTGGCCCAAGTGTTATGCACATGCTCCACATTTTGCATGTCAGGCTTTGACCCAAAAAGTTGAACGGCACATATACAGTAGGCATGTGTGGAGCATTTCCCCAACAACTACATGTTACATTCACAGAAATTATAAGAAATGTAGAAAACCTGTCGAGAAAGGAAAAAGAAAAAATGTGAATAAAAACAAAAAGAATAATTTGTAAATTATTTTTGACCTATTTTTAATTGAATACACAACAATGACAAGATATTTTATTTTACATTTGATCAACTTCAGTGCTTTTTGCAAATATTCGCTTATCTTAAATTTGATGCCTGCAACATGTTAAAAAAAGCTGGGACAGGGTCATGTTTACCTCTGTGTTACATCACCTTTTCCTTCAACAACACTCACTAAGCATCAGGAACTGAGGACAGGAATAGTTGGAGCTTTGGAGGTGAAATTATTTCCCATCTTTGCTTGATGCTGTCGTATTTTGTGCTTCACACATTTTTAATGGGAGACAGGTCTAGACTGCAGGCAGGCTGGTCTAGTACCCGCAATCCTATACTATGAAACCATGCTGTTTTAACTCGTGATGAATGTGTCTTGGCGTTGTCTCGCTAAAATAAGCATGGACGTCCCTGGAAAAGGCGTGGCTTGGATGGCGGCATATGTTATCCCTAACCCTAACCTTCACAGATGTTGGTTTATGTACTTTGACTTGATAACAATCTGGATGGTCCTTTTCCTCTTTAGCTGTGACGACACCACGTCCATGGTTTCCAAAAGTAATTTGAAACGTGGACTCGTCAGACCACATTCCCACTTTGCGTCAGTCCATCTCAGGTGAGCTCAGGGTGGCGTTTCTGGATGTTGTTGTTATTTGGCTTTACATGGTAAAGTTTAAACTTGCATTTGCAGATGTAGGGACAGACATGCAGAGATATTTGCCATACTATTATAGTATTGCATAGTTATACCGAAGTTGCAGTGATAACAGATGATGGTACAGGCAAGCTTCAAACAAGTAGCCAAGGGTAAACTGGGACACACAGGGCACATTTTGAGATTTCATAAGGAGTCAGTGCAGGGAGGCTAATGTTGGAGGGAAATTGACTTTGTTCCTAATTAAATGTGGGAGTTAACGGACTCCTTACTCAAATAAAGTGCCCTGATTCCTAACAGTGGTGCTGGATATCATGCTGGATGTTTGAGGCCAAGTACAATAAACTTCTGTTTTGTCTGAACTAATGAGCAAAGAAATTCAGATTGTTCAGGTATGTCACCCAACAGGTAATTTGACTTGAGCGAGTGTGTTTTAAGAGTTTTATATTCAAGTATTACATAATTTTAATGAAAATTCAGAAGTGTATGATGCTCTGGAACATGATTTGTCAAAGATCATGTTTGAAGTGTGGTATATTTTACAGAAATGTATGGATTTAATGTAATTGCAGGAGTGATATAGTGGAGCAGGCAGTTTGACTCATGATCTGGCAAAATTTGGACTTGAACCAGCAGCTCAAGGTACTCTTTAACACCAGGTTATAGCTCAGCTTAAATATGAGGGGACATTTTAAAAGTAAGACTTAGCATGATTTAGATATATCAACTTTTAATCTTTCACCTATTGACATCTGAATATAAGTGTAGATACTCTAAATAGTTGTAATGAATCACAAAAAATACCACCATATAGCAGCCTGGATCTCTTAAATGAGTTGCATATTTTGACAAACAGTACAGAAAAAGACAGAAAAAATAATCTACTCAAGTGATATGATAAAAATAAAGAGCCAAGACAAAATGAGAGAGTGATTGTTTCCAACTCTTGCACAACTGAAAGTCTGCCAGTCTAGTAATGAACAGAGTGTCTTGTCTGTAAATGTGAATTTTGGTATGTTTACTTGTACTTCAGGTACTTTTAAAAGTAACTGGTAACTAATGCAGAGGAGTAAAAAAATGCAGTATTTCTCTTTCAATCACACTTCATTGACAGTAAATAAAAATGACCATCTCCAATGTAGTAGCGCTACCTCAAACCCGTGCGGCTTAATGACAGTACTTGAGGAAATATGCTTTACGACATTCCACCTCTGCCTGTCAGGCATGTATTTCTGTGTCACCGCAGTTAGCACTCTCACAATGCACCATTTGTAAAACATGCTAGGAATGCAGCAACAGGTGGAGGCAGCTTTACCTCATGCAGCCTTTTGACGTGTTTGAATACAAGTATTTCTAAAACACAGACACTCAGTCACTTTTGTCTTATTCTACATTCTGACATGAATATTTTGTTTCTTTCACTCAAATTCTGTTGCTTGTCATTGGTGAAAATGAAATATAATCTCCTTGATGAAGAGCTGTCTGTTGCAATGTGAAATATGGATATGAAATGCAATTGAAACGTCTGGTTATGAAACAAATAAGTGTAACATCTGCTCTCCTGTTATTTTTGCTGTATGTGTTTGTCATCTATGGTTTGTTACTGTCCATCTGTTGTATTGATGCTGAAAGGTTGTATGCGGTTAAGTTGTCAGATCTCGACTGATGAAAATAGTTGTATAATGCTGGAATAAGGATGATAAGAGAGGTGAAACTAAACCACACGATAGACTTTAACATCGTATATGAGATTCAAACGCCTGCACTTGGGCGCACAGAGTGAAAAAAATCGACTACTCCACGCTGTCAAAGCTTAAAATAGTGAATTAGCTGACAAGTTGACACATGTCAACATGTTGACATACATTAAGCTGCACCCTGTGTGTGGTCACCAGCAATGGTTGAATGTGTTTTGACATCCCTGAAGTGCCACAAGTGCAGGTTACCCTTTAAGGTGCTGGTCTTCAAACAGAAAAAAAAAAAAGTCTGTCAGCTGCAGACTTATGTAAGGTGACCAGACGTCCCCAATTTCCGGGGACAGTCCCCAAATTGGCAAAAACTGTCCCCAAAAATGTCCCCGATTTAAGCATTTCATGAATGAGAACAAAAATGTTGCGTGTAGGCTAGAACAGCAGTTATTACAGTAGCCGAATGGTTAGAAAGCACAAGTAAGCAGTCCTAAACAACAGTTTTTACGGGGTACGGGGGTTATTACAAGGGGCGTGCACTGCTACTGAATAGTATCGAGATGTTGTCTGTGATCACGCAGCCCGTGCACCCCCCGCCGCACCGAATTTCATTACAGAAATCTGGTCACCTTAGACTTATCTGGTGATTCTGTTTTTGTCTGTCCCTGTTTTCACATGACGTAGCTTTTTAATCAAGAGTTCATACAAGAAAGGAAATCAGCAGATTTAAAGGGCAGAAAAAGTGACGCTGATAAATCTGGTCGACCTACTACCTGTGTGGTTTGTTTTCATATGCGGCAACAGAAACATTGTTACACAGCAACTGGCTTGTTGAAGATTCACCACCCTGTTTGTGGCTCTACAGACGCTGCAAATTTAACATCGCACTCTGAAGATTCCACTCACAACCTCCAGCCAAGTGTGGAGGCCCACAACACATGCACACACACATTCAAACTCACACACTCAAACACACAGACACACACAAATACATGCATGTAGCCATAGAAATCACATGTTCTCTAATACAAGTACTGACATTCACACATGCATCCATGCTGACTTGCATGTGCATAAACACAAACACACACACACAACTCCTGCTGCGCCTGTAAAATCAGCATAGCTCTCACAAATTCCTCCAACACCTCCCACCCCATGTGGACGCATACATACACACACTCACATGCACACACTCACACTTCTGTGAACCCCACACAATTAATGTGAAATCACATCCATCTTCCAGCCCTCCTCCCCTCCCCAGTTTCTCCATTACGAATAGCTGAGGATTGCATTCTCTCCCCCTGGCCTTGCCTGATGTTGTTTTTACATGTCTTGTTGTGTGCAATACTCTCCCTTATGTAAGACAAGATTACCCAACATGAGTGCTATTCTCAGTGGGGGTGATCGCACTGGTGCATTCCAAGCTCAATGAGAGATGGAGGAAAATTGAGAGAGAGGTGAGCGGGAGATAATCTCCTCTTAATGATTATTTTTATGGCAGCCATGCTTCACTTCATTGTCAGGACTCAAGATAGAGGGAAAAGCAGAGGGAGAGGAAGCTATGCTGCAAAAGTCATGACTCAGATTCAAACTCACGAGCACCTGCTGAGCTACCACGACGCCTCAGAGTCAACAGCCTTAAGTGGATTATTTCTTTGCAGATTTAACCCTCGCCTCAGTATGAGCACTGAGGGCTCCTTGATAAATATTGACCAAGAGATAAGGAGGGAGTGTGCTTAGTTAGACCTTGTGTATCCTGTTCACAGTCACAGGAGGATGGAGTAGCCCTAGCATACATTAGATTGAAATATTCTGAACAGGTTTTGAAGGTATTACATACTAATGATGTGGTAGCAGAGGATGTGCGGGCACTGAATCTTGAGTTCAAAGAAATGGAGAGGAAGCTTTCAAAGCAGGAGCATTTCCAGGGGTGGGCTGGGGTGGCATGGCCCTATCTTTTAATTTTAATGGTCACCCAGAGTGCCAAACAATCCTTAACTATGATTGGCTTGCATTTTAGTCTTTCATTGTAACACATCACCTTCTGATCAAAAGTTACTCAGTTTTCCTACTTTATGATATCTTACCAGCAAACACAATGTTTGCAGGACTTCTACAACCAGGATAAAGTGACTCCAGGACCCGAAGTAAACAGTTTAGCGGCGCTACAACACGTTACAGGTCCTGTTTGACAAGAAACACTTCTGTTACAGACACTTGGCTTACTTTGTTAAAGCGGTTTACCTGTCCAGCAGAAAGGTTACAGGGTCCAGGTGGTCCGGGTGGTCTACCTCCTTTTAAAGCGCCCTTTATTCCGCCAGAGTCTCAGGTATTAACTTTGTTTTCCTGCTTGTGTTGGCAGTCGTGGCTAAAGGAGGATTCAGACAATTTTCTGTACTTTCTGGTTGGTTTCTACTGTCCGATATTGTTGTACGCTAACTTTGTTTGGGCTCCTGAAAACACGGGGGAGCAGCGTCTGCCTCACAACCAATCAGGTTGGGGAGGTGGAGAACGGCTTTGTTTTCAGTCAGAAAGAGCGAAGCGCTCCAAAAATTTTAAATGTTGACTACACAGACAAAACAAAACACAGCGATATCGTTATATTACTAAATGTCATCAATGAGTAATGGCTATTGACTGATATTAAAAGTTTAGTTGTTTATACACCATAAAAAAACATGCTTCTCTAACGGATTCCTGCCTACCCCACCTTTAACTAGGGCCCAAGAACAGACAAGTTCTTGATTCAAAGAGGAACAACAATAGCACTTTGTTTATGATTTATCATGCACCTAATAAACAACTATTGCATTCAGTCTTTTTTCCAAGAATAACCCACACGTCTTAGATACATGGTCTCACATTGAACTCTTATGAATCGTGTGTCTTTTTAGTAACAAGTCAGCATTAATTCTTGGCTTATTAGGAAGCAATTTACAAGCCCGACCGCATTGGTTCTGGCTGAACTATCCTGCATGCTCCCATACATGTGATACCAAATATTATGTTCTACAATCAAGTCCTCTATTGTCCTTGTACTCCTTCATAGAGACTTCTCACAGATGAAGCAGACGGCTGATACACTTACACAAACACTCCTCTGTTGATAAGGCAGCCAAAATAGATCACCTCAAACTGTAGCTTGTTTGTGTGAGTAGTAAGCTAGTAGGCATACATGAGGTAGCAGACGCGATTTGAGACAGTTATTTGACTGATGTCGAGTTCCTTCTGGAAATGCCTCTTGTATGAAAAATTGGGAACACTGTGTATCGAAAAAACACTCTTACAATTGGATTCATTGATAAGTTCACCAAGGATACAACAAGAAACAATAAGATACAATAAAATATGACAAAATATGTTTTAATACAGTACCTTATATGACCATGACACGTTATGTTACACTATACTATATTACATTTCAATAGAATATGATATGATACAGTAAGTTATACAAAATGAGTCACAATACAAGTTACATGATAACATTCAAAGGGGAACTTCTATTATTGGTGCTTGAGGGAAATTCAAATATGAGGTTTGATTGTAAAATACACAGAAACACAAAATAATGCTCTACTATTTGGTCATTAGCCAACGATTATAGTATAAATGGGATAAACCGATTAGACCATTTTAAATGGAAAAAACTTCATTACATAGTAATTACATTTATGAAAATGTGATTGCTATTAAGTTTGGGTTCATTGACTGTATGCTCCTGCTAAAGCCTAATTAACACACAGCCACAGCTGCCAACAAGCTAGTAAACACTGCTGAGTATTAAAAAAAAAGAAAAACAAGACTTGACTTCCAGGTCTTGGTGTAACCAATGAACGGGAAAGGGTCAGGGCGACTGGCAAAGGGCAGAATTATTTATTATTGACTGAATTTCCCCCTGAGATAAATAAAGTATTCTGTTTCTGAAACTCTGATTTGTTTCTTGGAAAAACAGCAGAAAAAAATCAGAATTCAGACTTAAATTCAGACTTGAAACTTTGAAGAAAAAAAGTTGTTATATTCCTATTGGAAAAAGGACTTGAAGTTCACAATGGCACAAGGTTAGCATTGGTTTTAAAAGTTTCTATATTCCCCAGTGTTTGCAAAAACAACAATAAAGTATGAATCTAGCTTCACTAAAAAAAAAAAAAATTCATCAATTCAACTACAAAAAAAATCTCATCCTACACAAAAGAACAGGAATGTGATCAGTGAGGAAATGTTCCCCCTGAAAACAAACACACTTTGACGTGAGCCAGCATCCCAAAACCATTCCAAGACGTGCTGTCTGTCTGTCTGTCTGTCTGTCTGAAGGCCGTATAGTAAAGGAAATATCCTACAGAGTTACCAACTTTCAGGCCATAAACTATTTTAAACTTGCTGGCATCTTAATAGGAAACAGCAACCAGCCCCACCTCCTCCTTTTGCACGTAAAGGATGCTGCTACAGCTAAGTTGTGTACATGCTGGACAGTCTTATCAAAGCATGAAGAGGTTGAAATAATCCAATCACTAAGTTAGCGATAAAAGGACTGCTTGTTCACCCAAGCCTTGCATCTGACTTGAGAACAACATGTGGTGTGGAAGTGCTAATGTGCGTGGTCACATGGCATCAGGGTGCATCTCAGCGCTGTGCCTGGGATGTTATGTGACTGAGTGTTGTGAACGGCGCTACGATTATTTACAGTTTTTATTGTAGTTTATTGTGAGAAAAAAATTCTACGGTATCTACGCTTTATAAATCAAACTTATTATGAAGCTGTGTTTTCATTAAAAGAACGACAACAGAGCCCCTCTATGTTAAGTCTGGCATTGACATATCTATCTCATCAGCATTCTCCCCATAAAAAAAACTCCAAACAGAACATATAAAAGCTGTTCTGGTGAAAGGCTACAACCTTAAGCACCCAGGCTTGTTTGCACATTACACACATTATTTGTAATGGAGCACATGGCTTGATGAATGAGCTCCCTTGATCTCCCTCTCAATCTCTTGAGCAGGCATGTCCTTCGGAAAGGGGGGGGGCTCAGCAGAGAAAAAGAGGAGAGTATGTGTTTCAAATTAATCAATCCTTCTCATTTCCCCTCTCTCCTCTGAAGCAGACAGACCCCCTCCTGGAGGGGGGTCTGCTGCAGTGGGGCGGAAGAAAAAAAACAAAACACTGTCATCTGTTTTCATGGAGGTGGCAGAGGCCCAGTCCCCAGCTGTGGTTTGGCCAAGAGGAGGAGATAAAAAAGCCGGAGTGAAATAAGGTGTAGGAGCAGAGGAAGGGGAAGGAGAAATAAGCAGGAGAGAGCAGGAGACCTCATGCTAGGAGTTGGGTCAGGATGACAGTCGAGGATCATGGGATATTCTGGCCTCCATACGTGTACAAAGGCAGCTGACAGATGACTGTGCAGTGGCATACCGGGCGCTGATCCAGAGTCTCAATCCCTGTGGGGAGAGTCTCTCTTTCACTCTGTCTGAGCGTCTCTCTACCAAAATCACTCAATTTCCATTTCTCCCCATTCACCCCCTCTTATCTCTTCATTGTCAACCCTCCTGGTCCCATGTTCACCAATAAACCCTCTCCCTCAATGCCTCTCCTCACTGGTGCTCGTAATCAAATTAGGTTTGCTCCAAGAAGTTGAGGAAACACTAAGTCACAGTGGAGACGCTGAACAGACAACGCCCTCCAACTGACATTTGTTTTCTCAATAACTTGCGGCTTAGGCGATGAGGAGAGAATAGTAGGTGTCACACTCCCACACAAGGCACTACACGAATACTCACATAGCATAAACAGGGTATCAGCTAGGGTTTAGACAATGGTTTTAGACTCAGACCCCCCCGGAGGTCTGTGAGCTGGCTTTGACAGAGTGGCCATTGTCTCAGTCATGTTTACAACCGCACCTGACTTTGTTGTCACATGTGTGTCACTGAAGCTTTCAGAGAATGTGCATGAGTGTGTGCGTGTGTGTGTGTTTGTGTGAAAGAGAGAGAGAGAAAAAGAGAGAGAGAGAGAGAGAGAGAGAGAGAGAGAGAGAGAGAGAGAGAGAGAGAGAAAAAGAGAGAGAGAGAGAGAGAGAGAGAGAGCACGTGTGGGTGTCACTTGTGAACTAAAATGAACTCAAGGAAACAATTTCAGATATCCTTTAAGACTCCGTTCACCCAGGGTAACAAATCGTCCAGCTGTATTCAACACTTGATTTTGATTGGTTAAAAACCCATTACAATGGTAATTAATTCTGCATAGCGTAGCAACGCCAGCAGCACACAGATGACACATGTTATATCAATTCAAGCCCTGAACAGAAGTCCAGCACATTTATGTTTGTGATTTCAACACTTCCTGTTGACAGTGTGGCTAAAGTGCTAGGGTCTGATAGCAACAGTAAACAACATTAATAGAACCCTTAACAGTATTTAGAGACAACAAAACTTTGATTTGTGGTTAATGGATGGCTAGTCATTTGGAAACTAGCATGTGATGTTAATACACACAAGGGGCTGAGAAACAGACATCAAGCAAATCGAAGAAAACAGACAAGACAGTTAAAGGGTTTTTCGCTGGGTAAGAAGGAGGATACAGTCTAGTGAACTGATGCGAAATAAAATCATGACAAGGATAGATGAGACCTGACACTAAACAGAGGGTTCTTATTCATCCTGGTGTTTTTTTTAGTATAATCACCTGCTCACTATTTACTCTCACATTTATACCATTTCAAGTACTGAGAAATAATGATTACAATCTGGTTATTTCTTTTAACAGGTACCTTTGATAATAATTCATAACACTTGTGTTGAAATAGTCAACTACTGCTGTTGTCAAATGTGATAAGTGACAACAAAATTAAGGGCCAGTAGAGGTCTAGTTAACAAAATTTGAGCTTATTCTGCTTTTTTTGTTTTATATTGTTTTGAATTCAACATGTTTGATCGCAGGTCAAACAATTAAAGCGATTTTTAGATATTACTCTGTACTATGGGGATTGGTGATGAATATTTTTCTGACATTTTTAGGCCTTAATGATTTCATTAATAATACACTTATCTGACAAAACTGGATCATTCCTCACAGTCATATAACACCTGATGTACTTAGCTCCTTTTTTATTACGATTAGCGCATAATCCTTTTATTTCATCTGTCACCTACTTCAAATTGATAAGTATGTGCTCTGCCGCAGCACTGCTGATCATCATTATCCATGCTACCCACATGCTTAACCATTTGCCACCACAGCCACTGTTTATCCAGCCCACCAAGCACATGAGCAGCCATAATGACACTAATCGCCCGAGAGCTCACTTTTCCTCTGAGTGCTTATGTACTGCATTGTGCCTTAAGAGCCATCTGTGTTCCCGTCTTAAATCGATCTATCTTGCACATTCCAAAACTACAAGAGGACGGGAGAGGCAGCACTTCCATTCATTAATAATGTGAATGGGGTGCGGGGGATGTGGGCTACTGTTTCTTCGAGGGTCAGTTTGTGGAGGGAGCTAGACCTCCCCGGCCCTCTGAGATCTGGTAGAATAAGGCAGCTCATGACATCTGACCCCAGTGCTATCTGACTTCACAGGGTGTAGCTGAAGAGATGCTGCCAATACTGATATTAGTTCACTGAATTTTTCAGTCCTTGGACATTGTACTTTGCATTTATTTTTTGCTCTGAAACATTTTAGTTTGATGCCAAAACAATATATTACATGTAAAAGACGATGTCACTTAATTAGGATTAGTAAAGGTGTTAAACCAATATTCGGAAATCATAGCAGTTAAAGAGGGAATGATTGTTTGTTTGCTAAAGAGGCAAGATGTTTTTGAATTACTTAATGGTTTCAAGAGATTTCCACTTAGTAGAATACTTATATATATATTGCTAAATGAGCTCTTGTATTTGCTATGCAGCTAATCATAATTCTGAAGTGACATACCCATGAAAACTCACAAATAACATAAAGTGATGTATTCCATTATCCAGCAGTGATTGCTCCCCTAAAGAGGGTCAATGGCAATGACAAAACAGAAAAAACTCATTTTTGTTGAAAATTGTGTCCTTTGGTTTTATGACCTCTGATGGTATTGCGGATAACCAGTTTCTTAATCTTGTTACAAAGCTACCCATGGTGCTTTGTACTTTTATTTTGATCCTGCGATGACATAAAATTGGTATCCAAATATGTGACAGTTTTAAGGTCAGAGCTGGAGCTTGAACACAACCAGACATGCACACATACACAGTGCTCAGTGTGAGGATTAGCTTTGCTGCCTCTCAGTTAAATGGTTCTGGGTTCAAATCCTTGCTGGGGGTGGGGACTAAAAGCTTTTCTCAGAGTGCGGTCGGAGCTATGCTTTTGAATGATCATAATGTGAAGGTGAAACAAAAAGGTATAAGGCACATATGCCAGGTGCATAGGGCTCTTTTACTGAAATGATGCAGGGTTCAAATCCTGGCCAGGGGAGGTCCATGTCAATCAGGAACTGCACACTCGACACTGTGGTTTTTTGTTTGTTTTTAAATGAAAGTAATGAAAGGATGTCATGAAAAGCATAAAAAGCAGGTATGCCAGACAGGGCTGTGGTGTAGTGGTTTAAGCTGCTGCCTTTCAGTGTTCCAGTTCTGGGACCATATCCTAGCCACAGACTCTCTATAAGAGGTAAAAATGACAAGTTTTCATACCACTGAGGTGGTAGATGTTCTTTTTATCTACCACAATTGAATGGTGAAATGGAAAAAAAAGGTGTTGCCAGGCAAGCAGAAGGTGTCACCGATAGAGCTGCAACCTTTCAGTGTTATGATTCAGGGTTCAAGTCCTAGCCAGGGGCTCTCAATGTGACATGTGGAAATCTTTTCTCACGGTGAGGCTTGAGTTGTGCTTAAAATGACCTTAAAGGAATTAGTGTAACCAAAAGACCTGAAAAAGCACTGCGAGGTAGGCCTGTGTGTGGTCATTAGGACTGCTGCCTTTCAATGAAGTGGCTCTGGGTTCAAATCCAGTGCAAGGGGAGAGCAAGACTCAGGGAGGGAAAGGGCAAGGTTGAGACAGTGAAGGACAGAAAAGGAGGAAAATGACAGAAAATAAAAAAATGAATACATACTTGGAGGATAACCCACATCTATTAAAAATCTTATCAATTTAAAGCATTTTGTTTAGTATATTGTGACTTAAATAGAGTATACTTCTACCTTTTTCTTCAGTGGTTGATGTGTGAAATGTTTGGTTTGTGTAAAAATAAATTAATCATGTATAATTCCTATTGCATTATTTTTTAACAGGGTTAGGAATTCCTACTCACTAAGAGAATATTGGTATGAGGGCATGATGGGAGGGGATTTTTTGCTGATCACTTATCCTTTAACAAAGCACAAGTGACTTGTACTCACTCCAAATTCCAAAATGCAAAACAACGCTTCAAGAGTGCAATCCCAGCCAAACTCATCTCACTTTACCATCACTGATAGAACTCAGTGTCATGAATCTGCTGAGCTATAGAGAATGTTGTATCAATTTTGTATGAGCTTCACTGTCAATTGGTGGTCATATTAGGTCAGTTCCATTTCCCCCTTTAGAAGACATATAGCCTAAAGCTATTTATATGAAAGCTATCTATACTACAGTTTCTTGAGATTCTTCTGGCTCACCGGCACTGGATTTGGCTCTTATCAATCACATCAGTCTCGATGATCTAAAATGAGCTGAATTTAGCTGAGCATATGCACAACCAAAACACATATAAACAACAGGAAATTGAATGGCATTGGTTCATCATCTGTACCTAGTGGGACTTGAAAAATACCTTGTGCTGCCACCCACAGATGGGTCCTCAAAAAAAAGGGCCTTTTCAAAGAAGTGGAATTACCTTGAAATTGCCCCCACTCTTATTTTGTCATTGCAGAGAGATAAGTGAAGCACAGTTTCTCTTCATGCAGGAGGTTAATGTGTGTCTCTGCTCACTTGTCAGATGTAATTGAAGGGAACAGCTTATGAAAATTAGGTGGCAGGGATGAGGTCTTTAATTAGATCAAGATCATGGACAGAAATGAATTAGAATCACCACTTTCATTACCCACTCGAAAAGCTGCAGCAGCTCGTCGGTTTGAAGAAAATTCTTATCACACAGATAGTGTAAATGTACAAACAGTGCCTAGAAGGAACAGTGCTCTATGTTGTTATTCCTCTCTAATCCAAACAGGCGTCTTGAGGGAAAGGAATGCAACTATTGATGACTTTCTGCCAAAATTGATGCTCAAATTGACTCATGATGTCAGTAGAGCCATTTGTCAAATAACCTTATGTTTTTACAAAGCTCAGCTCGGCCTGAATTAATGCTGGAAAAAAAGTGTTGAACTCAGACGCCATCTAGTGGTGAAACAATAAAATAGAAACAAAGGAACAGAAAATGGAAAAAGGAATTGAACATTAAAACCTAATGAACTCACAGGCCAATATATATGTATATTTTATATCAGAAGTAGAATCAGATTCAGCTTTTGTGGCCATACATTTATGTCAATGTCTGGATATGAGTCGTTATGTAATATTAAATACGCAAGTATCTAACAACTATGCACAGACCTACATAAAACAATACTATAGTATTAGACATGGGTTGTTTTCCTTGCAAATAGCAAACATTGTGTGCAAATACAACATTAAAAACATGCCAACCCAGAGTTTTGTGGTTTAGAAGCCCAAGTTTTCCTGTAAAAACAAGTAGATTCGATAGTTTCTCTTGAAATCTGGACTTAATGCCAGCATAGCATGCCATAGTCTGTCTCAATGTGCATGTAAACACACGTAAAAGTTTTGTTTTCTAGCACACCAAGTCCTTTTTTATTTGAAGAACAATACATATAAACAAACAGTGGTACATTGTAAAAAAGAGCAACTGTGAAATGAGATGTAAAGTGCCTATAATAACCCCTCTTCTCCCTCATCTCCTACCTATCTTCCACCCCGCCCTACGTTGGCCACATCACATGGACAAGAAATATACAAATATACAAAAAAGTAAATTAATAGATGAGATGTAATAAAATATATAGTATACACATGTACGTATATACACACATTGACATAACTAAAATAAATAAGTAAAATAATCAATTAAACATAAATAAATAAATGAATGAAAAGGGAAAATCTCAAGTAGCAGTACTGTCATCTTCAGGTATTAGGTCAAGGTTATTTGCATAGTCTATAAAAGGTTTCCACACACACCAAGTTACATATAATTGGTGTGACCAACTTTGACATCATGAGATAAAATAAAGTAAAATAAACATCTGTTATTAGCACTGCCATCTTGGGGTGTCAACAAAATTAAGTCCAGATCTCAAGGAAACTATAAGGCATTACAAAAAGGAAAATAATGATTAAAAAAAAAAAAAAAGAAATAATAGATTTTAAAAAAAGAAAGACTTTTTAACTTTTTAATCAGGGGACATCTTCTCTCCACAGCACACACTTGCACTGACCTTGAAATACTTGGTTCACTTTAACATTTGTGGTGAATTATTAGAAAAATTTAAACCCAGTTTTCGGTTTCTGAGTCAAACCCTCCGCGCAATTTACCCCGAATGCATTGATCTGATTGGTGGATCCTGCGAGGGCGGCGCGCCCCATTCTGCCTGACAGACAAAGAAGAGGGCATAGACGTAAGACTGACGCAAGGCCTTTACGGAAGGAGACACGCTGTACCTCTGAGGAGGAGAGAGAGAGGGAGAGGGGGGCTTCTGTCAGCTTGTTCAACACGTGCTTTCACTGCAGAGGAAACGTGGGCTCTAATGCTGCCTAAACACAAGCTGGACTTGATAAAATTCACTGCCGGTAAGTGTGTTGTTTTTAGAGACAGAGAATCAGTGTTACGAGCGAGTGAGCCATTGTTATTCTGACCATGGAGACTGACAGCTGTCAAATAAGTTGATTGTTCAGTTAGTATTTGTCTTACAAACCATTTTAGGGCAAAGCTATTCTGGTGAGACTCGGTGTGGGTTTAATGGAGAGCTAAAGCTTTCTCAAATGTCTCAGTGGGAAAATAACACACCACGCACTCAGTTCTAGTTCTAGTTCTTGGTTTGGACATTTTTGTCAACAGTTTAAGCGGGACAACATGACTCAGAAAAGTCGCAGTTGGCTCAGGTGGCTCTTCCTCATTTCTGCGCGCTTGTTTTGTTATTGGTATTTCCCGCCAATTGATTATGATCAGTGATCAGTCTTCTGATCATAAAATCCTCTGTTTTGTGAGGTAGACTTTTAATTTGTCTCTAGTATCACAACTCGATCAAAGTCTCTGTGAATTATAATGAGTGGATAAGTTAAAGTCACATTTCAGTAGACACTGAAACAAACAAACAGTGTGTTTGCCCCACCTGCAATTGTCAACAATAGGCAAGTGACCCATTTTTCTTCCATTTATTCTCTTGTAATAATCAACATATCTCATCACATTAAACTTGCAATGTTTGATTAACAGCAAGACAGTCATGTACAATACATCAGACAATCTGATAAGCTGTAAAACACATGAAAAGAGTCATGAAACAGTGATTTAATGAGTCAAATTTGGAGAAATTAGTCTGTTTACCTCTAATTAAACACAATGATAATTGGTGCTAACTCTGCAATAATTGTATTCCAAGAATCAGGATGATATATTGCTAAATGTATGTTCTGCCACACGCCTGTGTAATTAAAGTTACATATTTGCCAACGTTTAAGCAACATGAGTGACGTGCACAGTGAACTGAATATATAACTCAAACCAGTTTAGATATTTATTTCTCACTGTATTTGCTCTTTATATAATCAGTTTTGGCTCACATGTGTTTCAGCAAGTGGAGTTACAAACACACCTTTGGGGTGTAGCTCATATTTGATGCTATTTTTAGTTGAATAAAAATGTTGTCTTGTTTGTTATGGTCAGTCCTTTACGCGTGACGCCATTATGAAGTACATCCTGGTGACTGGAGGTGTCATATCTGGCATCGGTAAGGGCATCATCGCAAGCAGCGTTGGAACGATCCTCAAGTCCTGTGGCCTTCATGTGACGGCCATTAAAATCGACCCGTACATCAATATTGACGCCGGTACCTTCTCACCCTATGAACATGGTGAGTTATGAGTTGATTCAATAAGGTTGATTGTTATGATCTGTAGTGTGTCCTCTGCTGTTTTTATAAGATGGTGTGTTTGAGATCAGCTGCTAATGTTTGAGAAGATGTGACCCGATGGCAGATGGCGGGATGCCTAAACTGCTCTTAGCTCGGCGGCACAGGGCCAACAGTTTCCATACAACAGAGGCCTTTTGTTTCAGAGGCACATTTGGATCTTTCAGTGTATCAACCTTGTGATAAAGTGGATCACATCTCTGTTGTGCAGGTGAAGTCTTTGTTCTTGACGATGGAGGAGAAGTGGATCTAGACTTGGGGAACTATGAGCGGTTTCTGGACATCCGTCTCATCAGAGATAACAACATCACCACGGGGAAGATCTACCAGTCTGTTATCAACAAGGAGAGGAGGGGGGACTACCTGGGCAAGACTGTGCAGGGTGAGTTCAGGCTTGTCCTTTGATAGAGTCCATATTTTTTAACATATTTTGAGTGAAAAATGTCTCATATTTTAAAAATACTTTCACAGTGGTACCGCACATCACAGACGCCATCCAGGAGTGGGTGATGAAGCAGGCCAAGATCTCAGTAGATGATGATGGTGTGGAGCCACAAGTTTGTGTCATAGAGGTAAGCCGGTCTTGGGAACTTCAGTTGGAGTTGTAATGTATTTATATGAATTTGCAGAAGAAAAACAGTATAGGAAAATGTGGTTGAGTGATTTTGAGTGAAATCAGGCATAAAGGAAAATAAAGCATTAGCACTATAGGGCGAGCAACAGGAGAACATGCTAAATTCACACATATGGGACTATCACTAAAGCAGAAAATAAAAGCTATTTAGAAATAAAGAGATTTAAAATATATCTGGAAAAATTGCTCCAAAATGTTCCCCCTTTTTTTTTTTTTTTGTAAGCCTGTCATTTTCAGTCTCACTACGATCAGTTTTTTCGTCGTCTTTATTTGCATTCTAAAACTGTTGAATCTCGATAAACAGAAATGGTTTCTTTGCCATAAAAATGATAAAGCAGGGTAGGAAAAAGTAAGCACTCTACCACAGTCACACATATTTAACATGAAAAAATAAGGAGTAAAGAAAAACCACAAAATCTGATTTCCTCTGCCTTTGTTTGACTCTTTTTGTCAGTCCAATTGAAGTGTCTTTAGTGTCTTTCAAACACTTTTTGTCTTGAGTAAAACTCTCGTCATGAAAAGCTCCTACAAGAAGTAAGTTTAGCTTTCTTTTCCTGCCTGGCCTCCAGCAGTTCTTTTCCTCTGGCAAACATCAAAACCTGCTCTGACAGTTCCTCAGCTCGGTACAGAGTGACATTTTGAACTTTTGAAGGCTGTGTCACCGTTATGTAAGAGTTTGCTGAGATCTACTGTCTGTGTTCAGAGATGTAAGCTGTTTTGTGTCAACAGCTGGGAGGAACAGTGGGGGACATTGAGAGTATGCCCTTCATCGAGGCCTTCAGACAGTTCCAGTTTAAAGTGAAGAAGGAGAACTTCTGCAACATCCATGTCAGCCTGGTGCCACAGGTAAACGCTCTGTCAACATGTGTGCCATCTGCTCTGCTATGCATGTCTTCACCTGCACAATCAATATGTCTGAATCACATGTATCACTGTTATTGAGCTAAAAAGGAAACGTCACAGAAATCTAATTGTTTTAATATGAAGTACATCTATTCCGTACTCCTTAGCCCAGCGCCACAGGAGAGCAGAAGACCAAGCCGACCCAGAACAGTGTCAGAGAGCTCAGGGGTCTGGGCTTGTCCCCAGATTTGGTGAGTGTGGCGGCTGTTTCTATTACTCGTCAGTCTCTCTTGAACCCGACGTAAAACAGGCCCAGCCTCTGCTCAAAGTTAAGATGATGGAAATTTGTAATCAATATTTTTACTCATGAATTTATCAGACAGCACACACAATAGATATAAAACCAAGGATAATGAATCTTAGGAAACAGTTTTTCACTGGTGTATTGATTATTGTTTCCCTATAAGATTATGTGTCGTTGTGCAACACCCCTGGAAACTGCTGTCAAGGAGAAGATCTCGATGTTCTGTCATGTGGAGCCCTCACAGGTGAAGTACAGTGGTTTTGTGATTCTGTCTCCAATACACAACTTTGTAAGAAGCTCCATTCAGCCTCCTGACATATGGGGAAAAATCACAATTATTAATCAATATTCAGATCATGATTATGAAATACAATTATTAAGTGTTTTCACTACACCTGCATCACATAGTGACAGGAACCATGTATTGCATCTGTAAAGAACTTTGACTTATCCTTAATACTTATATTTATTAACCTGAATACAGGACTTTTACTAATATTAGAGTTTTTTCAGTGTTAGATTGTTGGCTCTTATCACTGCAGCCTCCTCCCCTCCCTGCTCATTCTGCCCCTCTGTTTTACTAACACACACCTACTTCTCTGGCCCATGCCCTCCCACATTTTAACACGTGTTGTACCATTTTTAAGGCAGAGCACATGCTCTTGTTCTAAAGGGACGGCAGTTTGTGACATATGGGACTTAACATGTTTAGTATGGCAGGCAGCACTGCAACTGTTTCATCTTGATTATCTGATTTTAATGATCATAGGGGGAGAAAATCCACCATGTGTACAACACGTCGCTGACATTAAGTGATGAGAAATCCCTGTTGTCAAATGCTAAACCTGCAGTGGTGGTATTATACTGTAGTATTTGTTACTTAAAGAGGTCTACAGTAAATGTGCAGGGTCGGTTAAATGCTATGTCTAAGATTTATGGTAGTGATCAAATGTAAACTGCTCACTGACTTTTTGTTATCGTTGCCAGGTGATCTGTGTCCACGATGTCTCCTCAGTCTACAGAGTACCTCTGCTGCTAGAGAACCAGGGTCTTGTGAGTTACTTCTGTCAGCGGCTCAACCTGTCCGTGGAGATGAGACCCAGGAAAATGCTAACAAAGTGGAAAGAGATGGCTGACAGGTGAGGTGACTTCAGTCTCAGCTGTTAACTTTTCCCCCAAATATTTATGATGCTCTGCGATCACGCAGAAACAGACGCACATCGTTTACCCTGCAGCTTTAGAGACGTCTGTGCAGTCATCTTGTCAACTTGCAAACCAAGGACTGTCAAATTTCTGGGAAAGGTTTCCCAATTTTGAAACCATGTTTTGAGAACTGTCAAGTTAAGATTTAATGGTGCGGTGAGTCACTGTCGATCATCCTCTTTCCTGCTCTTCTCAGATCTGACCGGCTCTTGGAGAGCGTCTCCATCGCTCTTGTGGGGAAATACACGAAGCTATCAGACTCCTACACCTCTGTAATCAAGGCTCTAGAGCACTCAGCCCTCGCCATTAATCACAAACTAAAGGTCAAGGTATGAAAAACTCACATTTTTATGCTCCACACGCTGTTTTTTTTTTTTTTTTTTCAGAATAGCAATCACTGCTCCGTTGTTGATATGCTAATTGCTGCTTGAATCCCTTTTTAAACTGCCATAATGGCGGTGATTTGCCCATGTTTATATAGTATTGATCCTGTTGGCGGTGATATCGACTTACTTTTCCAAATGCTGCTGTCTCTTATTGCAGTACATTGACTCTGCAGACCTGGAAAACACAACTATGCAAGACGAGCCAGTGAAATATCACGAAGCCTGGCAGAAACTCTGCAGCTCTCAGTGAGTAGACAAACCTGGGGGAGCACAGGTGCCAGGCAGCTTGGAAAATGATGTTGGAAAATTCACAACAAAGTTTAGCTCTGCAGAGTGATAAAGAGTGATTACGTGCTCCACTTGAGGGCAGCAGAGGGCCGTCATACACTCCGGTTTACGCCGCCCCATTAAATCGTCAGTGACTTCTGTGCTTTGAGATTCATAACGTCTTCTAACATCCTCATGTTTATTTTGAGATGAGCATCAGAAAGTTTTCTTCACAAAAACTGGAGCTTGTATGAGTTTTGAAGTCCTGTAGCAGTTTTTAATCCATATCAGATTATAAGCAATTATTTCTTATCACAAAGTTTGGGCAAAAAGATAAAGCACAAATAAGATAATCGTCTTCTCTGTGGCTGTAGGCCTGCAATTAAAAGCCTTATTATTGCCCAAGTTAAAAGCAATTACATATTCAATCTCAATTATCACCTCAATTATGGACTTGTTATTGTCTTTACTTAGCATCTCAAAAAGTCAACCTCTCATATTGTCCTGGACACTTAAACGCCGTTATTGTAGATATTTATATTTTGTTATATCTATCTCTCTCTTCTTAGGGGTGTGCTGGTCCCAGGTGGTTTTGGTGGGAGAGGGACTGAGGGAAAGATTCTGGCTACCAGCTGGGCGAGGAAACAGAATAAACCATTCCTGGGTAAGGGAGATGCATAACAACATTTCATACTGTCTTTATTAAAGATATTCCGCGTAAACAAACCTGCAAAAGAGTCCGCATGAAGCACGTTTCCTCCTGTGGGTAGCCGGTTTCTAAAGATAACGCAGTGATTTGTGGTATTCAGCTCCGTACTCGCACAACTGGGAATAAAACAACTGAATTAATAACTTAAGTCTCCCAGAATTAATTTGTAGCTTGGATTTATGTTTTGTTTTTGTTTTGAATCACTGTGTGGGTGAAGCTAATACAAATACATAGATTTATGATCAACTATTCCACACACTGCTGCAGCCAAGAGTAATCATTACCTGAGTGGCAGCATCGCGCCGGGTGACACTTTGGCGTGCAGGAGAAGCGTGTGACCTGGAATGGGGTGTGTTTACCTGGAAAAACAGACGTGTAAACCCAAAGCAACATGAAATGGAAAAACAAAACAGCAGTGTCCAAGTCCGGAGATGAAATTAGTGTTGGAAATTGTAGCTTGAGGACTGTCCTCTCACTCGAATTTCGCAAAGTGGGAACAATTAAGCAAAGAATAATGAGACACAGAAATTGTTTTCAGGTGTTTGCAGTTTTTACAAGCCAACTCTGTTCATTAAATCCTGAAGGGCATGAAAACTTGTGCAACCGGTTTTGGTTGTTTTATAATCTCGAGGCATTTGTAAAGATTCGCCGTCAAGTATAGCAGTTATAGAATCTTTCTCCTTTTTCTGCATCTGCAAACGACATCCAAACTTTAAAACTGATGAGAGTCCAAAGAGAGGTGAAGACTTTTTATAGGCGCTGTATAATCAGATGCAAACACAGAAGCGCCAGTTGTGTAAAGTGTTTAGCTCTGGAGGGATCTAGTTGTGTGTTTCTATATTTATGACTCCTTACAATAGCTTCTCATTATGCAAGAATCCTGCCGCTCTTGTTTTTTCGCAGGGGTGTGTTTGGGCATGCAGCTGGCAGTGTGCGAGTTCGCCCGCAATGTTCTTGGATGGGAAGGTGAGCTGGGGACACTGTTATGACACCTCCGATTCCTATGGTTTTCTAATTTAACGGTGAAAGAGCCTCAGACCTGATTTGAGCTTTGATCAGTTTGGCTTATCCTCCTCAGATGCCAACTCCACAGAATTTAATCCAGACTCCAAACACCCAGTGGTAGGTTATCTTTCTCACACGGCGCTCATATTGCTTTATATCAGCAGAATGGTTTTAACCTCCTGTGTGATCTTGACAGGTGATTGACATGCCGGAGCACAATCCAGGGCAGATGGGTGGGACTATGAGGCTGGGGAAGAGGCGGACAATTTTCAACTCCAACACCAGTGTATTGAGTGTGTATCCACCCTGAAGATAACCATTAAAAGTTGGCTCTTTTTTCCTTCCCATGCACTGTTCTTTAACGACTTCGCCCGTTTGTTTCTTCTAGGGAAACTTTACGGGGATGCGGAGTATGTGGAGGAGAGGCACAGACACAGATTTGAGGTAGAGACCAAAACAAGGTTTAAAAAACATTTTCTCTCTGTGAATGCAGAAATTATTCTGTCTGAGCTCTTTGCAGAGAGAGGGTGAAGCTTCTCTTTAAAATCTTGATGCGTTTCACTCTTTCGCCCACATCTAAGCGTTGAAGAATTTAAGCACGACCTCAGCCCCTCATTTCTGAATCACTGAACCTGTGCTCATTGCAGGTGAACCCTGAGCTGAAGCACCACTTTGAGCAAAAGGGTCTTCAGTTTGTCGGCCAGGATGTGGAAGGAGAGAGAATGGAAGTCATTGAGTTGGATGGTGAGAGGAGAACGTTTAAATCTCAAACTGGCTGTTTGTTTTTACAAGCTACATCCTCCTTTTGGTGTTTGTAGCCTCGTGTACCTGAGGATCAATATGTCCGTGTCTCTGTTTTAGATCACTGTTACTTTGTTGGAGTGCAGTACCATCCAGAGTTCACCTCCAGGCCCATCAAACCCTCTCCACCATACTTTGGTCTGCTGCTGGCTGCTGCAGGAAAGCTCCAGAGTTTCCTGACAAAGGGCTGCCGCCTGTCCCCACGGTAAGCTCTCAGACAGTGATGAGATATCACAGCGTTATAAGGGCGGACCTTCAAATGCAAATACTAAATGACTGCATGAAGCCTCAGAAGTTTACTGGTTCTGTCTAACTAAAGTTTATGTCCGCAATTGGGAATAAATGTAACTATAAAACCAAGTGTTATTTCAAGATTTTATATTCTCTTAATCCAATTTAAAGTGCTTCTCTGGGAGTGGGGATCAAATCAATCCAAACTCTTTGAATATGTTTCTCATATTACATCTGTAACCATGTAGATGAGCAAAATTAACTTCTTTTCTTTTATGACCAAAGTGTATAAAGTCTTAACTGGGTATCATCGAACGCAGTTCAAAGTTAGCCGACTTGTCAACATCAGTGGAAGTTTACAAGCTTATTTTTTATTCAGTGTCATCATCTACCGTCATATATTATTATGCAATGTAATTCCATCAAAAACCCCCATGGGTATTACAGCTGCAGTTTACTGGGACACTTTGTCATCAATGCACCTTCAATCACAATAAAGCTGTCCCTGTCAGGCATTACTGCTGTAATAGACCTTTTATGAATTCATCTTTCATTGCAGGGACACTTACAGCGACCGCAGCGGCAGCAGCTCCCCCGAAACCGACTTCGCCGAGCTCAAGTTTCCCTCTTTGTCCTTCGACTAAGGCTGTGGTTCTTCTGTTACTGTCAATCATGCAGAAAAAAAAAGAAAACAAGGCTCAGGAAAGAAAGAAAAAAAACCTGCCCTCAACTGATGCTGCTAAGCTCGTACTTTAATGACACTGTTTTCACACTCTGGGTGGTAAAAGATGTTGTAGATATTTAATTCTATTACGCCATGAGATTTTGTGTGAAGGGACGTTCTGCTGGTTGATACATAAAACAAACGCTGTGTTCAGTTGGGAACTATGAGAACAGATGTGGATACCTGGATGAGAAAAAAGGTAAAGCAACAATTTCAAGGGAGAATCAGAGTTATCAGGTCACCTTGTGAATTCATCCAGTCCTTGAGATGTTCCCAGAGTATCATTGATGCATTTACATCTTTGAAAAGATGTTTTATTGTCTGTTCTAAAGGTTTATTTAATGTATTAATGTTTTTCTCCTCTGGGGTGTAACATCATCTTCTGTTAATCTCTTATTCAGGGTTACCACACAGCTAACACTACACTTGTACTCTTGTTACTGTGTGTTTTATGTGAATTTTATTCTGGTTAAAATAAAGTGTATTGCTTAATTATCAGCCTATATATCATATTTCGTGTTTTGCATGAGAGTTTTAAAAGTCTCAGTCGTGCACTTTGGTGGTTTTATAGCGCACCGGTTCAGGTTGCATGACTTTTATGTTTGAGACCTTTCGCTTGCTGACAGCAACAATAACTGTTACGAACTCGATTGTGGTTTACTGCCGCGTCTGACCCACAGCTTCCTGAAATTGGATCATGCTGATTCACAGTCATCTGACAATCCGGGGTAATTAAAGTGACCTCGTGAGGTAAGAGTATAACTTGGAAAAAAGAAGAGAAACTGTTGTCTGTAAAGTGTAAGTAAAACCTGCTTGAAGTGAAAGCATCAGTAGGAGCCAACGGTGTGTGAAAAGCATCGAGTTTCTAAGTTACATTTTCACTTCAGAGTGTTTTTAAATCCCAGCTATACATGAACTCCTTAAAAAAAAAACGCTGATGCTTTCATTTTTCTGTTTGTGACCCAAATGAACGAAGAATATGATCTATTTTTGTATCTATGAAGCTCAGATGGTCGTGTTTGTTCACTGAATAAATGTATTTTTTCCTCCTGATGACCTGCTCTTTGTTCAAGTCTAAATGAGAGTCATTCTAAAGACCAAAATATTCCAGTTACTTTCACATCTTCAACAGAATGAAAGCTATTGTCGTCACTGATCACATTTCCAGTGTATTTCAGTTCTGTGAACTCAAAGATAGTTTGCTAAGAGTGTTTACTCCAGTGTTGTATGTAAGTAGCAATACTGAAGTGCCTGAGTATAATTTTGAAGTATCTGTACTTCACAGGAGTTTTTTTTTTGTGCCTGCCACTTTTACTTTTACTCCACTACATTTCACAGGAGCATCTTTGCTACTACTATTTGTACTTTGTTACTATGACAGCGGGTAGGGGGAAAAACGTTTTTTCCCTTTTACCTCACGTCGATTTGATCATCAATCAGTCACTCAACCCTGGTCACGTTGGCAGCCGCTTGTAGGCTGCGCAGTTGCTTGCACCGACCTAAATGTCCGGTGTCTGTTTGATGGTTTTCGTCATGCCCAACTGTCCTAAGGTCCTTCTTGACTGTAGGAGGATGCACTGTTGTTTCTCCTGACTGGCGGTGTGTGTGTGTATGTGTTTGCCCCTCTCTCTGTGTGTCCATTTATTTTTCTAAGCTGTTGCTTCCACCCACCTGAAATGTGTGCTTATTTGGGCATTAGTAACTTTTGCAAAAAATAAAAATATATTTATTTGTACTTTGACTTTTACTTGAAGTACATTTACTTGAGTAATTTGATACTTACATAGAGAGAATGTGATATACTTCAAGACTTCGACTCGGGTAGAATTCTCATGGGAGACTTTTACTTCGACTTGAATCATTTTCTGGTAAGTATGTTTGTTTAGTAGTTCATACAACACTGGTTTACTCAGAATAGAGTCTGTAGTCTTTGGAGGCCAAACTTTCACCTCTACGCCATGATCAGGGGTGTTTCCAAATTGGGGACTCAGAGGTCACCTCAAAATCGTCAAGCTTGATTGGCTATTTGCCTTGTCAGAGGCAGGACTGGAGTGAAAGTCAGCTGTCTGGACTGTTGCAAAGGGCTGCTGGAGGTCAGATTTGGCCTTTAATGGATGGCAACTTTGTTCAATATCAAAATAGCCACCCAGTGTAGATTTAGGCCAGCAGATCAGTCTACAGTCACATAAACAAAACGCCTGGCTCTGATAACCTCTTTTCAGACAATGACTTGCACATCCTGAGCCTTTCCCAGCATTTCCCAGGATTGTGCCGCTTTATTGTTTTCAACTTCCCTTATTTAGACTGTGATGTTCACTAACTCCTATAACAAGACTGTACAGTAATAATATAAAAAAAGCTCCAAACTGCACGAGCAAACAGCTGCCCTCTCTTTCTAGAATTGTTAATAATGGCACGTCTCAGTGAGCTGGTCACAACAGGAAACTGTCCTTTCTATGATACGGCCTTATTTAACTGCTACTTCCTCATATCCTCCTCTCCTGCAGCTTGGCCCTCCTTTTCCTCCACAGCCCTCCCTGCGTCCTTCTGCTCTTGCCCCACCTTTTGTCAAGTATCAACAAGCAAACTTCACAAGTCCACACCCCTGCACACACACACACACACTCACACACTCACACACACACACACTGCACACTCGTGCCCATGCTTCCAGCAGCTCTCATGAGGACTTGAGCGAGACTTGGATCAACTTTTTTTTTTGTTGTTGGCAGGGGTTCCACCACATCTCTGATTTAGATGATTGGACCAGCATCCATCGAAATGAGACCGAGAGAGTTGAGTGGCAGATATGTACGGCATAAGAGTTTGGGATGACTACAGACAACGACTCCTCTGCTGGTTTTGAGATTCATAAGGAGTGGCTGCTGCCCTGGCTGTTTCTCAACATTTGGAGCATCAAAGATAGGAAGCCAAGTGGTTGGTGGCTGGTTTGGACTTGCTTCCTGCAGGTTTGTTCCCTTTCTGTTCCTCATTTTTTCAGCCCTGAAGGAACAATCTAGGACAGTCTATGTCTTCATCTTAAACCATTCCCTACCCTATCTTATAATCTACTTTTTCGATTTACTTTATCTCTGTATCCCTTAAACTCTTTTATTTCTTCGACTCTCCATTTCCAGCAGCGATGGACCTGACCTTGTGGCAGTACCAGTTCAGGATCATCATGCTGGGAGACTCCACAGTGGGAAAATCCTCTCTCCTAAAGCGCTTCACTGAAAACTTGTTCCTGGAGTCCATCAACCAGACAGTGGGTGTAGACTTCTACGTTCACTTCCTGGAGGTAGAGCCGGGCGTGCGTGTGAAGCTGCAGTTTTGGGACACAGCAGGACAGGAGAGGTTCAGGTCAGGATAAAACCACTTTCTGATATGAACACTGAGGTATCCTTGTCTTCTACACTGGTGCCAGTCATTGCTTAACACCTCCCTGAATGCAAATCCGTACGCGCCTAGCCTCGCCAATGCTATTTCATGCTTATTTAAGACAGAAGTACAAATACAAGCCAAGCTCTTGTGATGAAAATAAAGGGATGACTTACATACAAGCATCAACATACTAAACAAATAGACTACCTCTGGTTATTTTATTCACACTGTGCTGTTCAGCAGTGTTTACTTAAGCAAAGATTGTCAGTCCACCCTCACAAGACAAGTGTGTAAAGAGATGCAGAAAGTGGAAAAGACAGATCTTTGGGAAAGGCACTATTCTTTCTGCTCAGCAACTTCCATGAAAACAACTCTGCGTAACTCACTTCACTCTGACTCTAAATTCATTATTTCCGTTCTCCAGTTGAATGAAGCGTAACAAATTGCAAACTGTGCCTGTTTGTGTGTACCGCCTCTCTCCACCATATCTGTAGCCAGCTAATCCCACATGAGTCAGCGAAAAAAGCCCAGCCAAATCAGGTTCATTTTCATGCAGAAGTGTTCGAATGGAGAAGTAACTTTTCAACCAGCCGGCTGCAAGGGAAGGGCATATAAGTGAGTCTTTGCTTTGGTTAAAACATTCAGTGACTCATGGAGAAACTACGTGACTCTTGACAGCTTCATGATTAGGGTGAGAGAAATGCGTGTTTGTTATCAAGTTTCTTAAAATAAAACAGACTCCTTGTCAATCTGCTTATCTGAAAAAGATCACCTCAAACAGAGTTTAAAATCAGCTGATTATTTACTCACTAGAACAGGAAGGACTAAGAAGAAAAGTCTGAACTCTGCACAACCTTTTGAAGGTTTTTTTTTTGGTGCATTGAAACTCAAACTTTCTCCGTCCGTCTTCATTATGTTTCTTCTCTTCCTGCAGGTCAGTGACCCGTTCCTATTACCGCAACTCAGTCGGAGGCCTGCTGGTGTTCGACATGACCAACCGAGCCTCCTTCGACCATATTAAAGAGTGGTATGCTGAGGTGTGCGAGCGAGTGCAGCCCTACAGGGTTGTGTTCATCCTGGTGGGCCAAAAGAGTGACATGGACACTGAAGGGGGGAGGGTGGTGAGTCGGGAAGAGGCTGAGAAACTGGCCGGACAGCTGGGGGTGCCCTACGCTGAGGTGTCCGCCAAAACAGGCCAGAATGTGAAGGAGGCCTTCGAGCTGCTCACCCGGCGGGTCTACCAGGCTCTGATGAGCGGAGAGGTGGAACTGCAGGAGGGCTGGGATGGAGTTAAATGTGCTGCACGACACTCTCTGCAGGCACAAAGGGCCAGCCTGGCACAGTCGGCCCCAGGGAACAACAAGAAGTGCTGTGAAAAACTCTGACCTGAGCCGGTGATCCATATAACGAGACTCTGACGATTCAAGATAAAAATTGCATTGTTTGCACCTTTGATGTGAAGTCGTAACTTGGTCTGACCAAATGCTATGTGACTCAATTTGGGGAGAGATTTACAGCTCCTGCGAGGAACTTTCAGTTTGTGTCAACTTTGTGGAGAAAGCTCATCTTGTCCTCTACGTGTCTTCTGACAAAAAAAAATTAATCCTGCTGACCTTTAACAGGAAAATCTATCATTTCTAATCAATATACTAGCTGGAATTTGTCTGGGCTGCTTCCTCAGCTGCTTGGCTGACTCCTACCCTCTCCCACTGGTTTCAGGCATTAAAAATGCTCGTATACATATTGCTAATCTCGTCCCTGGTTGTCTTGCTTGCTTTTAGATATCATAAGAAGGCATCAGTATTAGGGTGACTATATTCTGACATCCCAAAAAGAGGACACAACTAGGTGGGGACAGAGTCATGAAGTCGCACAAAGTTATTTTTGAGAGTTTTTTAGGTCGGATCGAGTGTCTTTTACCCGATTCTAACTCAGTAAGTCCACGTGACACAAACTCGAAACTCTTGTACAAAACCGCAGACATTTTAAGGATTTTATAAACTTCCAGAAAGCCTCCCAAAAAAGAGGACATGTCCGGGTAAAAGAGGACATATGGTCACCCTAATCAGTATGAATTTGAGTCTATTTCATAAATGTCAAAAAACTCCCCATACGAGCCTTATCTGAAAACGTTTTGTGTGATTGACCTTTAAAAGAACAGCATAGTCGACTCTACCACAATAACCTGGACCAAATCTACCAAAAGAACTGTTGGATGGATTTAGCACTTGTATCCATGTCCCTATAAAAAGGATTTTTACCTTTTCTGTGTGTTATCTCCTGTCTTGACCACCAGCAGGTTGATGTTTGTTCTCTGTGAAATGCCTTGGCAGATTTACTGGTGTGGGATTTACCTAATGGGTGTTTCGATCTCTTCACTTTTCAGCTCTATCAACAAGCCTAAGTTGTAATTTGCCAAGTGTTTGGTTTGTGGCCAAATAGCTGTGAAACAGCTTCACTTCATGTTTACTCCTCATTTGCAAGTGTTTGTATTCTCAAGGGATAACTTAACAGGACAAACCTGGTAAATATTACCCGCTACACATCAGCGTGCTGGCATTGTCGATGTTAGCATGCTGATGTTGGCGCCAGGCTCAAAGTGTGTCTTACTGCTACCTCACAGGCAGAACCACAGCTTTAAGTTTTTGTTGCTTTTAGAAAACTTTTAAACAGTTCCACAGAGGTTTGTGCTGTGTGTTGAATTAACTACATCACTGCTTATCTTGGTTAAAGGGATATTCACGCGTATCAACACTGTTAATCAAGTTAGGTGCTGTTCTGAGCGTAGATACATAGACTGCTGTGTATTGCTTTCTTGCAGTCGTTACTAAAGTTGGTATAACTACAGAAGTAAGCAGTCGGCAACATTCATCTCTTGAGGGGGTGTCTAACTTGGTGTTACGGTGTGTTTGACCCTTACTTAATTTTACGACAGAATATCCCTTTAAGGGCAGAGGTAGCACCACTGCTAACATCACTGTTGTATTTATTCTGCTGGAACTGTTTTCAATTAAAGCCCTGTCACAAAGGTGTTGATCTTCAAACTTTAGTGCAGAAACGGCCACTTCAACCGCTGCTGTCCTGCCTAGGATCAGTGGTAGGGTGAGTATTAGATCTTCCAGTTGAGGTGAGAAACTCGACTAAACACTTCTTTCCGAGTTTATCGTTTTGGTTTGAGTAGCTGTCTGGAAAAAAAAAAAAAACAACAACCTTGTTACATCAGAAATAATTGCTCAGCGTCCTGCAAGTGAGTGATTGTTTTTCAGTGCTGTTGTTGAAATTAATGAAAATAAAAACTCCAGGGCACTTTTGAATAATGTTCTTTTGAATTGATGTGGCAGGTTTCCATAGTAATTACTGTTCAACTGGCTGATGTAGAGCCTTCTGTGTTTCCGCAACTGAAACAGACAATTTATTTTGCTACTAATAGACCCTCAGATTAAAGATTCGCTGACAGGTTGTCTGTCTTTTTTCTGTATGCTGGTTTGAGTCCTTGGTAATCAGCATATGAGCAACTACTGCACTAATCAAATTTCATGGTTTTAAATCTTTGGCGTCCACTTGACCTTTTTAAACTTCAGCGTGGTCATCATGTACTGTGAATATTGGAGTTTAACCAGCATGTGGATGAAGTGAACCACTTCTATTAAGAGGACCAGGGGTATGCAGATTTGGTTTCATGTTAGTAATAAAAGTGAAAGCCTTTCCCACAGTCTAAATTACAGTTCTCTATATGTATATAGAACTGCTGGCTAACACTATCTCATTTCCAGATATGTTACTCCAAACCATCTTGTTTGACACTATCAATCAAGTTTTTTTTCTCTTAAAGAGATATTCCGGCATGAAATTAATTAATTTAATTTTATATTTTACATTTATGATCATTACTTTATCATTTCCTCGAAGTAATAATCATCATATTAATCATTTTGCACTGCAGACACGGTAGTTCTTCTGCCATAGCATCTCAGTCTGATTGCATTTCCATGAAGAAATAATCATAAATGTTCCTCCTTGAGCTGCGTCACCCCGCTGTAGTCTGTAATAGACTGGCCCGAGGTCTCTCTACAAACAGAGAGTAGGTGAGTTGTTTGTTGTTGTTTAGTCTCTTTGCTAAAGAAATTAGGCAAAGCTAAAAAGATGTTTGGTGGCTAGTCCTCTGGCTGGGACCCTATATGTACTGTTGATGAAGTTAGGTGCTGTTCTGAGCATTATTTGTGGCTATAGAGTGGCGTTTTGGTTGAGGTTTATATGTGGCTCCTCAGACCGCTGTGTATTGCTATCGTGCGGGCATTACTTAAATTGGTATAACTAGGGAAGCAAGCGGTCAGCAACACTCATCTCTCGAGGGGGTGTCTCCTTTAAGTTGTAAAACATCATCCACAATTTCTACAACCACTACTTTTCATGAAACAGACCTAAGTAAAAATACACTTCACAGGGAGGGTTGAAATGATGTATTCATGTAATCAAACTCACCACATTGAGAAACAATGCACAACAGCATCTATGTCACAATAAATTTACTTTTCTAGTGGCCACTAATAATAGTCAGAATCTGGTTTGTAAACCCTCTATTGATTCAAAAATTCAAGGGGAACCATCATCTCTGTTACAATTATTATAGTTATTTGTTATTGGCGAGTTAACAACAAATATCAAGGACAAGTGGGATAAATCAGTGACTTTCACTTCTAGAGTATTAAAGATAAAAGGATACAGCAGCGGTCATATTCCAAAAATGATTTTTCATTGACAAAAATGACATGAATGGGGTTCTGCCAGGATTAGCTTGATGGCAAAAAAATATACATATAGTTGTGAGTCTTATCATTGTGTGACGGTGCTGGCAAAACACTCAAAAGTTAAGGGCTTATGAAAATAAAAACACTACTGACAAAAAAAGCCAACCCAAGCTATTAATTTCATCTTCATTAGTCCGAAAAAAAAAAAAGTCCCAGTTTAAAGGGGAAAAAACAAAACAATCAAAAAGAACAGTCAATACACAGAGTAAGTACAACTTCTAAGTGTACAGTCTTGCTACTTTTTGGTTGTCTTGCGGATCAGCGCCATTCTCTGTAATGAGAAAAAAAATGCAAAAAATCAAAGTTAGGCATGTGTTAAGCTGTTGTGATAAGGGCCTGTGCGGTAAACAGGAATATTGTACCTAGTAACAGAAAACAAAAACTCGGTTTGCTCACCTGTTTATGAGCCTCTGTGGTGCAGGCCTTCTTAAACGGCCGGATCTCATCTGAGCCATAACCAGGGATCCACATGTTCCACTGACGCTCTGAGATGAGAAGGATAATTAGTCAGAAGGATATATGTTAATCATACACACTGTAAGACTTACCCCAGAGTTCCAATTTATTCATACTGATGTCCAAAACTTAAGAAATATAAAAAGCTCATATTTCCAACAGCCTTTTTGGAAACTTTACCAGGAAAAACTCAAGATATTTTCTATTCTTCAAAACCATTTATTACTTTGTCAAGTCTGCAAAGCAAACCATTATTTTTTTCTGCTGCCTTAATTATCCCTGCTGTGACATTCAGCATTTGTTCATTGTAAAAAAAAGCGAAAGAGTCGAGACATGCCCGCCAGTGTTTGAGTTTTCACCCTGAAATTCTCTGGAAATTTCTCACAAACGTCTTTCTTTTTCAGCCTATTAATGTTTGCAGCCTTAAAAGAGGCACAATTTAACTAAATAAAGGGTAGAAACATGCCAAAGTTTTCAAATTAATATTGCAAACAAAGCTGATTTTTCATTCTCTCTGCAGAACAAAGATCTGGGAAGACTTTCCTTCAAGCTGCGATTTCTTTAAAATTTGAGTAAAGTTTTAAAGGGAAAGTCTGCTTCTCACAATTAGTGTCAATTCTGCTTACATATGCACAGAGAGTTTTACTCATAACTTTTTAAGAGCTCCAGCACACTTGAAGTTTTGACAGAACGGGTCAGCTGCAAAAATATGATTCATGCATCGAATATGTTGGGCAGTTTGCGCATAATTTACCGGAAGCAAATACTTGTTAAAGAATTATAGCACAGTAATTACAGACTTGAGATTTGGAGAACTTAAAGCGGGACCAATAGACACCCTAAAACCCTCACTGAGTAAAACAGAAGTTACAACCAAACCAAACAACCAAACAAATATGTAAATAAATGAGAATTACAAGTGTTTGCAAAAATGAATAATGCAAATAAGAGAAACACAAACTTACCAAGGTGTAATTGAACATCCTTCACCTCCAATGTGTTTGACTTGCGATGGCGTGCCAGTTGACAAGCTGCTGTCACTACGCTTTCTATAAAGTCATCTGCAATTTGTAGGAGCATCTGGGAAGAGACACACAATTTGAAAAGCCATCAGCTATGTTCAGGAATAAAAGTGACATCCTGCAGCAGCCGAAAAATCCTCGATTTTACTTCAGCTGCTCTGGTCTCTGATTATATGGCAATGTTTTGCAAAGATTAAGACTTCAAAATGATTGATACGGCTGTAGGTAAGTATGATTACCCTGCACTACAAAACTCAAAGCCACATATTCTTGAAATGAGAAAAATCACAAACAGACCTCCTCAACATCCTCATCCAGTTGCTCATTTGGATCAATCTCTCTCACCAGGTCCTGAAGCTTCTTCTTACTGAGGACCTGGAAAAAGGAAGAACTGTTTAACAAGTCTACTGGAATGCAGGTATTGGTCAATACACATCCTTATCTATCTGCAGCATCTTTATTAAGTTTGGTGAGTCAAAACTGACCTGGGATCCCTCTGGACTACTTCTGCCAGCAACACCAGGGTTCATAACCTTAACAGCTGTCGTGGTGCTGTTAGCCATGCTGGTGGCAACAGGGAAAGTAGAGGGACTCTGGAGATTCACAAGAGGCAGAATGTTGTCTGCCAGTTACGTTTTGGGTCGTGGAAAACAGTCTGAGCTGGACAACAGTGTGAAGGATTATCTTCTACTGGAACCACGTCCGTGAATCTGTAAAAGACAGTGAGGTTTAACATGAGTCAGGATTTAAAATGAAGCACCCAGCCAAAAAGTTATCAACAGCTGGCATAGTTGGTAATCTAATGCAAACCTTTTTTTTTCTTTTTTTGGAAATCTAACCTTTATTTAACCTGGTAAGAACCCGTTGAGATGAAGATCTCATTTACAAAAGTGACCTGGCCAAGCGGTCGGCAGCACACATCACAATAATAAACAATAGTAAAGAAGAAGAAAACGACCTCCAGAAACATAATTAAAAACACAGGCACTGTTCCATGGTCTCCCAAAGTCTGTCATGTAAGAATGAAATGCAGCGAAATTAATTCCGACAATTTCAGGTCTATTAAACGGTTCTGGCATAAATTCTGACTTTTAAGAAGTTTTGAAATGTTCGGCTTTGTTGAAATAATAAAACGTGTACTTATTGTACTTTGTTCTGGTAGACTATGTGGGTGGGGGTGGCACACTGTGTCATATTGAAAGATATTCCTTGAATTTTGAAAACTCTGATAGTGATCATGAGGGGAGCAAAATGTGCCAAACATCTTTAATGTGCCATCAACACCCTTCACAACTGCAACAACTAATTTAAAGAACAATCATCCCCATGTCAACAAAAACTAAAGATGTTGACACTTTCTAAAAGAAGAACTTTTGGTAGAGTGTTGTACTAAGTTGCAAATGATTGCCATGGTAAATAACTGAGAATAGTATATCTGACTAACATTTAAATTTATTACATCTACACTCTGTTATTCTGAAAGACGGTTGATGTAAGTACTACAGCGACTCAAAGTGGCTGAGAATCACAAATGAATGTACTCATTTCATCCTGCTCTTCTTTGATCACGTGGTTTTGTGTGTGTAAAATGTGGCGGCAATATTCTTGAGTTACTTTTAGTGCTTTTGTCATTTCATAAACCCGATGAACTTGATCGAAATAGTAAAAATCACCAGTTCAAGTTTTGTTTATGAGTCCTTCTAACTCCTATTAGTATGTTTACCTTCCGTGATCTATTTAGTAATGCACTACATTATGATAAATTAACCATATGTGCAATTAGAGCTTGAAATTCGCTTAAACTACAGTTATTCGCTCATATAAAATTGTGTTTCCCTGATTTCAAAATTCATACTGACTCTGCCATAACTGTTGTACTCGCTAACAGACACATACATCTATTCCTACGAATTTACTCGCTATTTAGCAGAATAACGACACACTAATTTAGAAGATTAACATGCCACGGCACCGTAACGCAACTGTGCAGCCTCAACAACGACTACGAGAACGCAAATACCGCCTGAAACACAGAGTTTTGTGCTAAAAACAATAGCAGCTACCGAGCTTTGATTTTAGCCCCACAGGCTAACATTAGCAGCTAATGCAGCTAAATGCGGCTAAATAAACACCGCATCCGCCAACTACGTGCTCAAATGCAAACTCACCCGGTACAAAAGGCACTATCTGTCCATGTTTTAACGTCGTTGCCGAAAAATAAGGGTTTTATGTTACAGAAAATCTCCACGGGAGCGTCTCCAAACAGTGGGCAAAATCATCGAGTAGCGCTTCTCTACTTCCGTTAAACAGATGAGTATTTCCGGTAGCAGAGAGGCGCCACCACATGGATGTACTGTAGAAATACAGAATGAGTTTTTGTGAGGGGCATAAAAAAAAACTGTTCAGGACAATTACACAATTAGAATAACATTAATAAAAATAAACAAACGAAATAAAATAGATAATAATTAAATTTATACAAATAGATTTTTTTTAAACTCTAACTTACAAGGAAGGGGCAGGACTAGATAAGCTCTTTGCTTCATTCTGTTCTTTTTTAAACCCTAAACCCATAACCCCAACCCCATAACCCAAACACTAACCTAACCCAAACACTAACTTGAATTTTTTTTTTTTTACATTTATCCGATTTTTTTTGTACTAAATTACTCCAAATGGTCTGAAACCTGCCCCTGAAAAGGTCCTGGACAGTGATTTTAACCCTAACCATAACCCCAACCCTAACCCTTAAACACCCTAACCCAAACTTTAAACCCATAACCTTAACCCTAGCAATTTTTTTACATATATCCTATTTTTTTTGTACTTAATGACTCCAAATGTCCTGAAATGTGCTCCTAAAAAAACACTGAAAATTGATTTTACCCCTAACCCTAACCCTTCAAGGCCCTAACCCAAACCCATAACCCAAACCCTAATTTATTTATTTTTTGACAAATATCCTATTTTTTTAACTAAATGATTCCAAATGGTCTGAAACATGCTCCTAAAAAGTTCCTGGACAGTGATTTTAACCCTAACCCATAACCCTAAATCTAAACCTAACCCCATAACCCAAACACAAACTTAAATTTTTTTTCGTACTAAATGACTCCAAATGGTCTGAAACGTGCTTCTAAAAAGGTCCTGGATAGTGATTTTAACCCTAACACACATATGTTGTGTAAATTTATCTTTAAAATGTACAGTTGTTTGGTGACCATATTTATTATTTTGTTATATTTTTTACTGTGCTGTAATTTTTATAGTATTTGGTACTAAGCCTTGCGTAGATACAGCCATAAGACTCTTGCCTGAGAAAGAAAAACTGCTTTTTTAAGAGGTTTTGTGAGTTAATAAAAAAATGACACTGCCAGCATTTCAAGCTCGCTTGCAGCAAACAATCTCTGAGACTGTTTGAGTGACTGAATTTCGTTGGATGCTGTCTCCTGTGCAGCTCCAGTGAACAGCTAATCAATCAAAGGTCACAGCAAATGAAGCGTCAAATGTTGGCTTGTTCACTATTATATGTCGCACTGGGATGTTTCGACACTCCCAAGCAACATGTCGAGACTTATTTCGCATCGTGTTGTTGATCTTCCTCTGAAAAAAGCCCTGACCTCAACAACAACAAGCCGACCGGCCTGATCCCCCTCGGAGGAGACAAATGACGCAGGAAGAATTTGATAAGAGGAGCAGCATTAGTCTTTCATTTACACTTGACATAAACGAGATTGCATACTCCACTTGATACGCTCATTGCCAATAAAGAGTCATAAGACTCTGGACATATAACACGGCTTGTTGAGCAGTTAATTTCCGGCTATTTAATATTGAATTTGATGGATAGCTTCTCAGTGCTTTCACATTTTCAGAGTACTTTGTGCGCACTTCCTGAAAAACACAGGGGTGAAATCCACGCCCACTTGTCGTTATGGATAAATAGAGAGCAAACTTTCATTTCAGATTAGAAACTTCACGGAACTACGCGGTATTTTGTTCATAAATTGAGGACTTTTTCAGCCATGAAAGTCATTCTCATTGTCGCGGTGGTCGCGCTGATTCACAGCAGCTTTGGTAACTATATACTTTTTCTTCAATGGACTCTTTTACAGTCTCTCCAAAACATTTAATTTTAATGCTTCTCTGTTATGAGCTATTGGTTTAATATTCGAGTCTGGCTCTGCTCTTTTTTTTCTCCACAAATATATTCATGCTGTGGCAGTCCCTAGGTTTTGTGAGTGTGTGTTTTTGTGTGTGCACGCCGCTCAGTTGTCTGTTTTTCCTGCTTGTTTTTGAGTTTTTCTGTCCTCTAGAGAAAAGGCTTTAGTTTCTCTTCTGTCACACTGATGGGTTTCCCCTGAGACTAGGGCCAGATCAGGAAATGATGTGGGGATTATCAAGGGACTGTGAGAAAAACAATTAAACATTTTATCTACCAACTGTATATGGATATATATCCATGTAAAATCCATCTTTTTACCATAAAACAAGTATTTTACACTCTTTGTGTTTGTCGGTGAGTCCTGCCTTTAGCGACAGAAAAACTATCTCTGTTATCACACTGTGACTAAAGTGGAGGAACCTGTTGTGGTCATGTGGTCACTGCAAGCGAGATTGGCAGATTTCCAGCTAAAACCAGAAACAAATGTCAGGAAAAGGAGGAGGTTGTTTGTATGTTTTGCCCAGAAGTGCAGCACAATTCGCTCAGTTCAGGTCATCACGCTTCTTACCCCCGGGCCCCGCTGCCTATTCATGCTGTGATCAATAACCTGCATCTCTAATCTCTGTCCACATGCAGCCACTTTGCTCATTAAAGGGCCGACCGAGCCGGTCCTGGAGGGAGAGAGGATCACACTGGAGTGTCTGCTCTCGGACTCGGAGCTGAACATCAGCCAGGTCCACTTTGAGGTCTTCTCCAAGGTGAGCCACCAGGGGAAGAAACACATGTAGTCTGACAGAAGAGGAAATGGAGGGAAAAAGAGTCCACCTCAGGAACTCAGTGTCATGTCGATATTATCTGGGTTTTCTTGTGACGCAGCAGAGGAACATAGGCTAGTGTATTCCCTCTGTAGCTGTGGAAGTTGTTGAAATATGAATGTTTAGTATTCATTTGATATTTTTAGTAGCTCTAAAAGATTAATCATGTCATAATCCTCCTTTTTAGAAACAGGCTCACACTCTACATAATAATGTTGCTTTTGTAGCTTGTCATAAAATTCACAGCCTGGACTAATATTTACAGAGAGTTGTCAACCGCTCTATGCAAATGTCAGATCACGTAGCTCACTGCTGTGTTGTTCAGCCCGACGGAAAACTAACACATGTAATGCAATCCACTAGAATGCTGTGAAAATACGCATTTATCCACAACAGTGATTGAGAATTTTTCCGGCTTTTCTTTTTTTTTCAGTACATGCAGGGCTGGCGTCAACTCTGGGAGCGATCCTGGTGCTACTACTCGATGCAAGTGGAGCAGACTGTAGACCGTCTCGTCCTGTCCATTCCCCGCGCTGGTAGATACTACGAGGGGCCCTACCGCTGTGCATCTGATGCTGAAAATGTGACTGCGCAAGACAAATTCTCCTCGCCACTGGCCTTCAAAGTGCATTGTGAGTTTCTGGGTTGATATGGGGTAGGAGCTGTCTGGTGAAAGTCTGTGGAACAATGGCTCCGTGACATTTTTTTCCCCCTTTTTATGACAAATAAAGAAATCTCAGATTTTTCATGCAGTCTGTGCCCTGCAGATGCCAAAGAAAGTTCTGCGGGGATGTGGCACTATTTAGTCAAAGACATGACTTGCAAATCAGACATCCAGCCTCTGAGTTCTGCTTTCCGGTAGTGACATTGTTATACAGATGCGACTACAAAGAAGGAAGTAAAAAAGCCCCGAAAAGTACATAGGTATATAGGTCAGCTATTCCCAAATCTAAGTGCTGCGGCTTACTTTGAAATCCAAAAAAGTATTCTGCTGGTCACCCAGACAACACCAGAGACAGAGACAGAGAAAAAGTACTCCGCAGTATTTTCTAAGTTCATAAAAAACAACAAACTTTGTGTGAAACAGCAAAATGAGATTAAAAGTGTTGTTAAAATGTATATATTTATGTTTCGTCTGTGTAAAAGCTCCTGTTTCTGCTCCACATCGAAGTCCGTAAGGGAACTGATCAATGTAATAAGACATAACAAGGATAGTGTAAAACTTGGCAATTTTTCTTCTTTCTCCAGGCAGCAGGAGGTAAAGACAATCTTTCAGACACAGTGCGGACAACACTTTGTTCCCAGTGAAGGAGAGAAAAACATATGAATAGTTAATACCGCAAGATATAGCTGAGCCGAACAGCTGTTCAACAAAACAAGTGCAAAAAAAGTCCAGATTCTGTGCACACTCACACTGTGATAGGCATGCTAGCTTGACTATAGTTATTTGACTTTTTTCTCCGACCAAACAAAGACACATTCTCCTGGTACGGCTCTCAAGTTTGGAACAATCATTGTAGGATACACAGTCGAATGAAACAGCATCCGTGGCGTGGCAAGTTAGATTATCAGTGTCCTCTATCTTCTCAGTGGCCATCAAATCGACCGCGATGCCGTTTGATAGGCTCCTCAGCCTCATGGGGGGAATCAATAAGTGGCAGAGATTAGAATGGACTAGAGGACTGAAGGAGACAGAGAGGGAGAGAGGAGCCAGGAGGAGCTGGATGGACGTGGGCCATCTATTGAGATGGAAGAGAAAATGAGCCATTATTCACAACACTGCCTCTCTAAAGACTCCGATAAGATGAAGCCTATTATCATTATTATTGATCGCTAGGACAGTCTGTACCACTGGGAGGCATTATACCGGAGCCTTATACACTCAGATATACTCAAAGATCTGGATGTTTACCAGCTGCTACTGCTGCAAACATATGTTCAGTCACGTCCCAGAACTCTTCACGAAGTAGGAACAGCTCACGTCCATTTCTGTCTTCATTAATGCTCCATCATGCCTTATAATCCCGGCTGTTTTTTTTTCTTCTCTTTTTTCAGACATGGGGGAGCTATCACTGTCCAGGGTGGGATACAGCAGCTTCTTCGGGATGTCAGAGGAGCTGAAGGTGCAGCTCGGGGATGATGTGGCGGTGCAGTGCTCTGCCAGCTCGTCCGAGGAGCCAAAGTACTTCTGGAATAAAGACGTGAGAAAGCCTGCACGCGGTGGCAGTGTCCTCATTATGCTGTGGAAACTTGTCATCCTCTGTACCTCTTTGATGTGACCTCCTTATGTTTTTTATGTCCTCCTCTAGTCCCTTCAGGTCACTTCTTTGCTTAATTTTCACTGCTTTCCTACTGACTTTCTCGAACTACTTGTTTCCACACTCCCTGTCGTCTTTTCATCCCTTCTTCTGAAGAAGTGCTCTGTATGTAAGTGACCGGTCGGCTTAGGCCCACCGCTCGCTAGGGGATTGCAGCTTGCCCACTTACAAAGGATTAATAGTTTAATGAGGTCTAGACAAGAGCCAGTCAACCTGAAAACAATTATGCGGATAGATTTCTAATGATTTTTTCAGTGTTTGGTTAACCACTATTGAATTATTCAACTGGGCTCGCCGCTGAGGGGAGGAACCCTCGCCCGGGGGGAAATTAAGACGTCTCAATGTAATACGCAATAGTGCCAAAAGGCATGTAGAAGAAGATGGTGGTGATGAGTTGGGAGATATACTGTGCCCTTGTGGTGAGAAGATGGTATTACACTCTCACAGTGGTCTGCCACCACCAATAACAGGTGTAATGAAGCCGCAGCATGCGACAATGAAGATATCTTGGGAACAGGCTAACATAATTGCAAAGTTTTCTCTTTTGTTATTCCTCCAGATAAGTCGGCTCGGGGTTAATGTGCTTGTTAAAGGGTCACTGCTAATCCGGGTTATAAATTGGCTTACAAATTCAAATCCAATTCAGTGGAAATTTTACACTGTTAATACTGTTTGTCCTCTGCATGATCATATGGGGCTTATGGTTTTTGTCCTCATTTGCCAGATATAGAGGACTGTCCTTCTGATGAAGAGTAGTTATGAATGCCAGGCTGAGTGACAGAGCTATCACCGTATGGAGATGAAGATGGAATCAGTTTGCGCTGGAGGTTCAGCTATTTATGCGCTGTTTGCATAAGTCACAAACTGATTGGAAAAACGGACCGAGACAATCAAAGAGATGATGAGATGGGTGGAATGATTGTCCACCTGTGAGTGTGGGGAAACTGTATGTATGACAGGAATAGATATGGGGGCAGAAAGTGGCATCAGTACGTCCCATTTGACAGACAGCCGCCGCGGGCACATTGGCCCCTGGGTAATGACAGCAGGACAGAGGCAGAAACGGGCCACTGCATTGGGTGCCAGTGGATTTGCATACAAAATGCTGCTTTGGCCAGACCTGGCCTTTATGGGAAATCCTCTTAATTCAGATCCATTCAAATTGAAATGGACTTTCTTGGCAGGAGCTGCAGCTCCCAGGAGCCAAATCATTTGCATGGTGTAATGCCTTTTTTTTTGTTCCTTTTTTTTTTGTTACCCCGTCCTTCACGTTCATTTGTTTTCCAATCCTTGTGTTTGGCCTATTATTTGTTTCCTTCCATGTCGGGCTCTATCTCGTAATGGTGCTGCTATTTTTGTGTCAACAATTCATCGTGCTCCCTTGCCATCTCATTATGGGTTGTGTTAACAGCGTGTGTTGTGGCGTCATTCTTTGCGGATGATGGTGTTCTCTGGGTTATTGACTTGTGCCGATGTGTGTTCATTTGTTTGGGATTACCGCTCAGGTAAATACACTTCATTTGGGACTTTAGGGACGGTTCTCTGAGGCCTGAAAACAAGAAGATATTTTTGTCTGTTTGCGTCCCACTGCTGATGCCAGTTGCCATGTTTCTCCCTGTTTTCGTTCTCTTATATGTCCCTCTTTCCCCCCCGAAAACACAACACTTTCTGCCCATTTTCTTTCTATTTCTGTCTGACTGTTATTGTACCTGACAGTCTCTGCGTTCATCTCTCGTCTTCCAGCATCATCTCCTGTCTGTCTCTCCTGGAGTTTCAGCTCAGCACTATTTTAATTTTTAGGAGTTTGTCAATACTCTTAGGGCTGCGAACAGTACGGCCAATAAAATATTTTTATACTTTCCACCCTGCTCAGTTCTCTCTCCTGAGCTCTCCTGCATTTGTTCACCAGTTCAATATAAAGGGACAGATTGAACGTTAATGCACATCTCTGTATCTGTGCCTATTTGTTTTTGTGGGCCTCCCTGGGCAGATGGAAACACAGATACCAAATACTTGTTAAGTATGAGCAACAACCAGTAGTAACGCCATTAGGAGCACTTCATGAGCTACAAAGAGACCATAAACACGGTCATCTGAATTAGTTTCACAGTTTACACACAGTAAAGTGTCTCCAAGCCAGATTTTTAAATAAAGTATGTTTCACTGTCTTTATCTTTCTCCTCAAGGGTGACGATTGGATCCTCCCCTCCTCTAAGCTGACACTGAAGAAGGTGAGCGCAACAGATGGGGGAAAGTACACCTGCGTGGCTGAGCATCCCTCTGTGGAGTCGCTCAGCAAGAGCCGCACCATCAACATCAGCGTGCTGCCAGGTAAGAGGAACCAGCAGATCGAAACAGAAAAGTTCAGTTAAATTCAGAGAAAACTGGTTTGTGGTTTCCCTATTACTGTCGGGACTTTTACTGTAAACATCCCCTGAGCAAAAACAGAAAAACAGTAAATATTTTGTATCACTTCCTCTTTAGTTACTTAGAAGTGACCACAAATTACAGTGCGATTACGTCAACATGAACAAATGCAGAAGTTCCTCCTCATAAGTCTGGATTTAAAACCCAGAGGAAGCAGCTCAGGGTTGAGGTTTCTGGGTCTGCGCAGACTGTGATATTGAAATAAAAAAGAAGGGAAGACATTTAAGAAAACACCTCGCAGGAAAAGGTGACAACAATGTCCCACACGAAATCAAGTGTAAAATGTCAAATGAAAATAGGTGGGATGATCCCAGGGGACGTGATACGTTTTAAATAGCAGGAATGAATAACAATGATTGAACTGCAGCAACTTTAAAGGGTAAGAGGATAATTATTAGATCTAGGAGAGGCAATGCTTTTACCTGACCTTAGATTTTTTCTCCTTCGTTATAAATATCAAGTCAAACCTAAGTGCACTTTAGAGCACAGAGACAGCGACTTAAGAGGAGTTAGAAATATTTGTTCTGCATTAGAAAGAGACACTCGCAAGATTGGTCACTGTGCGTTTCTTCATTTGATTATATTTGCACTTTTTATATTATTTAGCTTTTTAAGATGCACAGCAACTCAAGCGACTTTGTTCCACCGTCAAAAAGTATACAGCACATCAAAATGCATTAGTGAAGTTAGTGATAGGACAGTGATTTTTTGATTATTTAAAGTCTGTTGTTGTTGTTTCTTTGGATAGATGCACACACAGTGGCTGTCAATCTGTATGACTGACAAACTGTCTTATTCCTCTTGAAACGTTAAGATTGTATTCAAGCGGAGGGCTAATTTCATTACAATGTTATAGCTAATCCAATTTACAGCACTTCATCTGTCTTCATCATCTTTATCAGTGACCTGTGAGATGACTGTACTGTGTGAATGCACCGCCGTTTTTAAACACCATCCTCTCAAGCAGTCCGATTCATAAGCCTCGTGATTTCAATCATTGAAATTATGCAACCTCTAAAAATGCAATTAAGCCAATGCATGTTATTTATTATGGTAGAGCTATCTTATTACTGCTGCAATTGACTCATTGGTCACCGCGCTCCACAATGTCTGCAGGATTTCCTCGGGAGCACATGTACTAATTAAAAAGCTAATAATTTCAAGATGCTGGGATAATGTTTGTTCATCCTTGAAGGTATGGGGAACAAATGTTGCATGTCATTGCCACTGCTTTGAAGTTTGCTGTACAATAAGGGAACAAAGCCTCAGCAAACAGTTTTAGTGTAAACCTGTGTGACTCAAGCTGCCAAGAAATCCTCTTTACATATGGAATGACTGGATATATACAGACTAACCAGGTGATTTTTGCCGCCTGGAGAATCCTCACAACCGTATTTTTTCAGGTGTTTGCCTCTGTCTCCAAAGGAAAGAGAATTCTGTGGGAAAAAAAGATAACCACAGAGTTTCTCAAGAAGATCCATGCTGTGTCCAGCAGCAGAGCTCTCTAAACTCCAGACAGACTCACACTCTTCTCGCACAAACAGGATGTTGTCTATCCAAGCTTCGCCTGCAGGCAGAGAGCTCATAGTTTTACTGATTTTAGAGTCTGTAAGATGCATGTTTTCCTTCATGTCTGACTGATCTGCCCCACAGCTGATTCCCCCTGGTATGCGTCCAGTAATGGCCGACTCATGTTGATGACCTCAGCGGCTGCCGTGTCTCTCTTGGTGCTCATCCTCTCCATGAGTGTGTTCCTGTGCCGCAGGGCTAAACAGGCCAAGACCAGCAAGGGACCCATGTAAGACCTGACTGTCTGTGTTTGTGTCTACAGTACCTTCTCCTTGTGTGTGATTGTCATATTGAATCATATACAGAAGCTGGACGTGTGTGAGCCTGTGTGATTGTTTGATTTCTTCACGGTGCTTCACCCACACTCACCTTTCTATTTCCTTTACTCAGCCTCACTCCCTCTTCCTGCAGTTTGACTTTATATTATGGATATGGTTATTGCTGCAATATTTCATTCTGTCTTGTGTGATAGAACCAAGGCCATTTCAGCTACAGTGTGGGGATTTGATTGTGCACCTTTTTGTGTACATTTGACACGGTGCGTATGTGTTTGGCATGGCAAGTGCTCATGCAGAAAACCATTTCACATGTGCAGAGTGGTGCTTGTGGGCTTTTATGTGTCTGAAGGTGTTTTTTTAAACTGGGTATTGATGTATATCTCTGCAGGTATGACCTACTTGACCCCCACCCTTGATCTCGCTTCACGCTTCTTTATTTCTTCCCACCATGTGTGAAAAGCTCCAGCTAATAGCATCAGCTTTAATTCAGTGGTGGTATATAATGCATAAAAAAGGCTACATCAATGATAAGAGCATTAGGAGAAGTCCCATTAAATGTGTAGCTGACAGTATGTTAATGTGAGCCATGACCCCTTGCAGCTTGGCTTATTAACTTCTTTCCCTCGTGGACTTGGAGGGAAAAAAAATCAAAAGGAAGATTTTTCATAACAGCTAGCTTTACATGTGATTTCTAACTTTGAGGAGGGGGCTAAGAAAGAAGTGTTACCCACACACATGTGGTTCGACATGTGCTGCTATATGTGTATGAAAATAAAACAAGTGACAGAGAGCTGATACACGTTCATATTATCAGCCAAGTGTGGGTCTATTGCTCAGGTCTAGTCCATAATTTCCTCGCTTATAGTTTTCTCGTGCCTACTGGGAGGTCGATATACAGATAATCACGCTCCTCTGTCTTTCCTTCTCTCCCTCTCTCACAGTGATGACCGCTCTCAGAAGAAACCCATCTACAAAAGCAGTGTGGAGTCCCTACCCTCCATCTCCGGAGACAAACAGCCCCTGGTGTAGCCACACAGGCAGGTGGAGAGGAAGAGTGAGGGGAAGATGGAATGGGAGATGAGGGGGATGGAGTGGGTGACTAGAAATCGAGGGACAGCATCAGAGGGGGGCACTTAGAGGGGGGGAGGAGATGCTGTATGGGTGGTCACATTGAGGAAGGACAGAGTGAGGAAAATCAAAGAGGGATATTTGGAGGCTTTAGTGGGAGGAAAATCTAAATCAGAAACAAGCAGGGTATAAAAAAACGCCTGAAGGGCAAATTATTGCTGTAGAGAAACAGGAGCTGATTTGCTTGTGGGTGTTATACATCTTAGGCAAAATATGAGGTGGCCAATTTCTCTTCATTCACTCAGTAGTATAGAAAATGATTATACTTTCTACGCTAAATGACTTAAAAACTCCACGTGCAATTCTGTCCTTTCTGAGCCAACTATGATTAGTCAGCTGTTTTTTATGAATGAGCATCTTAGGTGATAAAATAATGCTTTTTTTATTCTGATGGTTTGTTTTCATTCCTACCTTTTTCACCGGAGCAGCATCATCTCAAAGACTCTGTGAGAGGGTCATTATAATCTCTTCCTTTACTGTGACAGCTCTCAAGCACATTGCACTCTTATATTTAACTTTGTGTACTTTGGATTTGTTTGATAATAAATAGCTTTCCAAAAAAAATATTACTTATCGCCTCCTGTGTGGAATTGATTTTGCTCCGTTTTAGCAGTACAGAAGAGGCAGGGGAGTATTGACAATGTGGTAAAAGACTGACATGCATGCTTGCTTGGCTGCGCGTCTTCTCAATCCAATGCCATCTCAGGCTTGCATCAGCTTGTTTACCAACCTTTCCCTTCAGTCTGTAAGACCTCACTCTGAGGCAATGACCTTTTACTCAAAGTACTACGCCTGCACGGTGTTTTTCCCCATCTGCCTCCGAGCACTAAACCCGTTCTCAGTCAGTTCAGGTTGCGAACACATGCATGGAGGTAAGGTTCGCACTCACACACACAGCCAGAATAACAGTTAAGTCACGTAACCTTGAAACTTCACCCAGCCATTATGAGCCGATTCTGCTAGCCCCACTCCAACATGAACGGGACTTAGTTTAGCCTGATTCCTCTCTAAAATACCCATCATGGACTACATCTCCATCTTTTTAATTTTCCCCTCTGTTGCCTTGTAACCCCCAATGCCTTACCACAGCAACCACCGCTGATTACCATAACCGTCCTCGTAACGCAGAGGATTTCATTACGCTTGTCTGTTGAAGTTATGTTGGGTTTTATGTGGTTTTATTATGCGTGTGTGGTTGACCGTAGGCCGTCGTTAATAATGGGCGAAGCGGCAGTTTAACAATGACACTCCATTAACGGGTGCATGCGCCACAGAGCACAGCCAGGATAATGTTATTAAACTGATTATTCAAACCCCCCGTACAGTTGCCTCTGCTGCAGCTATTTTTTGTTGAGCGTTTTACAGACTGTGTATTTCCTCTCCAACTCCACAAACTTCTGCTTACTTTATGTCCGAGGTCAAGCTCTAGGAGTAAAGAAGACTATAACCAAACTAGAAAGACTTTAAAAAATTTGTCACACTCTGTGGGAAAAAAATACAAGTTGTAAATTTAAAAATGCCCTCTGGTATGTGAAATGCCAGTGAGCAGCGTTTTGTTTTGGCCTTTAAATCGGTCATGACTGAAAAGCCGTGAGTTCCCCAGTGGGATTTGGTCCTGGGGCTTCAATCGGTTGGCCAGAAAAGACAAGATTATGTTTCAGGTTTTTCACACAGAAGAGCTGTCCCCGAGGTACAAGGCTGTTGTTGGGAGGGGGAGAAGTGTAGTTTACAGTGACATCCTGACCTTGATAGTGGCTCATGGATAAACCACCGGACATCAGCTCGAGGCGAAGCAGACGCTGTGCAGGGAATACAGAGCAGCCGAAAAAGTTCTGTCTGGTGCTGGCAGGGTCCTAACAACAGACTGTATAAATAATTGACACAGCCACTGACCTCACATATTGATTTGTCCTTTTGAAGCCTCCTGTTGCCATGTCAGTTTCTTGAAACCAGATGTGGCGGAATTCAGAGGAGGGGGAGGCGCTGGAGAAAGTGAGTAGGTTGTGGACACCAAGTTATCAAAATTATACACACCAGTCTAATGGCCAATTTGAGCCTACAAATAAACGATGTGAAATACACAGTAGTTTGGGTATTTTGAAGACTTCAAGAGACTGTAGAACCAGGGGAGTCACAGCTGATGGTGGGTAAACAGGATTAAAGCTGTGAACCAAGTCACCTGACCTAAAAAACTCGGTTATCCTTCAACTCAACAACAATCCTGACTCTAATGCGCTGACCTGAACATGTGAAGCACATACCAAGCATTGCTAAAAGACTAGGCGTGTTGACAATCTATCCAGGCACTTAGAGTGAAGACACCAATATATTACCATTAAGAAATACAGAGCTGCCAACCATCATGCTTTGAGTGTGACAGTCACGCAATGTGACCCATTCTCACACCACACGCCACACTTGACATTTTTCACGCTTATTTTTCCCCATTCAATACTCTGCATTTTTTTCATGATAATAAATTTAGCTAGCCATAGTTTGAGTAACTGACCAAGATAACCAATCCCAGACCAATACATCAGTCCTTTGTGCCAAATGCTGCATTCAAGTAACCTCTGAAGTCAGAAGTCAGAGCTGTCACACCTGAGTTACCAGTGTTTCAGTTATCAAGTCGGAAAAAGCAAAATCTGAGGCGGAGACAAGATGGCTACATCCGCGCAAGTTATTTTACCGCTTGCCTTGTCCGAATATAAGACGAGGGCTAAAATAACTTTCGTAGATGTAGCCATCTTGTTTCATGCCTCCGATTTTGCTTTTTTCCGACTTGGTAACTGAAACGCTGGTAACTCGGGTGTGACGTCATTTTCAGCTTCGACATCTGACTTCTGAGGTAACTCGAGCGCTAACCAACCATGAAAGGCACCATGCAATATAAACCAATCAGAAGCAACATAAGGTGGGTCTTAATGTCTCTAACTATCTTTCACATCTTTCAATGTAATGAAATATTGACAAATAAATGTATTTTGTCAAATTCTTGTTACAATGTTCATTTCTAATTTCTGGTTAATTAAGACTAGCATGTGGGAGAGCAGCTGGCATGGAGGTGAGGACATCAGTCTTAAGGTATAAATCAACGTTAAAAATGGCAAAAAAATGTTGGCGCTGACCTTTGGTCGGGGGCTGAACACCTCATAACGCTAAAGTCTCACTCTTGTCATTTTCTGAAACTTGGCAGCCCTGCAGATTATAGGGCAGAGCTTCTTTTACAGTCTTAATTACAACAAGCTGCATTACTATCCATAATTTTGGAGAAAAATCCCCGAAAGACATCTTAACAGAAGTCTACTTCAGCTGTAGCAGTGTTAACTCAAAGTGACACCTAGCACACAGCTAGCAGCGCGCATCTGCTGCCCAGAGTTGCCACATCCTCCAGTCGGGGATGGCTGGCAGAAATAGGGCAACAGAACCAGGCCCTCCCTTCCTTACACAACAAAGATGAGAAAACATGTTCCTCCAATACTTGAAGATAGATTTTGACAAACTAAAGTGAATCTACAGAGCAGCAACCAAACCTAGTAGACTAACAGTCCTAGCACTAGCATCCTCCTCCTTCCACTTCCGTTGTGTAAATGGGTAACAGGTGTCATGGTGCGCCCCCTTGATTCGCTTTCATTTGGGCTTCATTCAGTTATTTATTCATTTAACCAGAGCCCATTGAATTTTGTAGAGATGCGACTATTGCAAGAGAAATGAGCAATTTCTGAAACCGCAGGTGTTTGCGTTCTCATCTATTTATTTTGGTGGAAAGATTGGAAGTTAGGAGACTGGGGACTCATTGTCCTAACACTGTTCAAAGAAAACAAAAAGACAAATTGTAAGTTTGGTACCTGGTTATAACAAAGAGACTGGCTAAGAGCGAGTGTTGCTAAGAATTGACTTTCCTATTCTCCTGCTGCTTGGACACAACAAAGAATTGATGTAAAAAGTTTCTGACAAAATTAGCAAGAATGAATGCAGCACAACTCACATTAACGTCAAGTCTTCAGCAAGCTATCTATACTGGGCGAGGTCAACATCGCCTGTCAACTTGATGAGAGACGCGATGAGGGAGTGCAGAAAACAAGCATTTACTGCCAAGGAAGAGAGAGAGAGAGAGACTGGTAAAGATCATACATGTCAGTGTGGTGTTGTAGCGTTTCGCTCTAAATTGACGTCCACATGTGATGCTGCTTTTGCTATAAATGGGTGTATTGAATTTGTTTGCGAAGCTACCACTGCTAACGACTCAGAACTTTTAAGCGCTAACCTAGTTTTAACGGGTGAGTTATGTCAAATTTAGTGTCCTGAGTTGTTCTATATGAGACATAAAAGACAGAAATGTCCCTTTTTTGTTTAAGGCTGTGAACATGTTGAATGTTGCACTGAATTTTGGCGTTTTAATGTGGAGCCTGATGGGGATTAACTCGCTTTTAGAGTCAGCCTCAAGCGGCCACTAGGGATGCAGCAGATTTTGGCGCTTTCGTGTTGGCCTCATTTCTCATATCTGGAGGATGTTGCTCGGTCCTACTAGGACAAGGAACCAAATCTGTGACATTTACATTTGGCAACTCTCTCCCGATATCAACAGATATTCTGGTGAGAAACTGTCCTGGTAACCTCACACAGACCTGCCTTCTTGTGTGGGGGGTTGTACTAAACATGACACCCCATTGACTAACACCCCAAAACACCAGGCATTTGCGACTGTTTGCCATCGCCCGCTGCTGTTCGCGTCTCGGTCACTTGGTTTTGTATGCGCTTCCTGCATATGTTGTGTCAAATGGCTGAAAATGAAGGAGTGGAGTTCGCAGGAGAAGCAGGTGTTTTCCCCTCATTACTTCCTGACAATGCCCCATCTGGTGCTGGGAAGCTGCTGCCATCGACTCCCTGCCAACCAAGGGGAACAAACACTTGCAGAGAGGCTGACAGGGAAAAATGGGATAGGATTGGAATCGGGGATCGAGTGGGGTAGATACTCTCCTCGCCAAAACAACAAGGTTAAAAAGTTGTGTAGGGAAAATGAAATCACAGAGCAGAGGAAGCCCGAAGCGGAGAATTTATGATTGCTCACTGATCCTCAAGCCGGGGTCAGATATGAGGCGTGAGTTCAAAGAGAACTTTCTGGAAGGACTTTAAGTCAAGGGCAGAAATATTAATATTAATGTTATTAGACTGCTTTGATGCTTTACTGCCTGTTTGAACTTTTCTAAATGTTGGAGCCAAACTGGCCAAAGTGTCTGGAGGATTCGTGACAGATGAGAGGGAGGCCAAACTAGATTTGAAACCCATTACATGCTGTTCCTGAAGCTACCTGAGGGGGGCGCCAAAGATACAGTTTCAGAATGATGTCTTCAAGCCCTGGACACTTCTTGCCTTTGGTACTAGATTAGGAGAGGGTAAAAAAAAAAAAAAGAGATGTGGAAAGAGAAACAATTTTCATAATGGAGCGGCGCTCTCTGACTGGAAAACACAATTATGGGCAAACTGTGTCCACAGCATGAGGGTAAAGTTAAAGAGCCCCTTTAGCAAGACCTAATAGGCCCTGACTACAGATGAGCAGAGACACTGGCTTGTCCAGAGAACAAGTTTTTGTTCCAGGCCATTACCATCATTGTGAACAGCGACTTAACTGAATACACTCAGGTTTTTTCTCTCTGCTCTCTTTGATGAGTCCTATATGTGCATTTGGGAGATAATGGGGACTCTTTTGCAACATAATGTCCCCTAATCTACAAAAACCCTGAGAATACTGCATCTGTGCTGATGTGCCTGTAAAATAGAAAGATAAAGAAAAACACAAATGCAGAAATAGTGAGTTCAGCAGATCCCTGAGACACAGATTAGTACAATTCCAGGTCAGCTAAGGCTTCAGAAAATGACTGCAGGATTTCTCTCACTTCACCTAAAAAGAAACATCTGTTTCGCTTTCATCATCTTGATGATTTTGCCAGCCCTTCCTTTTCCTCCATGAGCTGAATGTGGAATGAATTGGCAATTTGTGTCTGAAAATTAATGTTGGTTATCCATCACATTTAGCGCGAATTGATTTCAATTAATTGGAAGGTGCAACCGTTCTTTCCTCCTCTGTTCTCCTCCTGTGAAGCCTTTTTCTTCTCCAAGCCCGGCCCCTCTCTCCTAATCCGCACACCCCTTCACCTGCTCCTGCTCTCTGCCATTGGTCAGAGCGCAAACAGACCCGCCCCGTTGGAAAGCTTTTTAAAATATATTTACAATGTCAAGTCACCAAGAAAAACCGGCCAAGCCATCGTTTTCACATATCCACAAGCAGGGAAAGTGGGTGTGTGCGTGTGTGGGGAAGTAATACTATGTAAAGACCCGCTTTTACGCACAGAGCGCTTGATCAAATACACACTCCTTCACGCACAGTGTCACGCGCGCGCACTCTCACACACAGACACACATAACTACACAGACGCTGAAGGCGCAGTCGGAGAGTGAACCTGCGGGTTCATGTCACTCTGATTTCTCCAAGGAAGAGGAATACTGAGGAACAGGATCAGTGGGGGAATATCAGCGACAGAGATGGCTTTCGCGACCGTGTGGAACTACTGCGTCCCTCTCGCCATCATCACAGTCGCCTGCTTGGTGCGCACCGGTAAGACAACGAGAGAGAGAGTGTGTGTGTGTGTGATGTGAATGAGAAGAGTGTTAAGCTCGTCTCGGTGTGTGCAAGTTTGTCCAAGTCCGGAGAAGAAGAAGAAGCTGGTGAAAGCTCGGAGTCTTCTCTGACACAGGAACCCTCCGCGGGACAAAAACACGTGCAGAAAGTGCGAGTTTATCACCAATCCTGCGGACCACTGTTAGCATTCACCACTGGCTAATTAGAATCAAAGCCATTTGAGCTAGTCTGGGCTACATCCGTGTTGCTATGTGAGCGTGTGCCGTTTGTGTTGACCACTTCTGGGAACTGCTAAGCGGGAAAGACCCCAAAAAACCCTCTCAAGATGAAAGTGAAAGACACGGGTTTGTCACTTTTTCACCCCCGCAGGAATATTCACTGTGAATGAACTCATGCTCTATTGACCCTCTTGCGTCATGGCGTTTTGGTTGTGTTTTTTTTCCGGACAGACTATGATTTGGATTCATTGTGTCATAGCTGCTGTGAGAGTCCCAGGTGCCTGCGCGCACATACAGAGCGACCCCCGCGTGAATATACTGACAGCCACATGAGAGCTCATAACAAATGCCCGCAGTGGACCAGACGTGTGATGCACAGAGCGGCAGTAGACCCAGCTGTGGTGTGTGTGTGTGTGTGTGTGTTACTGATTTTCTATTCTGCCACAGAGCGAGGAACTGAAAGGACCTTTGAGACCTCACCTTATCAGATACAATAACATCTAACAATCTATTACAAAGCCTTTTACTGGCACCTGCACCGGCTGTGTCGCTATTAATCTCCTCCAACTGGTACATCTCAGCCTGGGATAGTCCTGCTATGATCCCATATGGGCACACTGTATTTCATGGTCACAACCCTATATAACAAGTGCATCTGCTGCAGGAATAAGGAATTGGATTGTGCTCAAGTTGGACTCTTAAGCCTCATGGTACTTTCGTCCATCTGCTTGGAACACACTCATAACAAACTTCATTAAATTCCACCCTTGTAGTGCACACAGATGTTGCGTCACTGGTTTGTGTTGTGGCCTTTGTTTACCTAGTCCTGAGGCTGTCACTGTCAGACCTGTGCAATGCTGTGCTTTGCTGTGATGATGTCTCTTTCATATAAGAGGACCACATCCCTCCATAGTCTTCTCCCCACCCTGCACAACACTATCCTTACCATGGCCCGGGTATTGATTTTTTCCCCCTGTGTTGGTGTGTGTATCTGTTTGTATGTCTGATGCTGGAGGAGTGCAGGGTTGATTTATATGCATAAGCGTGTAGGCGTTAGCATCAGTCTAACTGGAGTACTGTGTAAGAGGTTTATGTGCGTGTGTCTGGGCACACGTTTATGATTCTGCTTGTGTGTTGCATGTAAATTTTCTTTATGTCTCTGTGTGTCTTTGTGTGTGCGCGCTGTGTACAGTGCTTGGTTTTGCCTCAGCTGCGGGCAAGCCTCTGCTGGGGGCTGCTCACTGATCACTGTCATTAATCTAGCCACTGACAGGGGCCGGGAGAGACAGGGGGTCGGGGGAAGGCGGAGGGTTGTCAGAGGCAGGGGGTGGACGGAGAAGGAAGGTAGAGAAGAATGTAAAAAGATAGTCTGTTTGTGAACACCCTGCATACGTGCGCACATTGTGCAAGTGTTGAAAAATGCTTTCCTGATAAGAAATCAGCATGGCAACGGGGTAAAAATGGCAAAACAAATTCAGAGAGAAGGGTAAAAGAGGGAAAGACGGGAGGACGAGGGGGGCTTGTTATTATGCCAGGGTAGAGATCGACACATTGATTGGATGGATTGACAAAATGAGTGGACATATGGATTGACAGGGTGCTGTGAAGAAGGCAAGGCCAGGAGCCTGAGTCTTCTTTTTTTAAAATATGGACGAAAGAGAGAGAGAGAGACAGACAGAGGAATGGAAAGAGGGAGAAAGCAAGAAAGGGAAAAAAGAAGGAGCAAGGGAGTGAGGGAAGAGTGGGAGAAGAAAGGCAGAAAGACTTCACAGTGTGTCTGACGGGCAGGCCTGAGGGACGCACACACACACATGCATACACCCGATCACTCACACACCAAATCAGCAGTGTGTGTTTATACGCTGTGTGCGCGGCTTATGTGGGGGTGGCTGATCCAGAGCAGCTGTGGGCCAAACTTACACCGCACATACAGTAACAAATGCAGTCAACTCCACCTCCACCTCCTCTCCTGGCCGTAATCGCTACCTTGCACACCTCCATCACTTCCCATGCCTCCACCCCCTCCCCCATTCCTCCCCCCCTATGCCTCCATTACCACCTGCCTTATCGCTGTGTGCATTAAATCACCTCCATTTGTTTATTCCAATGTGTGCAATGAGAGCCATCCGTTTGAGCTTGTTCCCCATCATGCTGTTTGGACCTTGGCTCGGGCTCTGGCGGTTGAAAAACGGCAGCAGTTGGACGCACTTGTGGGAGGAGATTTGAATACCAATTATGGCTGGTATACACACACACTCTCTCACAAAGACACACAGAGAGACAGGGGCCATGCATAAATCAATGTCGCTGTGACTCACGGGAGGGAGGCCTGGTGTGTAAACACAAACATCAAGGGAAATGTTGCGCACACGAAAAGTCAAAATATGGACACGCGTGCACACAAAGAAGCACACGCATACACCTTATGTCCCTGTCTTATGTAGCACGTTAGAGTTTCTTTTGAACTTGGGGATTGAATTGCTAATGCATGAGTTTGTCTGAGCCCAATTGCAGTTTTTGATGCTTGTCAGACACACTTTGCATCACGCCAGAGTTAAGATTGCCTTTTTACTTTCCTCCACATTACGCTGCGTCTGCTAGTTCAGCGTCTTTCTTTGTTCTCTAACGTGCCGAGAAAGTCTTCCCCGCGAGCAAAGGTTTATCCTTTGATCCGAACCTTGCAGGATAACTCACTCCTGAAATAAAATAAACTTGTCGACAATTTAATTAAAAAACGAAACGAGACTTCCTCCCCGTGCTCTCTGCCCTGCCATCTGCTGGTTCATGTCATAAAACAGAGCCCCGGCGCACAATCACAATTCAGCGTTAACCTTCTATATTCTTGTGATTTGTTGTCTTTTGTAGGTCTAAATAATTGGACAACCTGAACTTGGCAGACAGCACCAGCATGCCCGTCAGCACAAGAGAAGCTGAAATGAGTCTTTTTTTAAAAATGCACTGCCTACTGCTGTCGTGCTGGGGCCCTGTTTGATCAACTGATGCAGTCTTAAAGGGTCCTGACAGGGTGGCCTACTATCTCAGCTGAGCAACCGCCTCGGCATAAGCTCCATAAACAAATTGGACTGTGTCGCTTTTCGGCAAAGTGATGACTGAAAGAGTTACGGAGCTTAGTGCAGGCTGGATTTTATTTTCCCCTGGGCTTTTATGGGTCCATTACTCAGAAGTAGAAGACGTTCCCAGTCTCACCGTTTAGTGCAGGTGATGTATTTTACAGTAATTATCTTCCAATCTGCCTCCCGGTCTTCAATGCGATCCATAACTCCTTGTTTTGGGCTGCTTTTGTTTCACACAATGAGTGCATCTCAATAACCTCCTCCAGCCTTTATAGACCAGGTCCAGATAGGAATTTATTTTGACATCCTCTTGAATAAAGGGAAACAAGACCTGACATGTGATTTTGCCTCCACTGCAAGGACACATCATGTGATTTGGCCACCGTGTATCCCTTTTCTCATCTTGTGTAAAGCATGTTTTGTAAAAATAAGGGAATTCCAGGCGCAGTGATTCAAAGAGGCACGCTAAGACACCAATTGGTAATTTAAGGCTTATATCTCATTTGACCATTTGTTTAATTGTCCATTAGTGAAACTTTCTGTCAATCTAATCAGACCAGTGCTAATGTAGAAACACTTTTTATGGCTGCCACCTCATCTCCTTCCCATTACTATTCCCCTGACGCTGCCGCTTGTGATTATCATAATGGTGATCTATGTCGTCCTTACGTGTCCCTCTCCCAGAACAACTGGCGTTTCACCAACTTTGCCGCTGAAGTTTTTTAATGCTGACTCCGTTGCCAAGGACATCTTTCCCATTTGCTGGTGTTCGAAGCCTGCCAATCAATCCAGCTCTTTTAACTCTGTCTGATTGGCTCGGCGCAAAAGGAGAACGCCCCTCTAGGGTGCAGCTTTTACATACTGTGACCCGATGTCCCCTGAGCCAGCAGCTTTTTCTCCCGCCGCTGACCCTTCTCGCTGTATATTTGTCTTTGCCATGGGAGTGTGAAATCAGTAAACAGCGGTTCTCCTCTGCAATGCTCCGTGGTACCACTCAAAGGCAGTTGCTATGTGTTCTCCTTACAAGGTGTATTTATGTTCAGAGCCAGTCAGAGTTGGAATTGCAGTCTAGGAACAGGGATAGAGCGGAAGAAGGGGGGGGTCCTGCATCTGAAAATACATTCGCGCCATGGGGTGAGCATTCCTCGCTATGGGTGACACAGTTGCCATGACTGAGAGTAAACGTTTATACCTTCTGCTTGGCCCTAGGCTTGTTTAACACCCCCTCCGTTGCCACCGTGACACCTGTCTCCGCAG